GCTTTTATTTGAGCAAACTTGGTAGACATTCACTAGAAGACATTTCATGCCAAATATCTAAGCTCTAGCTCTTATGGTTCTTTAAAAGAAGATTTTTTAAGTTTTTACTATATGCATATAGGGAAAATCAATGACCCCCCGGGGCGGGGCCAATTTTGACCCCAGGGCTTTAATTTGAACAAACTTGGTAGACACTCACTAGAAGTTGTTTCATGCTTAATATCTTAGCTCTAGCTCTTTGGGTTCTTTAAAAGAAGATTTTTTAAGTTTTTACTATATGCATATAGGGAAAATCAATGACCCCCTGGGGCGGGGCTAATTTTGACCCCAGGGCTTTTATTTGAACAAACTTGATAGACATTCACTAGAAGATGTTTCATGCCAAATATCTAAGCTCTAGCTCTTACGGTTCTTTAAAAGAAGATTTTTTAAGTTTTTACTATATGCATATAGGGAAAATCAATGACCCCCCGGGGCGGGGCCAATTTTGACCCCAGGGCTTTTATTTGAACAAACTTGGTAGACACTCACTAGAAGATGTTTCATGCCAAATATCTTAGCTCTAGCTCTTTGGGTTCTTTAAAAGAAGATTTTTTTAAGTTTTTACTATATGCATATAGGGAAAATCAATGACCCCCCCGGGCGGGGCCAATTTTGACCCCAGGGCTTTTATTTGAACAAACTTGGTAGACACTCACTAGAAGATGTTTCATGCCAAATATCTAAGCTCTAGCTCTTAGGGTTGTTTAAAAGAAGATATTTAAAGATTTTTCTTTCGGTTGCCATGGCAACCAGAGTTCTGCATGGAATTAAATTCTTTGAACAATTTTTAAAGGTGACCACCAAAGGAACATTCCTGTGAAGTTTGGATGAAATTGGCTCAGTGGTTTATGAGGAGATGTCATTTAAAGCAAAAGTTTACGGACGGACGACGGACGGACGGACGGACGGACGCCGGACGAAAAGCGATCACAAAAGCTCACCCTGTCACTTTGTGACAGGTGAGCTAAAAATGGTAGGCATACAAGTTCGCATTTTCAAAAGTCATTTTGAAAAGGAACACTTTACATGTCTGGAATTTTGGCAACGAACGCCATCCATAGTCCATGGCCGAGTGGTTAAAGTCCCTGATTTTTATACACATGCTTCTCACTGCTATGTATTCTAGTCCCACCAGAGTCCTTGAATTCTTTCACAAAACGTAAGTGCTTTAACTCAGGTGTTTACTCCACTTGCTTTCACTTTAAAAAGTATAAATATCTTTGACCGTTTGATTTCAAATATTTGTTTTTCTTTAGAGGTCCATTATGCCTCTGAAATGCTATCATTTTTATTTTAAAAAAACTGTTTATTTTTTGTATCTTGTTACAGTTTCCGAAAACATTCTCATTTGCTAGATACTCACACTATCTTTTGCGTCTTTGGTTCTGTTGGCAATTGGTATACCTTTAGTGAATAAGCATTTTGCATTGAAGTCAAAATACTACTTTGTTTACATTTTGCTACCTTTACGACACATCACTTAATGCTCAGCGCTACCTTTTTCAATTGTAATAAAATACTATCATGCGTTTCATCCATTATTTGAACATTATCAAACACAAGTTTGGCATTTCTTAAGAATTAAAACAATATGGATTTCTGAGGGACAATGTGACTTTAATCATTACTTGAATCACTGTATCATTTTTTGTTTTTTGTTTTTTTTTTGTTGCTGTTGCTTAATTTTTTTGTAAGAAGTTATTTTGTTCTTGCGAATTCTTAAATATATTTTCATAAATTAAGTAACATAGTGACTAAATGTAACAAATACCGCCATACAAAAACATAAGCGTTCAGTTAATAACAAGAGCGATCAGTAATCACATGTGTCGCCTCATGATGGCCAATTTCATGTTGGGACAAATTTTGTGACAGACAGACAGACGAACAGTGCACAACTAGACTTGGTACTGATCATTCCTGTAAAGTTTGGATAAAATTGCACCAGTAGTTTATGAGGAGTAGTCCGGACAAGCTTTTGCGTATCTGGCAACACACAGAAAAAAAGACCTTTTTATCAAAGGGCCATAACTCGGCCAAAAATCATTCAACCGGAAAACCCGTGCAATATGCGCAAGGACTTGAGCTACAGATCAATCCTGTAAAGTTTCATTGAAATTGCATTAGTGGTATAAGAGAAGTAGTCCGGACAAACTTTAAAAATAAAAATTATTAAAGGGCCATAACTCTGACAAAAATCATTGAACCGGAAAATGCTGACAATATGCACAACTATACTTGGTACTGATCATTCCTGTAAAGTTTGGATGAAATTGCACCAGTAGTTTATGAGGAGTAGTCCAGACAAGCTTTTGTGTATGTGGCAACACACAGAAAAAAACACCTTTTTGTCAAAGGGCCATAACTCGGCCAAAAATCATTCAACAGGAAAACCCGTGCAATATGCGCAAGGACTTGAGCTATAGATCAATCCTGTAAAGTTTCATTGAAATTGCATTAGTGGTATAAGAGAAGTAGTCCGGACAAACTTTAAAAATAAAAATTATTAAAGGGCTATAACTCTGACAAAAATCATTGAACCGGAAAATGCTGACAATATGCACAACTAGACTTGGTACTGATCATTCCTGTAAAGTTTGGATGAAATTGCACCAGTAGTTTATGAGCAGTAGTCCGGACAAGTTTTGTGACGGACGGACGGACAGACGGACAGACAGACAGACAGACAGACGGACAGACAGACGACGGAGAAGTGATCCCTATATGTCGCCACTACTCCGTAGAGGCGACACAAAAATCACCATACCAATTAACAAGCAATAATATTTGTTCATCTTCTTTCTAATTACAGTAAAATAAGGGCCAAGACACACCTGACACTGCAGAGGTCAAAGAACTACTATCGCAACAGAAAAATAACGCTGAGCCGTGTAATATCAAATCCCATCAAAGGTTCATTATATATATTATAAAAACAACCAATTAAGCATTCGTCCTATAGACAAAATGTGAAATATTTGATCTTGAATAATTAAAATATTAAGCATTTTCTAAAAAAAAGCTCTCTTTACATATGAACTTTTACTTTCTGTTGATGTATATGTATGCTAATTAAGGGAAACTGTGCGTGAAACTTACTACACTGTATTTTGTTTTCGTGCAACTTACTATCCAGAAATTGTTCGTTTTACTTACTAAACACTTGCAAAGAACATTTGTAGGCTACAGACCTTCAAAAATATATTTTATATGGACTTCTACGATAACAAATGTCAATAAAATGATTGATTTTGTCTCTTAAGTGCAGAAAGTAAGCTTATTTTCATTGATTTTGGTACCAAATTATATCGCTTCGTGCGAATTACTATCGCTGAATGTGCAATTTTCACACAATTCAAACAATGTTCTCAAAAACCACAAAACGTAGGATAATGCACTTTGTATTATCATTTGAAGAAAATTACCGCGCATATGATACGCTAGGTTTTGTTTTGATTTAAGAAACGTTTGTCACCTTAATTTAACATAATAAGGTACTTACCGGGGCTCAGCAGTAGTCATTTTCTCGTGGGTATTACTATACAAAGTCACGTGATTCCCCCCCGTGATTAGCGTTGAATACAAAGCAAAACAAGAAGCAGTTTAAATATACACCAAGAAACAGACTGTACCTAAATATGTAAGTACTTAATTTCAGCATAAAATGGAACCAGTCTAATAGTTTCTGTTTATTATACCATATTAAATATGGAAATTTCTACTATGCTGAGTTTCTTGTACATAAATTTTATTTCCTATCAGCTACAAAAAATATTCAAATGTTCATCATACTGGTGATTTTCACTATCTTTGTTATTTTCAGGTTGAAATTTTTCTTTGATTTTAATTTATATCAAATATTCTTTCCTAATTTATGTGATAAAAACAATTTCAGCTCTGGAGGTCTGCAGTTATCCAAATGAAATGAGATGAGACTTTTAACTAATGAGTCACAAAACAAAGAAACATCAAATCTAAAATGTGTGACAATATCTTAACTTAGAAACCAATAAATTGTTTTGTTTTTTTCTAAATATGATTTTTGATTAAAAGAAATAACTTATAAATGTACGAGAATGAAAAACTGAAAGAAAAAATTCAATTTAAAATTGTCAATGTTAAACTTAGGCTAACAACCTATAATTGTTTATGCTGAACTTATTTGTAAAAGACGAAAGAAATTGTCGACTGTACTGTGTCACACATTTCAGATTTGAAAATCTATACTGGAAATGATAATTTTACTGCACAACATTTGCACTACCTCCTGAACTTTAAGGCCACCCTGTGCCTCTATATCCCCGTCCCCGCGCTGCAGGCCCTCGTGGTCCGAGTTCACAAGGTCTCCACTGTTCACAGACAACTGCGGCAAGCAATTAGGAGAGTAATATATGAGAAGTCTCCCTTTATACAAATTTATTTTTTCTCAAATGTTAGAAACATGTTTCTATGTTCAATGTGCATCACAAACAGCATCTTGCTTTTATTTGACTCTTTTCATCTTTCTTACATTTAACCTTTAACCGACTTCATTTGTAATAAAGGATTTTCCCTGCTTTGAATTTGAAACAGTCCAATGTAAAATGATGAGATTTCAAGGGCCTGGCTCTATACTTGTGGCCAAAATTAATTAATTTTATTTCCAGCAGGTAAAGTATTGAATTCTAGAGCATCACACCTCTAAATGTAGTGAAAGCAATGCTGTTGTTTAATGCACATTGAACATATTATATACACTGATGCATGCTCCCTCAAGCCAACAGTTTCAAAAGTATTTTTTCCGGAACATAAAAAAATTCTATCACCAAATTTTCAACCAAGCCTTTCCATTTATACAAATACAATTTAAACCAACCTTTACCATGTCTTATAATAAGCTTAGAGGGAAGGTGCAACAGAGGCTAGCAAAACAAACATAGCACTATAATGATGTTTTTTCTGGCAGGGTAAAAAATCACCTTTTCCTCAAAATCATCATCAGCATCATGAGTATTTGGATTTTCTGAGTCGACATGGTGAACTACCTCTGGTACGTCCAAATCTGTCTCACCACTAACTAACATGTACTGATGGGGTTGCTGTCAGGGCAAAATAACACAACAGTCATACATGATGCATGCAGTAGTTACACTGATGGTAATGTAAATTCTAGTGTCAACATAGACCTGAGGGCGTGATGATTCTTTTCTAGTCATATGAAAGTTTGATGTACACCAAAATATTGAATTTGAATACTTTAAGTTAACCATAAATCAGTAAAATAACAACCATAGATCAGTAAAATAATGACAAAGATCAGTATAATAATGACCATAGATCAGTAAAATAATTACCATAGATCAGTAAATAAAATAGATCATAGATCAGTAGATAATGACCATAGATCAGTAAATAATAATGATCTTAGATCAGTAAATAATGACCATAGATCAGTAAAATAAGGACCATAGATCAGTAAATAATATAGATCATAGATCAGTAAATAAGGACCATAAATCAGTAAATAATATAGATCAGTAAATAAGGACCATAGATCAGTAAATAATAATGATCTTAGATCAGTAAATAATGACCATAGATCAGTAAATAAGGACAATAGATCAGTAAATAATATAGATCATAGATCAGTAAATAATGACAAAGAATAGTAAAATAAGGACCATAGATCAGTAAATAATATAGACCATAGATCAGTAAATAATGACCATAGATCAGTAAATAATATAGATCATAGATCATTAAATAATGACCATAGATCAGTAAATAATATAGATCATAGATCAGTTAATAAGGACCATAGATCAGTAAATAATTTAGATCATAGATCAGTAAATAATTACCATAGATCAGTAAAGAATATAGATCATAGATCAGTAAATAATGGCCATAGATCAGTAAATTAATGGTCATAGATCAGTATTTTAACCATGGATTAGTAAATAATGACCATAGATCAGCAAATAATATAGATCATAGATCAGTAAATAATGACCATAGATCAGCAAAATAAGGACCATAGATCAATAAATAATATAGATCATAGATCAGTAAATAAGGACCCTAGATCAGTAAATAATATAGATCATAGATCAGTAAATAATGACCATAGATCAGTAAATAATATAGATCATAGATCAGTAAATTATGACCATAGATCAGTAAATTAATGGTCATAGATCAGTATTATAACCATGGATTAGTAAATAATGACCATAGATCAAAATAAGTTTTCACTTACTTATTAAACATAAAATAAACCAATGACCTTTCACTGTACACCATAAGGTATTATGTTTATTTGTTTTGGGTTTTACATCACATCAACACAGTATAGATCATATCGCAACGTTCCAGCTTTACTGGTTGAGGAAGACTTCAGGTGCCCTTTTGTGCATTATTTCAGGCACGAACGGGCACCTGAGTAGAACCACCGACGTTCCGTAATACATAAGGTATTACTTTTACTTAAAACAATTTGGTCCAAGTAATGCTTACATGATATAGTAAATATCTTGTGGTTTTGAAAACCTGGTATATATTTGCACAAACAAATTTCAATGTTGCATGCCTTTTTGAAAGAGGTTTTTAAAATAAGACTGAATTCATCTCAAAGTGAACAAGTCTTCCAAGTTTGAAGTAAATATCTTCAGCATTCAAAACAAATTGACATTAGCAAAAAAAAAACAATTCAAACTCTGGTGAGAAGGTCATTGCTATAGCTAAACATTTCCTCTACCAAAAGTGGAGCTAAAAAGATCTTTGATTAAATACTAAAATATTATACATAAAATACATTCATTAAATGTTCAATTAAAATACAATAATTTATTGTTAAATTAAGTATATCTTTGATACAGAATGTAGGTTTAACTTAAACTTTGAATATGGAAACAAGTTAATGATGAAAATGAGCATTTGTCAAACAAAATATTTTGATATATTTTAAATAAAATACAAATAATAGAAAACAAACAAAATGCAGATAAATGGAACAACAAACAAAGTATTGTATCGTTACTCACCTGCCCAGATTTGTTTTGTTTCCACAGAAGATATGGTTTAATACACAGCATCCATGGTACGCAGATAGCCCCCAGAAACACCAGGAATATCTGGAACCCTTTCTGTTAATATAACAACATTCTAGTTTTATTTTCAAAGCTTACTAACAAACTTATTTTTTTTGTATTGACAAACCATTGTTTGGGGGGGGGGGTCAAATTTCCATATACAATGGATCATTCTTATTTTTGCACACTATTGCTATTAAAAGAATGTAATGTAACATTTATGAGAATCAAACTGGAACAACATAATCATAATGTAATTAATAATTTCTTACATAAGTCTTTTGTAAATAAATCTTACACAAAAAACTAATTGATTTGTTTATTTTAACACATGTTTTTGGTCATATGTTGGGGGGTCAATCCACCCAACCTGCTTTTCTGGTAAATTTCTACTAACCATTAAAATTTCTCAGCAAGTGAATGACTACTAACCCCCCATGATTTCTGAATCATCAGTGAGAGACAAATGACCATTAAAGATATCATACCTGTGACCAGATTACTAATTCAATGCTCTCCCTATTGAGCTAAGCTGGTCAGACTATAAACTAAGAAATAGCTTTTACACTTTTTATTAACCATGTATGGTATATCTACATCAGTTGTAAGTACGATAGAATGCGATAGAACTTACCTGTCCTGAATACCAGAGTTCTTTTTCTTTCTTGTAGTTAAACAGGAACATGTTAATCAGTCCTGAAATATACAATGACAATAATTAAAGGTTTTATAAAAAAACTAGAAATGTGTCATCATGCCACGGATGCCCCCGCATGCAGCCAAAATTTCAGATGTTATTATATTTAGTTCCAAATTTGTTTGCACAAATTATTGTTTTCATTTTAAGTTGAAAGCCCTTAAAACTTTTCAATGTTAACACAACCATTTTCATACAATGTTCAAAGCAACTGAAATTATTCAGTCTTAACCTTTTGAAAATAGCATATTTTCATATTTGTAGCCAAAATAATGGCTACATACATTTCCACAAAAGTATGAGTGCTGAAACTGAAAGTTCAAAATTTTTTCCAATATTCAAGAAAGATAAGTTTGTCCAAAATCATTGAAACCACGACCAAATTCAAACTTAAACTGCCTATTCCTAAGATGTATCTATATTATTTTCAAAGTGAAAGGGACATAACTCTGCCAAAAAAATCATCGAACCATGACCAAATTCCAACTTGACCTGCCCATTCCTTTGACATATCCATATGTCAAATTTGAGTTGAATATGTAACACTGTTGGGTAGATAATGAACAGAAACTGTAAATTTTAAAATTTTTTCAAAGTGAAAAGGGCATTACTCTGCCAAAAATTATTGAACCATGACCAAATTCGAACTTGACCTTGGCATTCCAAAAAAATATCCATATGTCAAATTTGAGTTGAATGTGTTGTACTGTTGGGGAGATAATAAACAGAAACTGAAAATTTCATATTATTTTCAAAGTAAAAGGAGCATAACTCTGCCAAAAATCATCGAACCATGACCAAATTCAAACTTGACCTGTATTTTCTCATGACATATCCATATGTCAAATTTGAGTTGAATGTGTTGTACCGTTGGGGAGATAATAAACAGAAACTGAAAATTTCATATTATTTTCAAAGTAAAAGGGGCATAACTCTGCCAAAAATCATCGAATCATGACCAAATTCGAACTTGACCTGTATTTTCTCATGACATATCCATATGTCAAATTTGAGTTGAATGTGTTGTATGGTTGGGGAGATAATGAACGGAAACTGAAAATTTCATATTATTTTCAAAGTAAAAGGGGCATAACTCTGCCAAAAATCGTTGAACCATGACCAAATTCGAACTTGACCTGTATTTTCTCATGACATATCCATATGTCAAATTTGAGTTGAATGTGTTGTACCGTTGGGGAGATAATGAACGGAAACTGAAAATTTCATATTATTTTCAAAGTAAAAGGGGCATAACTCTGCCAAAAATCATCGAACCGTGACCAAATTCGAACTTGACCTGTATTTTCTCATGACATATTCATATGTCAAATTTGAGTTGAATATGTGCAACCGTTACTAAGATAATGAACGGAAACTGATGATGACGGAATGACAGAATGACGGAAGGACGGAATGACGGAAGGACGGAATGACGGAATGACGGAAGGACGGAACAGGGTAACACTATATGCCCCGGCCATTACATGGCGGGGGCATAAAAACCATCACATGATTATACTCTTAGTGCAGACTTTGTCCTTCATTAACCCCACCCTTATGGCGGCAACTCAATCTATCACTGCTACCAGGGCAGACCAAGACCAGGTGTCACATCTGTACCATCTGATAATGGTCACTGGTCAGCACTGTACCTTATTCAGTCAGTCCATATTTTTAAATGTTTCCATACAAATGATGAATGGTTTTGTCCAGATTGAAATATGCACAAGTCCATAAAGTTATTTACAATGATAAGCATTAATTTGGAATAGAAAGACAGACAGTTATCAACATTTATTTTACATAACTTTATTCCTAAACATATTATATGCCAGTAACACAAATGAAATACAATGGCCTTCAAGCAGATGAAGTCTAATCAGACACTAATGTTTAGGTTGCTCTTGCATACAGGGTAATTTTTGAAAATATGAGATATTCAGCAAAAATAATGACATGTCTGGTCATCCAAAACTAATCATTTAATAATAATAATTTTATCTAAGAAAAAACGCTTCTTTATTTATTCTTTTTTGTTGGGTTTTAAATCACACCAAGACAGTATAGGTCAAATGGCTACTTTTCAGGTTTACTTGTGAAGGAAGGTGTCAGGTGTCCTTCTGTGCATTATTTTAAGCACAAACTGGCATCTGAGTAGAACCACCCACGTTCTGTAAGCTAGCTGGATAGCTTCCTCACATGAAAGATCCTAAAGTCCCTGTCAGAATTCCGACCTGAAGTGGTGAGGGGCAAGTGGTCTGCAGTCAACATCCTGAACCGCTCAGCCACAGACGCCCCATCTATATATGTTTATCATTGACAGACAGAACAGAAGAACAATGTATTACCTATAAGAAGATTTGGTGCTGTCCTGCTATCAGCCTCAGTGAACTTTAACCATTTAGTGATCACCAGAAGTATCAGATAGCCAAATATAGATAACATAAAGATCAGCTGAGGGATAAACTCACAGTATATGTTGATTGGCTTCCTGTAATATCTGTAAAAACAAAGTTTAATACAACTAGAACTCCGCGAGTCGGATGTGTCGCCTTGTGAACAATGTAGTTTAGGGGAAATGGCCAGGACAAAAATGAAATATGAAAAATAACAAAGGGCAATAACTAAAAAAATAATAAGTGCAGAGCAGCAGTTTCTGTACACTGCACTTCTTATCAATAAGATCTATCATTCTATGATGTTTCAAGTCCATAGCTTTCATACTTGAGGAGAAATGACCTGGACAAAAATAAAGTAAGAAAATCAACAAAGGGCAATAACTCAAAAATAAGAAATGCAGAGTATCAGTTCTTATGCACTGCACTTCTTTTTAATGAGATCTATCATCCTATGAAGTTTCAAGTCCATAACTTTTATACTTTCGGAGAAATGGCCTGGACAAAAATTAAGTATGAAAATTAACAAAGGGCCATAACTCAAAAATTAAGAAATGCAGAGTACCGATTCTTGTGCACTGCACTTCTTAATAATGAGATCTATCATCCTATGAAGTTTCAAGTCCATAGCTTTTTTAGTTGAAGAGAAATGGCCCGGACAAAATTAAAGTATGAAAATTAACAAAGGGCAATAACTCAAAAAATAAGAACTGCAGAGTACCGGTCCTTGTGCACTGCACTTCGGGTTATTGAAAGAAGCATGCATACCAAGTTTGAAGTCAATCAGACTTATAGTGACTGAGTTATGCTCCGGACAAGCTTTAGGGGACGCCGACAACGACGCCGACAACGACACAGACACCGCCTACACCGCCGACAAAAGTAACCCCTATATGTCACCTTTTCAAGGCGACACGAAAAAAACCTACATTTACTGCTATAATTTTTATGAAAAATTGTAGAAAAAATCATTGAAGAATATATAAAAACAAGCAATTATCATAGTATTGCAAGCAATCCATAAGTCCCCTACCGGTAAGAGCCCAAGCAACATTCTGAAGGGCCATTCACTTAGGTTCCAATTTTAAGTAAATTTGTTGAAAAAGTTCTTTAAAAGTGATCACAGGATACAGTTTTTATGTACAGACAGACGGACTGAAGGACACTCTAAAGTTATTTTTTAAACATCCCTGTTATCAAAATATAACATATTTAAAATCCTATCATGATTGAAGAAGTTGGAGTAAAAATTACCAATTTCTCAAAAAAAAAGTCTAAGTTCAAAAGGGGCATAATTCTGGAAATAGTCTTGCTAGAGTATTGAACACTCACAAATGTTGAGTGACAATAAGAAACATTTATATGAAGTTTGAAGTAGATACATTCAGAAAAAGAAGTTATTAAAAAAAACAATGTTTTTTCATGAAAATTTTAAGTTCAAGGGAGGTAATTCTGATAAATTTTGTACTAGAGTTGTAAACCTTGTCACATATGATGTGGTTGATGACAAGCAACTTATATTTAAAGTTTGAAGAAAATACCTTAAGAAATAAAGAACTTATAGTGAAAAAACTTAAAAAAAACTAGAATAAGAAATCTTGAAATTCAGTCTATTTGTTGCCATAGCAACCAGAATTTTCAACATAGGAAGATAAGAAAAGGATGTGCATAATTTCCATACTGCCATCTACCCATATGTCAAGTTTCATAAACATATTTTCAGTACTTTTTGTGTTATCACTGGATCCAGGTTATGTGTAAAATTTGCCATATTTTCAGTCTATTTGTTGCCATAGCAACCAGAATTTTCAACATAGGAAGAAAAGAAAAAGACGTGCATGATCTCCATACTGCCATCTATCCATATATCAAGTTTCATAAAAATATTTTCAGTACTTTTTGCGTTATTGCGGGATCCAGTTTATGTGTAAAATTTGTCATATTTTCAGTCTATTTGTTGCCATAGCAACCAGAATTTTCAACATAGGAAGAAAAGAAAAAGACGTGCATAATCTCCATACTGCCATCTATCCATATATCAAGTTTCATTAAAATATTTTCAGTACTTTTTGCGTTATCGCGGGATCCAGTTTTGTGGACGGACGGACTGACGGACGGACGGACGGACAGACGGACAGACGGACGGAGGGTAAACCTAAAGTCCCCTCCGGTAAACCGGTAGGGGACTAATAACATTAGGGTAATGACGGCTTAGTGGTGAAACTGTCAACCTCTCAACCTAGGGATTGTGGGCCCGATCTCTGCTGAGGTCGTGACTATGATTTCTCAAATAGCACCGTCACTGGTCAGTAGACAAAAGCTGACCGGTGTATGGTTTAAAGCTCTAAGATTACAGCACAAATGAGCTAGAATTAATACAAGTATGTTTAAATTAAATACACACCAAGAATATTATATGTATCTTATCATAATGTTGATAACAGTCCAAAATAAAACATTATTTATCATATAATGTTTTAAACAGTTATAGAGCAAGGAAAAGCCTTGATATATCACAAAGGCTTACCCTACTTGTCTCTAATGTGGTCATAAATAACATGATTGAACTTTTTTGGGGGTTGGGTTTAATGTCAACCAACAAAGTATAGGTTATAGGGTGAATTTTCAGCTTTAATGGTGTAGGAATATCTCAGGTGCCCCTCTTTACTTTATTTCAGGCACAAACAGGCACCTGAGAAGAACCACTGATATTCACAGCTGGATAGTTATAATCTCATGTAGAATCCAAAGAGGCTGGTATGGTCCGAGCCTGCATCAGTGAGAGGCAAGTGGTTTGAAGCCAACAACCTTAACCACTTAGCCACGGACACCCAACCACAGCAGTATCAGATATATACCTGTGATTAAGAAGGCTGAGTGACAAGCCAAATAACATGTGTGATACACCAAATATCACACAGCAGTATCAGATATATACCTGTGATAATTAGGCTGAGTGACAAGCCAAATAACATGTGTGATACACCAAATATCATACAGCAGTATCAGGTATATACCTGTGATTAAGTAGGCTGAGTGACAAGCCAAATAAAATGTGTGATACACCATATATAACACAGCATTATCAGATATATACCTGTGATTAAGTAGGCTGAGTGACAAGCCAAATAAAATGTGTGATACACCATATATAACACAGTATTGTCAGATATATACCTGTGATTAAGTAGGCTGAGTGACAAGCCAAATAACATGTGTGATACACCAAATATCACACAGCAGTATCAGATATATACCTGTGATTACGTAGGCTGAGCGACAAGCCAAATAACATGTGTCATACACCAAATACCACACAGCAGTATCAGATATATACCTGTGATTAAGTAGACTGAGTGACCCAAATAACATGTGTGACACACCAAATATCATGCAGCAGTATCATATATATACCTGTGATTAAGTAGGCTGAGTGACAAGCCAAATAACATGTGTGATACACCAAATATCACACAGCAGTATCAGATATATACCTGTGATTAAGTAGGCTGAGCGACAAGCCAAATAACATGTGTGATACACCAAATATCATACAGCATTATCAGATATATACCTGTGATTAAGTAGGCTGAGTGACAAGCCAAATAACATGTGTGATACACCAAATATCACACAGCAGTATCAGATATATACCTGTGATTAAGTAGGCTGAGTGACAAGCCAAATAACATGTGTGATACACCAAATATCATACAGCATTATCAGATATATACCTGTGATTAAGTAGACTGAGTGACCCAAATAACATGTGTGACACACCAAATATCATGCAGCAGTATCAGATATATACCTGTGATTAAGTAGGCTGAGTGACAAGCCAAATAACATGTGTCATACACCAAATATCACACAGCAGTATCAGATATATACCTGTGATTAAGTAGGCTGAGTGACAAGCCAAATAACATGTGTGATACACCAAATATCATACAGCATTATCAGATATATACCTGTGATTAAGTAGGCTGAGTGACAAGCCAAATAACATGTGTGATACACCAAATATAACACAGCAGTATCAGATATATACCTGTGATTAAGTAGGCTGAGTGACAAGCCAAATAACATGTGTGATACACCAAATATAACACAGCAGTATCAGATATATACCTGTGATTAAGTAGGCTGAGCGACAAGCCAAATAACATGTGTGATACACCAAATATCATACAGCATTATAAGATATATACCTGTGATTAAGTAGGCTGAGTGACAAGCCAAATAACATGTGTGATACACCAAATATCATACAGCAGTATCAGATATATACCTGTGATTAAGTAGGCTGAGTGACAAGACAAATAACATGTGTGATACACCAAATATAACACAGCATTGTCAGATATATACCTGTGATTAAGTAGGCTGAGCGACAAGCCAAATAACATGTGTCATACACCAAATAAAACACAGTATTATAAGATATATACCTGTGATTAAGTAGGCTGAGTGACAAGCCAAATAACATGTGTGATACACCAAATATCACTGATATCTTCATCTTCAGAGAGTTTGTTATTGTGATCTTGTTTATTGACATTTGCCATACCTGAATACAAGCAAAACAAATAATTAGAAGCAATCTAAAATAAATATGTGTTAGTAACATTTCAAATATGTGTTGTATGTCGTGGTAACATTTGAGATATGTTGTGGTAGCATTTGAGATATGTGGTGGTAACATTTGAGATATGTGGTGGTAACATTTGAGATATGTGGTGGTAACATTTGAGATGTGGTGGTAACATTTGAGATATGTGGTGGTAACATTTGAAATATGTTGTGGTAACATTTGAGATATGTGGTGGTAACATTTGAGATGTGGTGGTAACATTTGAGATATGTGGTGGTAACATTTGAGATATGTTGTGGTAACATTTGAGATATGTGGTGGTAACATTTGAGATATGTGGTGGTAATATTTGAGATGTGGTGGTAACATTTGAGATATGTGGTGGTAACATTTGAGATATGTGGTGGTAACATTTGAGATATGTTGTGGTGACATTTGAGATATGTGGTGGTAACATTTGAGATATGTGGTGGTAACATTTGAGATGTGGTGGTAACATTTGAGATATGTGGTGGTAACATTTGAGATATGTGGTAGTAACATTTGAGATATGTGGTGGTAACACATGAGATATGTGGTGGTAATATTTGAGATATGTGGTGGTAACATTTAAAATAAGTGGTAGTAAAATTTAAAATAAGTGGTAGTAACTTTTGAAATATGATGTGTTGGTACCATTTGAGATAAGTGGTGGTTACATTTGTTATAATTCACTATTCTTATTAAAGAGAAACCCAAATGACATAAGGATTACAGTAAACTTGAACTTAGCTATCACCAGCATTAACGTATACCCTTTTTAATACTTGTACAATTTTTACTTTCACTGACTCTTTATTTTTGAAATCTACACTGAAGATCTGTTTCCATCATGTGAAGAGACAAAGCTAGTATATCCTTGATGAAAAAAAGATACAGAAAATATTCTTATACTTTAAAACAGTCAAATAAACTTTGCTAAATATCCTAAATTTTTGTGCATTTTGGATTTATGTGACAATGTTTGAAGAGTTTCTTTTTAACAAGTACATACATGTACATGTATATTACTTAGCTAATAACATTCTAAAATTTGAAAACTGTTCATTTTAATGTTTGTGTATTTTTATATATACTTTTGGGTCTTAAGTATTTAAGTAAGATACTATAAGAACTTACTGGATCCAGACCAAATGGATAAGGTCCGTTGACATAGCAACTACCATTTGGATTTAGCTTATATGCATTTTTGTCCATGTGTAAATAGCTGTACATGCTGAAAACAGAAAAATAACATTGAATTAAAGCATTTTGTTACTTATATCATAGAGTAAATTTATCTAAAAGCTAGGTATAATTATAGCAAAATACAATTTTGCTTAAAATAAGCATTACATATTCAGTTATTATTTAAATACATTATGACCAAATTCATATATGATATTTAATAATAATTTAACAATACAAAACTCAATGAATATTTGTATTACTGCATTGTATTAAAATTTTGACTGCAAAATCAATTTATATTATCATTTTAATTAACATATAGAGGATATTTGTTTGTTTTGCATGTAAGATTGAAATATAATTTCACTGAGTGAACACCAGATGCAATATTTTCACGAGTGGCGTAGCCACGAGTGAAAATATAATAACTGGTGTTCACGAATGAAATATATTTCAATCTTATATGTAAAACAAATAAATTTTCTTTTTATTTCATGCTTTTTTAAGTGATTTTAAGTATTTTTTACTGATTTTGCCGCGTACGGTCGCGTATTCTCCTTTGTGACGTCATCACATCATGACGTCACATCATGAATTTTGAAACATAGGCCTGTTAAATTTCTGTAATTGTGCTACATTTTTAACATGATGTATGATGACATCGACTTCCTTTTCTTAATGAAGCAAAATTTACGCATGACGGCATTTATTTCTGCCTGTTATTCCATGTAGTTTTGATTTTCTTTTCATCCGCATTCAGATATAGTCCGGCTACAGTGAAAATTATATTTTATAAATTTCACTAGTGGTTTATCAGAATATAATCATCTGATATATCACAATAAAACACTGGAAAGCATGAAATAAATACAGTCTAACTTGCCCATGTGAACACGTGTATTAAGCCACTTTTGTCTTAAACGACCACTTTAAATTCCCCCCAATCATTTTCTCTCTATATCTTTAATGTATTAAGCGACTTTTGCTCAACGCGACCAGCGACCGCTAATTAGTAATCTAATTGAGATCAATCTTTTCATTAAACGACCACTTTTACCTGTCAACTATTAGAAAACGCCGCCTCGTAATGTCACAAGTGTCAACAAACAAAACACAATAAATAAATGTGTGAAATACTCTATTTCCCAAACCGTTTAAGCGTATGCAAATGAATTTAAATATACGAGTGACGTGTATTATCCAATAATATCAAATAAACAATGCAATGCTCCGCCCCTACTGAATAGGTGTATACGCTTCACTTGTTGACATTTAGATTGCATTGAATTGACCTTGAACTTGATCAGCAATTAAATTAATCGTAACAATTAGATGTAGTTTGTTTATTTCAAATGAAAAAATGCACAACAGAAAATATCTTCACTATAGGGTTTTTGTGTTGGAGACAAGGAAAAACAACGGAGAAGTTTAATATTCAGGAAAAAGTGTCAAACATGTACGTAATGGATCAAAACTGTTTTGTCAAATATCAGAAAGATATTTTTTACATTGGCATCCATATAGATTATCTGAGCAGGGTAATTATTCAACATATATAAAAAAATGAAGTTGAAAAACATTCCCACCAAATAAGAAAGATGTCATTTATAAATTTTGACTTTTATATCATGCTTTGTCTTAAGAGACCATTTCTTTAAACGACCGTTTTGGGTGTTTCCCTTGCGTGGTCGCTTAATACACGTTTGACTTAAATTTTCATGTTAAGTAAGTTTGTAAGTTGATACTGTCTAAGAGTGTCTTTTCAGCTCACTTGTAGACAAGAACAAGTAAAAGGTTCAATGAACATTAATTAAAACACTGAGTGAAAGTATATGAGCCGCGTCACGACATTACCATCATGAGTTTGCGACCAGCATGGATCCGCGCAGTCTGATCAGGATCCATGCTGTTCGCTACAAACCGTATAACAAGTAGAGAAACTGATAGCGAACAGCATGGATCCTGATCAGACTGCGCGGATGCGCAGGCTGGTCTGGATCCATGCTGGTCGCAAACCCATTATGTTGGTTTTGTCGTGATGCGGCTCATATTAACATTAACCAAGCTTACACTGGATCTGGGGCCCATCCTGATCCAAATATATTGAGTGATTTAGAGAATACATCATTATAGATAAGACCAGTGTAAATAGAGAATGCCCCCATCAACATCATAATGTAACGTCCATTAAAAAACATTCCAAATATCTGAAAAATATAAACAGAACACAAACATTGTATGAATTTTACCAAGGCTCTGCTTCAATGATAAGTATGTATATACAGCTTGAAGAGATTGTAATAAAGCATATTTGTCAGAATGTCAATAAAACAAGAGTAATCACTTTTAAAGCTTCTTTTCTTTTTATTTGGTTGGGTTTTATGCTGCGCCAACACTGTAAAGATCATATGGTACCATTGGAGAAATACTTTTAAGCATTTTTTTCAAGCACAAGAGGGCACCACAGTAGAACCACAAACTTTCAGTAAGCTTGCCATATAGCTTCCTCACATAAAAGAATCCAAAGTCCTTGATGGGAATTAGGGGAAAGTGCTTTGAAATCAACGACCTGAACCAATTGGCCACAGACTCTCTTATTATAGCTCTTGAACAAATACCATCTTCCCTGTGTAATGGTCTAGTTTGCTTTGAATTGGAACTTACATTTGTGATGTTTTGTTGATATTTGTCATCTGATATTGATATATCAATGATATGCTTTGGACTGAATCGAAGACAGCTCTAGAAATATGCAGCAGATAATGTCTTAACTTAAGAATTTAAACAGAATTAAGTGGGGTTTTTTTTTTTGTGCTTTTTTTATTATTTCCTTGTAAGTAAGAAGAGTTTACCTCGTCATCAGCTGATTTAGCTGCTAGTTGTTTTTCTCGTAGAATGAGGAACAGAGCAAACAACAACATGATAGTACCATGCCCTGTATCTCCAAACATGATAGCAAACAGGAATGGGAATGAGATGATAGTCCATGGTGCTGTAAATATACATATACATCTTATATTACAGCATACAATAAAGTTTTGTTAAGCATAAGCATAAAAAATTAAAAACAAATTTAAATTGGTATTTATCTGGTCACTTTTTAGAGTATGAGTATCGAAACATTATTGTCAAATTAGTGCATACAAATCGAAAGAAAATCTGAAAGGAAAAAATTGGGCCTATTTCATAACAGGTTTTAAAAGATGTAATAATTCAAAGATATGAAGATGGTTGTTTGTTTGCTTTTCTGGATTTTTTAACAACGATTATAACATGTTTTTTGGTCATATGTTGGCAATTTATTCCACCCAACGGTTTTCCTTGGATAACTAATCAGCAATTACCAATTTCTTTGCAAGTGACCAAATACTTATCCCACATGATTGCTAAATCAGTTATGGGAGGTAAATGACCAGCCGACTCAATGTCTGAGATCCATTGTCAGTGAGAAATTATGCCTTACTCAAAGATCAATCCGGCAACCTTGGGATAACTCTTCCCATTAATGTAAGTAAAAGTGATACCTGTCAAGGTAACATAAAACAAGAATTTGTAAAAGAGTTACCAACGTCCCCAACCTCGGGAAGTTTTATATGAAGCATAAGATTGTGCTATTTCAAAAGATTGAGGTATCAATCTAAGGACTTTCAGTCCAGACAGGCGGACAGAGCCTATTTCTATATCCCCCTTTTTTCTTCAAAATGGCGGGGGACAATAATATCTCACTAGGATCAATAACAGATATTAATTGGGTAAGAAATTCACAATGATGGCAGTATTTTAAATGGTCAGTATCTCACCTGGATTAACTTCCCTGTAACTAGCTACACCATATGCATCTACAATATGCTGGAATACTGCAGTAAACTTGTTCAGTCTGTTGTAGGTGGGAGGTTCTTGTCGTGTCGACATTCGGTTTAAAATTGATGGTACTGAACTACCACTCCTCTCCTGCAGATAATAAAACAGGCAGCATTTATTGAAAACAGTGATCAAACTACAATAACAGTGAGGTTTAAATAAAGAAAGCAGCTAAATGTGTTTGTGGGTGAATTAAGTTTAACACTTGACCTGTTAAATAACTTATTGATTATTTCAAGGGATCCTATTTGCTATTATTATCATTATAATTGTTAACTGTTTGCAAAGTGTTTTAGCATTATTATTGAATGTCAATGCAAATGTCTAGAGTGGTTATCACATCTGAACAATAATCTAAGGATTATTGGCAGGGTGGATACAAATCCTGTCAAGGTCATGCTGTTGTTTCCATAGGTAAAAAACTCATTGCTTAGTGCTGGTTGGTTCTACAAATGGATTTAGAGTGTTTCAATAAGCTTCAAACACAATCAATTTAAAATAAATTGCATTAACTTAGTAAAAAATATATGTCACTGTATAAAAAAAAAGGTCTTGTTTATTATAGTGTCACCCCTACTAAAAGGGCCAGCCATTTTTGACTTATGAGACCCCTTTGGCTTGCATACCATGTACCTTCAAACTCCTACCACTATGGCAGGCACCAGGCGGATAAACAAGAGCTGTCGGTAGGACAGCAACACTCGACTATTCGTAGTGCTTGATAGTAAAAAAAATGCTTGATACAGTTACCTCCTCCTGTTTACAGGTTGGGGTCATGATGGTGAACAAGTGTGCAAAGTTTCAAAGCCATATGTCAATGGACTTTGCAAATATTTGAACTATTACAAAAAGTTTAACGTAAATTCTAAGTCGAAAAAGGGGCATAATTCTGTCAAAATGCTTGATAGAGTTACCTCCTACTGTTTACAGATTGGGGTCATGATGTTGAACAAGTGTGCAAAGTTTCAAAGCCATATGTCAATGGACTTTGAAAATATTTGAACTATTACAAAAACTTTAACGTAAATTCTATGTTGAAAAAGGGGCATAATTCTGTCAAAATGCTTGATAGAGTTACCTCCTCCTGTCTACAGGTTGGGGTCATGATGGTGAACAAGTGTGCAAAGTTTCAAAGCCATATGTCAATTGACTTTGAAAATATTTGAACTATTACAAAAACTTTAACGTAAATTCTAAGTCGAAAAAGGGGCATAATTCTGTCAAAATGCTTGATAGAGTTACCTCCTCCTGTCTACAGGTTGGGGTCATGATGGTGAACAAGTGTGCAAAGTTTCAAAGCCATATGTCAATGGACTTTGAAAATATTTGAACTATTACAAAAAGTTTAACGTAAATTCTAAGTCGAAAAGGGGCATAATTCTGTCAAAATGCTTGATAGAGTTACCTCCTCCTGTCTACAGGTTGGGGTCATGATGGTGAACAAGTGTGCAAAGTTTCAAAGCCATATGTCAATGGACTTTGAAAATATTTGAACTATTACAACAAAAACTTTAACGTAAATTCTAAGTCGAAAAAGGGCATAATTCTGTCAAAATGCTTGATAGAGTTACCTCCTCCTGTCTACAGGTTGGGGTCATGATGGTGAACAAGTGTGCAAAGTTTCAAAGCCATATGTCAATGGACTTTGAAAATATTTGAACTATTACAAAAACTTTAACATAAGTGGTTACGCCGACGCCGACGCTCGGGTGACTGCAATAGCTCTACTTATTCTTATCGAATAGTCGAGCTAAAAACGGTAACCATTCATTTTAACTACCTCGCGACTGACAAAGGGGCCATTTCGGAACGAGTCCCAAGAAAAACATTCATCCATCAATTAACACACCCGTGGGGCTCGAACCTTCGACCTCCCGATCCGAAGGTGGACGCCTTAACCACTAGGCCAACGGTATGGGTTGTATATTCATGAATCTTTTGATCATACATTCTATACCATACTTAGTACAAAGAACAAGATTTGTATATTTAGAAAACTGACCGAAATTCTAACATTGATATGTTAGCACATACATATGATAATAAAACATTAACAAAACTCTATGATATATTTAAAGTGGCTAGTATAGACTCACATTTCCTCGCTGTAGAGCTTGCTGGATCCTATCTAGATCAGCAACGGGACACCAGCATTCAGCTATCAGACATTTCTGTGTAACATCCAGGTTAAACATGTTTAATGTATGATATATAGCCTTGATTTTCCTCACTTTTATAAACCATACTTTGATGTTCTTGGCTGCAGCTACAAGTAACCTGTGTCTATGATCCTGGGTCTGACCCAATACCTGAAATTATAAATAATTTATTTGTTTTGTTCGGTTTATCGCGCATCTGCACAATATAGGTCATAAGGCGCCAAATCAGGAAGGATAACTTTGGCTAAAATTCAGTGTTAGGAACTAAAAGCAACATCAAGGATCACAACCACCACACCTGGAGCTAAGAGATGCATAGACTCCAGTAAATCGGGCCAATTTGATCATGTAGGGACAAATGGTGGCTGCAATTCTAATTCCTCAATCCTTTAATACAACCACTGAGCCACAAATGTGATAAATAATTTCTTTACATATCAAAACATAAACTGAAATCACAAATGTTATAACCAAGAGTATCAACAATTAACAACTGTTATTTAATTATTAAGAGCAATCATATATGTAAGTACATGTGTAGTACAATTAACATTTGAATCAAAAGTCTTAAAATTTCATTATAGTAGAATATTATCTGTGTTTTTAATGCATGGAATTGTATTATATTGAAATTCTGTATCTAATCAAATATTATTTAACCTATGTCAAATAACGTGCTAGTATGTATACACAAATATGCATATATTTACAAATTTTACTATCCTATATCTACATGTTTAGATATAACAATAATGACCAGTATAACATACAGTGTTGAGATCTTCTATACGAGTCATTACACCAATAGACATCTCTCTCCTCTCTGGCTGAGTCTCAGGACATGGATAAAGTGTTGCCCGGAATCTGTTAAAACATAATATTATATCAAGGTACAGACAAATCACCATTGATTTGTACACAAAATTCCCTACTTATCTTCAAAGGGGTTTAATGTTGTAATATTCTTCACATACAAAGTCTAAGCAAACATCATTACTAGTTTCTCAGAAAAACAAGACTGATACATTGATAATTTGAAGTAAAATCACACAATATTATACAGAGTATAACCTATGTTTGTTGTTTTTTTTATTTTGTTAATACATAAATTATCCCTGATATAAGGTATTAGTTGTGAAACAATATTGAAATAATACAATAGACTTCATCATGAGCAATTCACTCTACAATATAATAAAATACTGATAATAAAGCTTACCCTTCACAGATTTTCTTTACTCGGGTTTTAAGTTGTTCCCCTTGGAAAAATATAATAAATACTGACTTGTCAACTTTGTCACCCTGTAAATATAATATAAATATTTTGATAATCAGGAATGACAAAAACCCTTTTAGTGTAAAAGTCATTTTTACTCAAACTAACTCACTATAGTATTGGAACAATAACTCTAGACGCTTGCAGAATTTACGACGTGGAAAAATATCAGGTTTTTCTCTCAGATTCTTAAATTTTTTATTCATTATGGTATATGAATTAGACATCTTAAAGTGCATTTCAGCAGGTGAAATTGGCAAGATTTTAAGCATTGAATCATTCAACCGCCTTGTCCGGTATTTACCCGAATACAGTATTAAGTACGGTGCTCCAAATGTTTTTCAAGTCTCCCTTTTATTCGCCAGCAAAAGAAATGTCTATTGTCTATGTAATAGAAAGAGCACCGAAACACGAGGCTATCTGATTTGTACGAGGGGGCGTAGCCCCCCGAGTATTAATCAGATTGCCGAGTGTTTTGGTGTTCTTTCTCTTTTGTATCATAGTCAAACATAAAAGCATGTTCCCTGTTGTCACAATATGAAACCCCGGCAAAAATGAACCAATGAACGAACATCTGAATATGACATTTCTGTCGCTTTCCCTTTCTCTGCCGTCACAATATGTAAATCCCAGCAAAAATGAGCCAATCAATGGGCATGCTCTGGAGTGCGGGTAACTAATACCCGCACTCCAGTTAACGCACTGTGCATGTATATGTATACGATTTAACCCTGACACATTTTCAACAGAAAGGTCTCCAAACTATGATACAATATATAAATATCTTTAATGTCTTCTTGCTTCAACAAGAAAGAATTGTTTCTATTAAAAATACTGACATGTTATTTTGACTTTCTTACGCATCCAAATATATTGACAACTTACAGTGACTGGATCTTCTAGAGGAGCATCTATCTCTGCTTGTTTAAGGAACACGTTACCTCGACATACACGCCACAGCATTCTCTCAAACGCTGGGATACGTTCACGTAATATAACACCTGCTACAAATCTATAAATAGAGTTAAATCATAGCATGATAAACACCTGTGATTATCTTATTGCCTCTCTAAAATGTTAACAATACACAAATACTATTTTATCACAGTCTATGTATATGTAATAATTATTGCTATTACATAAAAAAAGTCGGTCATTCTTGCTTTTAAAAAGCCTTACTTTTTTTCTTTTAAAGTTTTTGTTGAAGTTTTAGTAATAACACCAGTATTAGGGTCATATGGTAACTTTCCAGTACTCCAAGTTGAGGAATACCTCAGGTGCCAATTCATGCACAATTTCAAGCACAAGTGCAAACCTGAGTAGAACCATCAACTTTCCATAAGTAAGATGAATAGCTTTCGCATATGAAAGAAACAAGTTTCTGAGTATTTTAGAACTCACAGCATTAAGGGGCTGTTGTACTTTTAAAATGATGTCTTAAAAATGCTGTTATTCAGATGCATAATAATAATTATATATATAGTTTACCCGAGTTTGAGTGCCTGTCCTGTACGGGCTATATCTTCACCAAGCAGTCCAACACTATCATCTGTGACTATTGGCTCGTGCATTGCCTGTATATGATGATGTTCGGCCTGATAAATATCACAACAAAACACAACAATTACCCCACCCACTTAACTCAATATAGAAAATAGAAACACAAAACAGGCAAATAAATATATATAAATCAAGCAGATACCATTGAAAATAAAACAAAAAGCTACAAGAATGCTTGACTATGTAATGATGCAAATGATGTTTTAACAATCAAGTGCTCCCAGACTGCATGCTGCATTACCAGCTCGAAGCTATACAGTATACATTAAAAAAAATAAAAGATGCTAAACATGTATAAATTTACAATTGTCAGCTAGTCAATGTAGAAACAATGAAAATAAAATGGCTCTAATTTCACTATTTTTAATGTTTTCATCATTCAAACTTGCCAATGCAAATTAATTATAAATTTTATACATTCTGTTGGAAAACATCAAGTCTGTCACAGATTAATCATTACTTAGAGGACTGGAGTATTATCATACCAATTTACTTTTTACATTATGCATTATACTATACTTAACTAATTGATGTGTTAAAGCTGCATGCCTCCAGATTAGCCAAAAAAAATTCAAGAAAATCAAACTTGAGAAAAATGAACAAACATTTTAAGAAAAGTTAAAAGATTTTAGATTGAAGTGATTATTAATTTACATGTTATGTGTAATTAGCAACTGATTTTGCAGTATAATTATCACCATATTTCTACTGTGTGACTAATGCAGTTGAGGGTTATTTTTTTGCATATTTTTACCCCTTTTTTTGGTAGTTTTAAGTGCCATATGCACTGTCTCCCTTTCATTTTACTTTTGATTTTTTTTTAAATTTTCTTTTAAACTAGCATTAATCTGGAGGCAAGCTGCTTTAAAACACCTCTATATAACTATATAAACTATAATCAATGTACATGAAGATAATGTTCCAGAAAACTGATGAGACAATTTTGATTTACATCTTCTATTCAGTTAAATTCCATAGCCTTACATACATGATTCAATACATGTTTATAATAATGCAAAATATTTCAAGCAAACTATTATATACTGTTGCTGCAAATAAAACTTTAAAGGTTTACTCTCTAAACATGAAAACATAATATACACTCATATCAAAATACAAAAAAAAACTGAAAAAAACAAGCAAAGGTTTACAAGTAAATGGAAAAATATTAAAATCTCCACCCACAAAAAGAGACCCTTTTGTATACATTGAACATCTAATTTTTAATATTCCCAAGCATGGTTAAAAAAGCAAGCTTGAACTAAAATAATTTTAGAAAAATGTTAATCTTAAATATATATGATTTCAGACATAAAAATATTACTTTATAGATATAATCAATATGCATATAATATTCCAATGGTCTATGTAACTCCTTCAACAGTCCATCATTTTTATTACTATTAATTAAAACACCTCATAATGCAAAGCAATGGTAAACTAATTACACAAGTATTTTAAGGGAGAGTAACATGGTTTAAAGGGGTGTATAAACAGCAGTTCCATCCATAATATGTGGATAAGATAATCTTCTTTAAACATGTTTGGTAATGGGATTGTTTTCATATAATGAGTCTGAGATATATTATACATTTTTCATTCGTTCAAACACCCATACCTTTTGTGTTAATGTTGCCTTCAAATGCATAGAGGAAGATATTAGATAAATCAGGTTTAGAAGAGTAGATGGTACTAAACAAGTGTGTTCCTCCAAATTTTAGGGCTCATCTCTTTCAGCTATAAATGGTGTCATTTTACCTGTTATTATAGGCATGAGAGGGCATCAGAGTAAGATCATACACTTTTTATATGCTAGATTGACAGAATATTCTGATCAAAAAACCCTAAAGTCCCTTGCAGAATTTGAACCCACTGGGGAGAGCCTGAGGAGAAAGTGATCTAAAATCAGAAGCAATATCTCCACCATGGAGTCCAGAGTTTTTTTTTACCATTAGATAATTAAAAGCAACACATTATCTTGAATACTTTTCTTCTTCTTAAAAACATTTCAAACATTGACAGAGTTTGTCAAATTTATACAAGTAGTAACTGATAGATGGAACAACTTAACAAGGAATTGTAAAATATACCTCATCAAAGAAAGTCTGGGTTTTTCTCAGTATATGTTTAAGTTCTGTAAGCTCCAGAAAATTCTTCTTCAAGGCCTCTGTGTTAGAGTTAACATCCCTCATTTCTGATTCTAACTTCTCAAATGTTGCCTGGAAAGAAAAATATAAATGTTAAAAATATCATATCCATATAAAGGTAAACTATATTTATGCTTGGTTGAAAACTTTAATAAAAATTTGAAACACAATAATGAATCATGAATAGATGATTAGTCATTTCCCACCAGCATAGACCCAGGTCAGTCTGTAAGATATCCATGCATTCTGAGAAGGCTTTATACTGGTGGCTGACATACAGTGGTGGTGATGTTGATAGTTTTGACTCCGAATCACTGCAATTAGTCGCACTGAATTGATCAGAGTACAGTTCAGCCACTGCATCATGCCTGAGCAGGCTGTCAAACAGTTCACCAGTACTAGTTGCCTTCACTTTCGCAAGGAACAGATTACTTCTGTATATGCAAGAGCAGAGGTACAGTGTGAATGACCATAGAAAGGATTTCATGATCAATCACAAGGAAAGTGACCTTGCAGACTCACTTAAAAAATCTATCTAGATATACCCAAGATTAACAAGCAATTATCATAGTATTGCAAGCAATCCATAAGTCCCCTACCGGTTAGAACCCCATCAACATTCTGAAGGGCCATTGGCCATTCACTAATGTTTCATTTTTCTCTATTTTTAAGTAAATTTGTTGGAAATGTTCTTTAAAAGTGACCACAGGAAACAGTTTTTATGAACAGACAGACAGACAGACGGACTGAGGACACTCTAAAGTTAATATTTGAAACATCCCTGTTACCAAAATATAACATTTTAAAAGCAAAATTCTTAAAGAGGAGATAACTCTTGAATTAAAGATGCAATTTCATAAAAATTTTCAGCTCTTTTTTACTAATCACAAATATTGTTATATTTGCCATGTTTTAAGCCTATTTGTTGCCAAGGCAACTGATATTTTATCAAAATAGGAAGAAAAGAAAAAGACATGCATAATCTCAAGACTGCCATCTACCAATATGTCAAGTTTCATAAAAAATATTTCCAGTACTTTTTGCGTTATCACTGGATCCACTTTATGTGTAAAATTTGCCATATTTTCAGCATATTTGTTGCCATAGCAACCAGAATTTTTAACATAGGAAGAAAAGAAAAAGACGTGCATTATCTCAAGACTGCTATCTACCCATATGTCAAGTTTCATAAAAATATTTCCAGTACTTTTTGTGTTATCACTGGATCCAGTTTATGAGTAAAATTTGCCATATTTTCAGCCTATTTGTTGCCATAGCAACCAGAATTTTCAACAAAGGAAGAAAAGAAAAAGACGTGCATAATCTCCATACTGCCATCTATCCATATACCAAGTTTCATAAAAATATTTTCAGTACTTTTCAAGTTATCGCGGGATCCAGTTTTGTGGACTGACAGACTGACAGACGGACGGACAGACGGACGGAAGGACAGACGGACGGAGGGTAAACCTAAAGTCCCCTCCGGTAAACCGGTAGGGGACTAATAACAGACAATATAAAAATGGAAGCTAGGCAAAAAACATTTAAGAAATTCTTAGGGTAAGGTCTAAGATAAATACTAACCTCGAGGTCAATCATCTCTCTAGGCTGTGGGGCATCAGGATTATCTCCAGTATCTAACATTGGTATACCATCCTTCTTTATCTCCTTCTCAAGGAACCCTGTAAAAAGGGAGATAATTCTTATAATACTGTGTAAAAAGGGAGATAATTCTTATAATACTGTTGTTTTATTTTTATCTTTTGGAATAATTGATTTCAGCACATTAAGTATTGAAAATTGAGTTCCACTCAAGCCAGTATTAGGGTGCATGAGGAATGTTTGATTTTTTCATTACCCCTCATGTACAGACCAAATCAAACCCAGTCAGTCTGCAAATTTTGTGTAATTTTCTGATTTTAATGCTTCCAATGGATCACTTTTTTCCAGATATTTATGATTTAATTATAACCTTAACTGTCAAATAAGTAAGTGATTTATCAACCATGTAAGTAATACAGTAAGTGCATAATAATTTGTTGAATTTCTTGTAAAAGTTTGAATACAGTACAATATTATCTTCCCAGATTCTTGTCATTTTGGTGCAACAGATGGGTGAATTAAAATAACAAGACTGAGCAAAGAAACATAACCTGCCTACATAGAGTTTAAATACCAACAGTCTTGGCAATGTCTTTCACATTATTATATAGTTTAATATAATATCGTTATCTTGACAGCATGCAGGTTCCCCAGCTCTGATAAGACCGATTTATCATACTGTATTGTAAGCCAATCAAATCTATAAATTATAACTCAAGCCACCCTTTTATAGATGCCAAAGTCTAATCACATGATGAAGTGAAATGTCAACAAAGATTTTGTCAGTAAAGAATTTAATGAAATATCGGATCAGGAAGTACTTGTATTGTGATTTATGGCAACTTACAACTACTTTAAATGTATTTGATTGGTCAATAACTGCTACTGCCAATGTTTATCTAACAAGCAAATTGTTTAATGTAATCTATTGTATACAGATTATGTCAACAAAATTCCTAAAGTGAATTTAATCTTACAGCAAATTGCACATATAGTGCATTTTCATAGTGATAAAAATCTGCTGAATGAGGATGTACAAGTATAATGATATTGAATATAGAAATTTCAACTGCAACAATACTAAGTCTTGTTACATTAAATTGTTTAACGGACTATTATTTTATACCTTTGAACAAATCTTTTACCTAACATGATATTTTAAATCAAATCTGTCCTTAAATTAGATGTAGGGCTACCATAATATTTTGTATACAAATCATTAAGTGGTGAATATCAACGATATGTAGAATTAAAACAGCTGGCACAGTGGAACCCATTTGTCTAGTGAAATCGTCATTATGGTTGTATGAATGCTTGTTATACAAATACAACATATTCAAATGTTTTATTATTCATGTTTCTCATTGAACTCTTAAAATTAATTTCAGTGTTAAGGCTAGCTAAGAATATGATGAGAAATGACTTCTTCCATAAAAAAAAATAATAAAATAGATGTTTTCACAAGACATGGAGAAATGGGGTTGTAAATAATTATTGTACCAATGATGTTAATTGCAAATCAATATAAAATCAAATGTTGAAAATTGATCATATAACAATATACATATCAATTTTCAATGACAGTACTACTTAAATTAACTTTGAAATAACCTTCCTTTCACAGGAAACCTGTCATTAAAAACTGCAACTTTATTTCCCTAATGAAATATCTACAATAAGGAAATCACCATTTGAAAACAGGATTCAAAAACAGGTTGTAGATTCCCTATTCTCTGTTATTATATATCACTTGGTGATCATGACTGAGTGGTTAAGGTTGTTGACTTTAAACCAATTGCCCCTAACTATAGTGGGTTTAAATACCACAAGAGAGTTTGAATTCTTTCATGTGAGGAATCTATCCATCTTGCTTACAGAATGTTGGTGATTCTACTCTAGAATCCATTTGTGCCTGAAATAATGCACAGAGGTGTGCCTGAGATCTTCCTCCACAAGTAAAGCTGGAAAGTGTTATTTGACTTCTTCTGTATTTGTGGGATGTAAAACCCAATTTAATATTATAGAAAGATACATGTTACATTGTAAGCTAATTATTTTAAAATGAATCCATGATTAAAATGATAGCAAATCAGTTCCCATTATCATAACCCTTACTGATTCAAGTGTTTCATTTATTTATAATCAGGAAAGTCTTCTTTCTTCATAAACCAAATGTTACAAGTATTAACACTGACTCACTTTCCTACAAGTTAAATGATATCAATCTTGTTTATTCAATGAAATGTGACAGTTAAATATATTGATTATGTGACAGTGTAATGTATTTATTATGTGACAGTGTAATGTATTATTAAAGTGATAGTGTAATATATTTCTTGTGACAGTGTAATGTATTTATTATGTGACAGTGTAATGTATTTATTAAGTGACAGTGTAATGTATTTATTATGTGACAGTGTAATGTATTTATTATGTGACAGTGTAATGTATTTATTATGTGACAGTGTAATGTATTTATTATGTGACAATGTAATATATTTATTATGTGACAAGTGTAATGTATTTATTATGTGACAGTGTAATGTATTTATTATGTGACAGTGTAATGTATTTATTATGTGACAAGTGTAATGGATTTATTATGTGACAGTGTAATGTATTTATTATGTGACAATGCAATATATTTATTATGTGACAGTGTATTTATTTTGTGACAGTGTAATACATTTATTGTGACAATGTAATGTATTGATTAAGTGACAGTGTAATGTATTTATTATGTGACAGTGTAATATATTTATTATGTGACAGTGTATTTATTTTGTGACAGTGTAATATATTTATTGTGACAGTGTAATGTATTGATTAAGTGACAGTGTAATGTATTTACTACGTGACAGTGTAATGTATTTATTATGTGACAGTGTAATGTATTTATTATGTGACAGTGTAATATATTTATTATGTGACAGTGTATTTATTTTGTGACAGTGTAATATATTTATTATGTGACAGTGTAATATATTTATTATGTGACAGTGTAATATATTTATTATGTGACAGCGTAATATATTTATTGTGACAGTGTAATGTATTGATTAAGTGACAGTGTAATGTATTTATTAAGTGACAGTGTAATGTATTTATTAAGTGACAGTGTAATGTATTTATTGTGTGACAGTGTAATATATTTATTATGTGACAGTGTAATATATTTATTATGTGACAGTGTAATGTATTGATTAAGTGACAGTGTAATGTATTGATTAAGTGACAGTGTAATGTATTGATTAAGTGACAGTGTAATGTATTTATTATGTGACAGTGTAATATATTTATTATGTGACAGTGTAATATATTTATTATGTGACAGTGTATTTATTTTGTGACAGTGTAATATATTTATTGTGACAGTGTAATGTATTGATTAAGTGACAGTGTAATGTATTTATTTTGTGACAGTGTAATATATTTATTATGTGACAGTGTATTTATTTTGTGACAGTGTAATATATTTATTGTGACAGTGTAATGTATTGATTAAGTGACAGTGTAATGTATTTATTACGTGACAGTGTAATGTATTTATTATGTGACAGTGTAATGTATTTATTGTGTGACAGTGTAATATATTTATTATGTGACAGTGTATTTATTTTGTGACAGTTAAATATATTGATTATGTGACAGTGTAATATATTTATTATGTGACAGTGTAATATATTTATTATGTGACAGCGTAATATATTTATTGTGACAGTGTAATGTATTGATTAAGTGACAGTGTAATGTATTTATTAAGTGACAGTGTAATGTATTGATTAAGTGACAGTGTAATGTATTTATTGTGTGACAGTGTAATATATTTATTATGTGACAGTGTAATATATTTATTATGTGACAGTGTAATGTATTGATTAAGTGACAGTGTAATGTATTTATTAAGTGACAGTGTAATGTATTTATTATGTGACAGTGTAATGTTTTTATTATGTGACAGTGTAATATATTTATTATGTGACAATGTAATGTATTGATTAAGTGACAGTGTAATGTTTTTATTATGTGACAGTGTAATATATTTATTGTGACAATGTAATGTATTGATTAAGTGACAGTGTAATGTTTTTATTATGTGACAGTGTAATATATTTATTATGTGACAGTGTATTTATTTTGTGACAGTGTAATATATTTATTATGTGACAGTGTAATATATTTATTATGTGACAGTGTAATATATTTATTGTGACAGTGTAATGTATTGATTAAGTGACAGTGTAATGTATTGATTAAGTGATAGTGTAATATATTTATTATGTGACAGTGTATTTATTTTGTGACAGTGTAATATATTTATTATGTGACAGTGTAATATATTTATTATGTGACAGTGTAATATATTTATTATGTGACAGTGTAATATATTTATTATGTGACAGCGTAATGTATTTATTATGTGACAGTGTTATACATTTATAATGTGACAGTGTAATATATTTATTATGTGACAGTGTAATTTATTGATTTCTATGTAAATAATAAAGACATACTAAGTTTTCTCTCCATTTCATCACATCTTCTCACTTCATTAACAAACTTTCTCTGGAAAGCATTCACATCTGGATTCAACTATAAATAAAGAATAACAGAAAATGACATAATCATAAGTCAATCTGTGTTTTTTATTAAAACAAAGGGTGTCACAGTCAGCATAAAAGTTAACTGTTTAAACTGTGACCTAGAACCTTTGTAAAACGTAAAAATGAATGTACTAACAAAATTCTTAGATTTTCAACATAAACTTAGTTTGTTTAAGAAAGTTATGCCATTTTGATCTTGCTTTATAGTATGTACTCAAATTGATTACATTACATTAACATGGGATTAATTGTTTTGGGTAGGTCTGTACTGTACGTAATGAGATAACATGTAATTGGAAAAAATACATTGCTGAGTACAATTAAAATACAAACAAAATGTCATTATATATTATTTTGGTTTTGGAGTGATATATGTGGATATATTACCTGTTAAGATTTTATATCACCCGAGCCGTTAGGCGAGGGTGATATTTTATCTTGACAGGTAATATATCCACATATATCACTCCAAAACCAAAATAATAATTTTATTACCCTTCCCCTGCCGAGACGATTTTTTAAAAAAATCATTGCTGTTTCAAATGAAGCGTCGAAATAAGATTCCCTTTAGGATACCTCTTCGTCACAACATGACGTCACATAAATACATGACGTATTTTTCCCGTACCTTACGAAAGTAAACAATAGAAAAGGAGTAGTCTGTTGAACGCACTTTTTTGTAATTAATATCAAGCTTTCACAAGGTCATATTTGTTTTCGATACTGATGGTTATATGTATCATTACTCAACTTTGGTAAATATTTATCATTTGACAGTTAAAAAGTGCTTTTAAATCGGAATTTACACCGCGTAAAATCGAACCGTACGCGCATCACCTCAGCGCATATTGTTTACAACTTTGGGTACCAAACGGGGAAATTTAGTGTGTATATTACCCGTCTGGCTCGGTTATATCAATTTCTTTCGGGTGATCAATATCCAATCAAAAAGGCGGAAAAATTCTGGAAGGGTAATGAATCTTTTTATAAATATTCAGGTAAAGTGTAGAATCAATTAAAATTAATAATTTCATCCTTCTTAGGAAAGAGCAAACATAAATTATATCATGTTAAAGTAACTGTTTTAGAGCATGTAAGTTGCTTATTACCTAAGGAAAGTAGCCCTGGATGTGAAATTATTAGTGATTGAAGTAGAAAAAATGTAAACAAAGTAGTATTTTACATTCCATAAACTTAAACTGTACTAATCCCCCTAAAACAACAAAAGCAAAAGATGATTCATGTTATTGTAGAAATTAAAATGATACATACATCTCGGAACTGTACCAGTCCTAGCTCTCCAAGTTCGGAGACACAGGCATACGCGGCTTCAGATTGTAGGAACAGTTGACATAACGTCATATCCTCGCTGCGGAACAATGAACCCATCTTTACTCTGTTCTGTTATACTCCTCAATAATTACAAGAAATATCTGAAATGTGAACATTAAATATTATTTTTTATACAATACCATCTGATGTATAATGCTATCATATGATAGAAAGAGTGAGTGTCTTACAAGTAAAAAGTTGCATTTGCTTTGTTTATGATATTTACACAGAAAGAGTATAAAATACCAGCAAAGTTTTATATCGCGACCCAGCATAGACCAGATCAAACATACAGATCAAACAATGATACTTGTGTAACCTTCAAGTGTTCCATTTTAGGCAAATATAAATTCATTGCACACATAAACAGGATAACCACTTGTGCAAACAATAAATTAAACCAATAAAAGTAAGAAATACAGTAAATCAACAACAAGTATCTCTTCATTAAGCATGATATTTTAATACCAGTAATAAGAATTAAAAGTTCATTATCAATATCAATATCATTGTAGAAGTTTCTTCAAACATTTGTGTAAAAAAATGAACATTTTTCACAGAAATGTAAACAAACATCTATTTCTTTTAAATCAAGTACATTTAGTCAATACAGTATCCATGTAGGTCTTACTTCCCCATCTCGATGATAATGTAGAATTTTTTTATCAATATTTCCATTGATCAGACATTTGTTTCCCCTTCCCTCCATCAGCGGTATACATAGACAAGATTATGCAAAGCACTTACACAAACATTATTGATTATTGAGTTCTTTACTACCATAGATAATGATAATACAGCAATTGACCAGTTATATTATAACAATTCTGTTAGACATTATTTATGAACTTCAAGATAATTTTGATTATTAATTATTCATACATTCAAAACATCGTTCTAAACTGCAAAATTAGCATGACATACTTTTCTATCAGGCAAGGATTAAGTATTTATTCTATGTTTTTGTGTGGATTAATGATTTATCTGTGAAAATTATATTTGATCATTTCAGAGTTAAAATTTTCAAAATATAATTTCACACTTTTCAATGACAAGACTACAATTTAAAGATTTTTCATTCCAAAAACCACCACAAGAAACTAAACAAGAATCTAATGAAAACACTGCATCAGGCTTTTACCAATTACCATAAGAAATCAAGGACACACCATTATACAATCCACCAAATTATCTTTCTTGACCTTTTCTGGCATCATTATCAAAATATGCCTATTTGTATCATAAGCTTCCCTTAACCAATTTAGCAACAGGTTTATATGGAAAACCTACTTATTTCACACAGGCTCCTATAAAATTTAATTTTCCTAATAAGGACTGAATTTCTTTTATAGAAGCTTCTTCCTTTTGTAATCAAACAGAAAGCAGTAACAAAATTTCATGTAGTCTTTCTGAGGTAACAGCCATTGACATCTTTGAGGAATTTAATAAAACACCTAAAAAACTCATAATTTGGGAAGTGGAACAACTCTTTTCTAAAGACTCTTCAATACCACTGTCTAAAAGGACTTTGTGTAAAGTGATTTTGACCATTTGTGCATTTTCAGGCCTCTCAACCCCTGCAAAATCATACAAATAATTAAGATTGAATATACCAAGTAAAGTTGAAATAAGGTAAAAGATATTGCATTTGTCTTGAAGCAGCACTGTGCAACCCCATAGATAAATCTTGATTATGCAACACATTCCAGTATTACATTAAAATTTATTACTACGCCCGAGTTTTGTTTTAATTAAAGCAAGGATTTAATTTTAGCTGTTGCTGATTTTAATTAAAAATCTTTTAAATATTTCAAGAATGTTTTTCATTTGCTATTTCATAGATCAGGTATATTATATTTACATGTCCTTAGGCAAAATATAGTCTATACAGAATCCCAGCTATGAAATCATGTTTACAAATTCGTATAGCACTTGCAGAATTGGCCTCCATGATTAATCAATAAACACAGCGGTTGTCAATCAGCGTGTGTGCAGATTGTTTATAGGGTGCAATAAATAATCAGTCTGTGTGAAAATCCGTCAGTCCTTGGGTCATGGCTGAATAAAAATCAAGTTGTCCGAGATATATTTCATTACCATCAGTCCTCATGTTCGAAAAAAATTTCAAGAAGCTAAAAATATCAATGAGCTGTTTGATAATAAGTTCCCGGTGACACAAGGAAATTTGTTAAAGAACTGGGTCAGTCTCCTCAAAAAGTTACATCAACAACGGTAAATTTTGCCGTAAATTACAAATTAAAAATTTTTGTTTTACGCTGCATCTTGAAATAGCTGATGAATATCAATCTTAAAATAATAAAAAAGTATTTAATCTGATATGATCAAAATCAACAACAACAACTAGAAATGTGAACGTTTTTGCATATATTTTTCACAAATTTGTAAAGAAACAAAACAAGATAGCTAAAGAGACTAAGCGAACAGGTTTTATAGTACTGCTAGACCTGTTCACTGAAGCCAATCCCGTATCCAAAGCCAACCAGAACCGTGACATATTTATGTCACGCTGCAGGGGTTTTTTACTAACAAATTGACACCGATAGTCGGGCGTCTTCCCCTCGGTAAATAGCCAAGTTTTTTCCCCAAAAAATTATATTTTCCCTTTAAACTGGATCAGATTAAATATTTATATGCCTATGGTTTAAAATGATTTTCTCCATTTTATCAAGGATAACCCAACAATTGTAGTCCAAAATAAGCAAAAACACTGCAGAAAACTGCAAGTACTGTCTCAACATGGAGACTGCCATTTTTTTTCTTGGCTATATCCCATACTGAACGGTACTATTTCTGGAAATCAGTTGCTATCAAAATAATGTCATTTTCTTTGTTATTTTTAGTAAAGTAATATATTTTGTATTTCTTAATTACGAAAAAGACTTGTATGGAGCTAAAGTGAGTCACAGATACATTATCATACCTATATAGTATACTGTATTAAATTTCATACAAAAATGGAAGTATAAAAACCATTCAACACCATACATATTAAGATGTTATACTGCAAAGAATATTTGCATGATGATAAAGTTTTTAAGGGGAAAAAAGATATAGTTGTGACTCTCTACTATGTAGTTTAGTATACAGTATAAATAACGTCATAATTTTCCCCAAATTGACTTTTTTCGTATATTTTTTCCCCTCCCTACCAGTGTCCAGCGTCTTCCCCTTTTCCTAAAAAAAAAACCCTGTGCTGTAATTCAATAAATTTGCTTTATCTGGACAAAAGCTATTTTAATACAGGTAGTTAGATATATTTGGGACACTTAAGACTATATTTTTGAACACAGAATGTTAAGTTGATCAGCAATTTTTTTCCCTATATAAGTGGTACCCAATAAGGGACCCATTCACAATCACAAAAGGACCTTCACAATTTTCAGACAGGGTCCGACGGACCCGTTCACAATTCTGATGAAATTTCACAATTTCAATTAATTAAGCCTTTAATAATGTATTATTTCCTCTCTTCGCATAATGATGCTAAAATTTTGCCTGTTGTGCTTTGTTTATCTTAAAATGCGTTTAGCCGACCATGATTTCCGTTGCATTGGCCCTTTAAATTTTCGTATTATTTAAATACGAAACTTCTAGGGACGAATCAATACCGAAACAAGCATCTGGCAATTTCTGTAAACATCATTCAAAATGTCTCGTAACAGTAAAGCTTTAGACATTTAATGATTAAGTATGTTTAAGTCAGTCACAAATTATATGTTCTTACTGCTTAATAAGATATTCACAATGTCTTAAGTAAAAAATTCACAATTTGTTAAGAAATGACGCTTTTTTTTCACAATTTTTATGGTACCGGACCCATTCACAATTCAGGGAAAAAAATCGCTGTTGATGATATTATGCCGTAAAGTTTATCAGTGGGTTCACATTTCATAAAATTTGCCGCCATTGCTGCCTAATTATCACGTGACTAGTGAGAATTTAGGTTCAGATACCTTTACATGACATTTGGTGACCCGAACCCAAATGCTATTTTTAATTGAAAACATGGATTGCAATTATGAATAACAGTGTATTTATTCAATAACAGACATTGTACCAAAAACATGTTGGATTTATATTGTTTTGAGTGATGATTCATGAATTATTTGTTTGTTTTTATTTAAAATCATGCACTTACTATAAATAGTGTATGGTCCGTTACTAAAATTAGATGCTAGAATTCCCAAAACTTGAAGTCCTGCGAGATTTCATTTGAAAGCAGACTCCATATTGGTAAACATTCTATACATATTTCCCTAACAAATAATTGGGTACACAATGTCATTAAAGTTTCATTTAAAAACAAAACATGAATTGATTCAAAATTGATTTGTTTATCAAATGGTATTTTTATTTGACCCAAATTTAATTAATAAGGGGTGATTTTAATAGGTTTTTATGTACAGCACACAAACTGCCAAAATTCTGGTAGCCTATGCAAATAGGGTTGACCCATAACTTTACAGGCCCGTCGTCACGATTTTGTGATTGGTGCGGCCAATTTGATTGGTTAACGGTAGAATCTAGGGGGGTACAGGGGCATGCTCCCCCGGAAATTTTTTTGGATGCTCTCAGGGGCGTTTTCCCGTATATTTGGCACAGTTTACAGCCTGCCGCTAGTATATGTTATAGTAATATTTCAAAGATTTTTTACAGATTCAAGTGCGTCGTAAGTTTTAAGGGTGAAATTTAAGTTTCGCATGACGGACGGACAGGTGTACATAAAAGATGAATACATGTAATTGATATTTGGCAAATGAAAAATAAACAATAACTGATGTTATTATAATTCTTTAGATGCATTTTTATCTGATGATTATAAAGAAATATTACAGTACGTGGATTATTGTTTAGCATAAATCACACAATGGTATAAGCTTAAATAACAATCGATGACATAATGGAAGAATAGTACATAACGGGTCAACAATAACCACTTTTTGTTTAGCAGTAGCTTGTTTTTTGTTACCAATAATCTTACACAACAAAGAGTCTCATTTTATGTAAATTTTCCAAAAACACATCACCGTCGTTCGCTGGTAGTAATGAACTCATTGGCAATTACATGTACGTTGAGTGGATCTGTCCAGTTAACACCATTAGATTGTTCACAGGAACTTGAAATTCTATCAATGTTAATGATAATATCCAAAATGTACCCCCTATACAGTATAAATAAACGGTTATATTTTGGATATTATCATTAACAGATTAATATTGATAGAATTTCAAGTTCCTGTGGATTGTTCAAACGTACTTGAGACATTGTCGATCTCAGGTATGTCTTAATTCTTCTGAACGCCGAGAATGTCCTTTCACTAACAAAATCTTAAACAACACAACGACCTCATGGAACAGTGCTCTTACTAGCACAGACTGTTCTGACGCAAATTTCAAAATGTCGGGTAGAGTAACAGTACTATTTTCTGATTTGTCAAAATGTGAACGTCGCAGCTGAAGCTGCTCATCTAAGATGTCTCGGTTAATATCGTTAACACCGTTATCACTCTCACTTTGAAGTTTAATCCATAAAGAATCAAAACTGTTGTCTGACCTCATGTCTATCAAGCTATATAGAGTCCACTTTGCTAGCCGCTGGCCCTTGGATGCTGACAGTGAAACTGTTGAGGATATTTGCTAAGGTTGTCTGTCAATGCTAGGATGCTGTGTGCGAGCATTACACCGAAAAAAGTCTCGAACTTGACTTCGTAGGACCCCTACATATACCTGGTTGATTAATTGTGTCCAGTTGTTTCTTCGCGTCATGTTTGTATATTACCGCGCATTGCATAAGGGGCCAGTTAAATGCCAAATTGCTAATCAGCGATGCATGTTTTTTCTTTTCTTTTTTTTTTTTTTAACTCATTTTTGGCAAAAATATTGGTCCTGCCAAGGCCGGACCGGCCGGACCATCGACGACGGCCTTGCTTTAGTGTCGCACAACGTCAAAATAAAAGTGACATATAAAGTTATGGAAGCCAGAACTAAAAACAAGGTTGACTTTTAACTTCACATTAGCTAATGTTTCCTGTAATATGTAAACTGACTTAAAATAAAGTTTCTTGTGTCTTGTATCTTCAGTGTATCCCAAATTTTGAAATATACGCCCACTTCTAGCCGATTTGGGATAACCTCTGCAGTAAATTTACTGTTGCAGTGTCGGCATAATTTATGATAAGTTTGTCAGCATATTCAAGTCAAAAAATACACTATACTTACATATATTTTATTGATAACCTCGCCGATTAAAGTTAATTAGCACATGTGCAGTATTGTGTAATCGGAACATGGATTTCAATTCTTTTACAGTAAAATTTAATGTCATTTATCTAATTTTCACATGACTTGATCGATTTTGGTGATGGTGATGTCAACAATGGTAGGCTTGATCAACAATATTCTACCGGAAGTGGAATAAGTTCTGACAATTTTATAAAATGGTTGAACACCACCATTACTTTTTATCTAATCCCTCTCGGGGACGTTGACGTGTCTGCGAGTCAAAATCGCAAAAAAAGTTAAAAATAATAATAATGAAAATAATAATAATAATAAAACCTTTTTTTAAAGAATTAACACTAGAGATATGTAAGTAAAATATGGTATAGATAGTATCCGAGACTTAAAATATCTTAGTCCTAGATAGTGTCAATAAGTACCAACAAAGTACCAATAAGTATGCACATCTATAGGGAAAAAATCGCTTCGATCTCTGATCAGTACTGACTCGTGATTTCGGCTAGATAGATATAGATGGAAATATAACGACGCCAACTCCACATAGTTGCAGGATATGAATCATTATAATGTACATGTAGCTTACAAGAGAAAGAAATGCTTGAAATTGTGCTTAAATTATATGTTGACGCCTGTCGCTGCTTGTAAGCTGCTGTTTCAAAAGTAAAGACTTACTGTTACCCTTTGTGAGCTTTTACATCCAGATACCGGAAGATTAATATAATGCAAGGGACAGGACGTGAAATGTTTATACCACTTGGTTTCAGTGGATGAAATGGATGCAAACATGACAAAATATGTTAAAATGGTTAGCGGGTTTGTATGTTATCTTGAATTATTTGAATATGCCCATGCATTAAAGTAATGTATATGACACACTCGGTTTCATATCTTCTGATTTGACGAAGTTATATTGAAGATATAAACTGGCCGTGTACATAGTTTGAGATAAGCCTAACTAATTGTACTACGCGTTGAGATTATTGTACTCTTTTTGGGCAATATTTCCCTTTTCTCCTAAAACAAAAATATCTCAGAATCTAGCTTTGGCACGTGAAAATTTGACAAGTGATTTTTTTCTGGCCTGTAAGTTCATGAAACAAAACAGAAATAATATTTTGATGGAATAATCATTCGTTATATTAAAATGATTATTCGTGTATTATTATTATTTTGGTATTATTGTATTTAGTGCAATGATAATCAAATATAACAACACGTTAATTACAGCCTACAGCTGAAATATTTAAAATTTGTTTTTCTATTGTATTGAAAAATTCATGAATGTTAAAAAGTACATTTGTATCACTTGATCAAATTGAAAGTTACACGAAAAGTAGATATGAACCGAAATGAATATTACTTCTTGAAACTACCAAAATTAGTGCATATCTGTCAAAGATAATAAATCAGAAAAGAAGTAACAGCAAATTTCGTCCGTTGTCAATTTTCCCTTTGCAACACGATTCAATAGACAGCCCGATATAAGTAATAATACGTATGTATAAACATTACATTAGGGATATTTGTATTGTATCAGTGCGAGATCGAGAGTTGGTAAATTGTGAATGAATATCAGATGCATATTAACATGGAGCATTTATTCCAAATTCAGTTAAATTCTTAACTGATTTTGTATACTCGACTAACCTAACTTGTAATAGAAAATTTAAGGGTTGCAATTGTGTCACTCGCTGTTCATATTCTCATATAATGAAATGTTTAACGCACTGAATTAATGGAATAGGATTGATTTCAAATAACGTTTTTTGTGTGTGTTTTTTAAAAAGACTTTGGATGCACCTATCATATAGTAAAACATTTCCCCAATTGAAACTGTATAATAGAATTGGTTTAAACTTGAATGAGCTTTTTGATTTAATAACTAAAATATCCAATCTGCCTATAACTGTAGCATGCGCCTTTAAACTTTCCGAGTGTTAGCCACTTTCAGAGATTTTAGAACTGTCATCATCATCCATATGTTCATCGGTAATCTCGAAACTGCACTTCTGCCTACAAGAACAGCATTTCCACTTTGACCGGATCAAACTCCTCACAGTGATTAGTGATTACCTCCCTTTGCAGAATCTCTGTACTGAGAAGGGGAGATCACTGCGTAGGAGATTCTGACCGGATATGTTTTTATTGTTTTAAAATTAAAGGCGTGGTTTGGAAGCCTTAACTCTCTCAAGACAGTAACAATGAGTCATCACTGGCGCCGGTAATACGGTGTGATCTTCGGATTTGATAAAAAAATTTAATACAAATTCCTAAATGCAACGAAAGCGGAAGAAATAAACCAAAAGAAACAGATAACAAATCTTTATCTAAAATACTTGAACAGTGAATTTAGATTTTAATAGTTTAAACATCGGCTGACCTAAACACATTTATATACATTAGTCCATGTGAAGATCTACATTATCGAAAGTGATAATATTTATCAGAGTTAAATGATTGGCTGTTAAATGAGATAAAACATTCTTGTCATGAATGGTATCAACATATATTGACCTTTTCATTTTTCAATGAGTAGTTTACTTTAAAGTAAATAAATCTATATATCTGCTGCAAAAATTTTGATTAAAAAAAAAAAAATTCCTAAAATGCCTGTAGATCTATGACAAAAAAATTGGTTATTTCCTTAAGAGATGACGGCGCATGAACAAAAGCATTAACCTAGCTTAAAAACAGTTCCAGAACATTTTACTTTGTTAACATACGTGTACAATATTCATATGTGTGTTAATTAACAGAGACATTATGTTTTACAACTTTTTCTAAAATCTATTAAGAATGTAGGAATGCATGTAACATGATTTTAGTGATTACAGGGAGGTCCCCGATAATGTCGCCAAAACAATTGGCCAAACCGTTTTGTATATTTTGTGGAAATGTGATGTATAAATAACGTATGTTTATATATGTAATAAGATAAGCATAATTGGTTACGACTCACGGTAATGTGTTTTAAAATAATAAATCTATAAAAAGTAAAAGTTTAAATATAATATGCCAAAACATATAATACGTTGTTGTAAGAAGGCAAGATAAAAAGTCATTCGCAGCTCTATTATATTATATTTTTTAATCAACAGTGAGAACCAGCCGTTTACTGTTAAGTCACAGTGATAAAGAGGTTCCTTACCTATAATACGTTCACCAAAATTATGCTTCATTATTAAATCATCGCTATAGTTCTTTACACATTTAAATAGCAATAAAGAGAAAACATATTTTGTATAAGAAATAACTATTTTAATGCTAGATGTACTTCATTTTCATTATCGCATGACCGCCACAACTTTCCTTTGAAGATCGGCGTTCTCTAAATTTCGGTATTGGAAAACTTTGGGGTGCTCTAAATGAGGTATCAGTACGCTTTGGGGTGCTCTAAATGAAGTATCAGTACACTTTCTCGCGCATGCCCAGTTTATTATTTTATTTCAAATCATTATCGACATAAAGTGGGTATACCTAAAAAAGAACAAAACAAAACATTACACAGTTGACAGAACTTTTTTTTTTAAATATTAACATATCGTCACGATCATTTTTTTTTTTTTTAAAAACTTGAAAATGCAGTTATTAAAAAGATGTTGACTTCAGTGGAAAATAATCGCCATTTTCTGCATCCTGACCTCGAGGACAAGTCTGAAACAATGATCAAATTATTCATTTTTTTTTTTTTTTGGCTTTAAACAATGTCTTCGTTTTACAGGAGATTCTGACCAGTGAGTCACTCAGTTAATCACTACACGTATGAACATAATATTATAGCGTTATTTTTAATATATAGATGGAAGAAGTGTTAAGAAAAAATCACTACATTGTCGTTAGTTTTAAACAATACGCGTACAAGATATACCTCTGAAATATACACCGGGACTATTATCGACAATATTTCCTAGATTATATTTTGAAAATGAGCTGGAAAGATGATGAATATTTGGCATTCAGAAAAAAATGCATCAACTAACCTCGTCAAATGGTTATTCAATTCCAGTTCCTTCAACGGCATCATATGGGTATATTTCTGTGGGTATTTCTTAAAATATTTATATGTTTAAATAAAAGCAAATATTACCAGAGAGAGAAAAAAGTCGTGATAGTCATGCGATAAAACAGTTACAGAATAAAAGGGTCAATCATGGAAATTAATCTCGACGTTCCGTCTCGATTAATTTCCTATGATTGACCCTTGTTGTCGCCCCATGCGCTGATACCAGCCGGTAAAGTCCTCGTATATATTCTATAACTATTACATATTACAATACCTTCAAAAATGAACACATACTATGGAATGCCGGTAGGGACATGCCAATTTGCTAATTTGTCAATTGCTGAATTGCTTATTTGCTAATTGCCGATTTGCTTATTTGCCAATTGCTGAATTGCTAATTTGCTTATTTGTTAACAGCTGGATTACGTATTTGCTTATTTGCCAATTGCTAATTTGCTTTTTTGCAAATGAAATACTTTACACTGTGCCGGAAAGATATGGAAAATCTGACTACAGACAACAAGTTGAGTCAGATCTGTTAACTTTTACCAACAGTATTCTTGTAAATTCAGTGTTTTTTCAAGACTACTGTTGATCTATGAATTTAGTTGCAGTGATGCCTACGCAGATTTATGTCTACAGCTGATGGCTGACATGTCCTTGAGAACACAGACGCTTTGGGTCTGATCCCGTACCCCAACGTGAAACATGCCCCTGTAAACACTCATTTTAAAATATTTTAATATTTAAACACGAATTGGACATCGTTAAAACTGGTTTCAAGCAATTTTTACATATACCGGTATGAAAAAATACCATATACCACCAATTAAGTCTCAATAAAGTACTTAATGGTTTTATCGTTGTAACAAATGTCCAATTCGTATTTAATAAATATTAAAATAATTTTGATATAGTGTTTACAGACGCGTATCACGTTAGGGGCAGGATGTAACCCGCCAGCATCTGTGCTTGAGCCTGCCTTATAACGTGTTGCAGCTATAGATCTGTTTGTGCAGCTTAAGTCAGAGATTGATGGCATAATAAACACTTGATTAGTCATATATAAGTGAACATTATTGGGTAAAGATTGAAAATAAAAGAACTTGAAAACAAAACTATTTCTTATTTTATGGCATATAAAATGTCGTTATTCTCAGCAGATTTGTCGCAGAGGGCCTCATTTTAGTGGTACGAACACATAGTATCACAAATGATACATTTGGTACATGCTTAACACGGGTGTTTGTCTTTGCACTTAAGCAATAGGCTGCGTTTTTGGCTTTGTAAGATTTTGAGATCACTTATGTCTGTTTGTGCATCAACATTTTGCTTTGGTTTAATGTTTTTGAAATTTGGTCACACTTTTCCATTTTTTCATATTGTACATTTTACATGCTATCATGTGACCATGACCATGATCATGACCTAGGGTATAATGGACAAAGCCTCTTTGAATATTGTGTATGCATGCTGCCTATTTAATGCTTATTTGAAGTTACAGTTAGATATAAGCAAAAGTAATAGAGATATGACAGAAAAACAAAGGCTTCTCAGTACAATACATTGGTGACCTTGACATTCAGTATATAACGGGCACAGCTTCTTCATGTACATGTACTTTGTATGCATGCTTGTGACGCAAAGTTTATGCAAAGTTGCAGTAAGATGCATGAATCAGCAAAAGTAACAGAGATATGACAGAAAAACAAGTTACCAAGAAAACCAATGCATTGGTGGGTAGAACAGCATCCCTATTCTCTGAATAGTGGAGCTAAAACTGAAACTCAAGATAATTAAAAAAACAACTACTTTCTGAAACTGAATTTATTTTTTTCGAAATTGATTAAAATGTATCCATCTGTCTTTCTACCTATATTCTAGGTAATGATGGATTGATCCTAATTGTCACAAGTTATAATTAACAAAACTTTATAAACATAATAACATGATATAGGTTCATGAGCTTGAAATAAAGACTACAAAGACTTTAGCATAAAAATATATATATTTAAGCAAATAAGCAATTAGCAAATAAGCAAATTGGCAAATCAGCAAATAAGCAAATTGGCAAATCAGCAATTAGCAAATAAGCAATTAAGTAGTTGGCAAATAAGCAAAGTGGCATGTCCCTACCGGCATTCCATAGAACACAATACATTTTGTATGAAATAAACCTTTAAATAAGTTTTCTGATATATTATTTGAACACAACAGAACAGAAATCTTATTTGTCGAATTTGAACATTGCATTATCGTATATATATTGTAACATATTTTATTTTTACATACATTTTTACATAGATGGATTAACGTGACATGGTATAAGTGTTCATTTGCTGTTTGAATCAATGTGATACTAGTAATACATAAGAAAGATGTAAAGATAATTTTATCAAATCAAAATGAAAACATCAGTAAATATATTGATAATCTAAACAAAATATGATGATAATTGTTCTTGTTCATCTGTTGTAAATAAGTTCAATGTTGTATGGCGAATAACATTAATAAACATTTTTATTATTGTTCATTTTTAACATTCACTACACACAGGTTTTGAAAATTATGAAATATATTTTGTTAACTAATGTAACAGACGTAAGTTTATCTGATTAGGGCATGTGAGAGTGTATAGATTAACTTTCTGTTAAGGTTATAGTGTTATCTTAACTTGTATTTACTTTTAAAGTAGCACCCATTTAATGCACCTGACACGCTGATAGCTGCACGTTCATGTATGAGGCAACTGTTGGCAGTATGTGATATTTTTATTTTATTTTTAATTATTTTATTTAAAAAAAAAACAACAACAAAAACTCTAAAACTCATATTTACCGTTTTGATATATACATATATACATATACACATGTACATTGTATCGTACATTTTTGTATGAAATCCGACAGGCCAAATGAAAAGCAATTTATTTTCTGTTTTTATCAAAATACATGTATACAATGATTGTACATTTTTCTATGAATTCCAACAGGTCAAATGAAAAGTATTTTATTTTCTGTTTCTATTTTATTTTTCAACATACTTCTGTTTATCAACTGGGGGATAGGCACGATAAATTCTTTAAACCATCATTGTTTTTACATGTAGCTAAAGGAATTTTGAACAGCGGGATTGACCTATGATTAATTTATTGATTGGCCTGAAGTGTGAAAATCTGTTGAATAGACCTTTGAAGTCTCGGAATATTGTTTTATCCGTCCAGAAAATATAGACATGTGCCATTAAAATTCATCAAAATAAGTGTGCTTGATTATAACTGTGACCTATGTAAATGGAATTAGCTGTTGAGAATTGGATTATTTACGGCCATTAAAGTCTCACAACAGGTAAGTTTGTTAGCCATTCCAAATATGTCAACGTTTTTCGTTATTGTGATTATCAATTACATTATTTTTTCGAAACTGGATTTTTGAAAAGTTAAATATATTTTCCCTTTCCAAATATATTTCATTCATCACAAAACGTCTATCGAAACCAGGGTGCAGTTCAATAAAACACAGTATAATATTTGTTAAGATACATTGATGGACACATATACAAAAGAGGCCTACCTCTCTGACTGCATAAAAAAGAAGATAATATTTAGTTTTAATAGAATAAGTATATCTAATAATTTCATTTATACAAGTAACACAGGTTTAAGGGTTTTGTGTTTTTTGTTTGAACGATACAATCATCACAGCGGGAGGTTAGCGAAAATATTAAATTAATATGAAATAGAGCATCTAATTATATTGTAATTACGGTGGCATAGAAGTACAGTGGCAAAGAGATGACATACGCAATACTTGTTTTATTGTGTTCCACAACTTATTCAATTGTTTGGATATTATAAGCCTTCCATCGACTAGGATATTTTTTTCACAAAATACGGCGTTAGTTAGATAACTATTCGTACAAGGCTACGGAATTCACCGAGCATTAACGATCATTGGACATATTCATCACGTAATGATTATGTTATCAGCCAAGGTACTTGACATTTGTTACCCAGGGATTGTGTTTAAATAATCATGCTAATTTTCATGATTTTTTTCTAAATATATTAAAAAATAAAATATTGTCAGGGAAACGAAGAAAGTAATTTACACATTGCAAACGGCACTTAACATCAAGAGCAAATATGGTGTAGATTATTCTATAATATTATATGAGTCATATTCATCTTTGACTTGGATTTCATTATTTCAGAATTATAATTCTGTCAAACTATATCACATTTTTGAAGATTGGCGTCGGTTCTTTAAGGAGCTCCACTAAGCCCTAAATATATTGTTTGAAATTCTTACGTAGTAACACTTAAAATAGAAAATCTGCAAAGAATAAGAATTTATAGAAATATACTCAGAAAAAAATTGAATGTCGAGTTTTTTGGTGCGATTCTTAGCCAGATTTGAGCGAAAAGCGTTGGAACCATTTTCATTTTTGGCTTATTGTGCACAATGAAAAAAAAGATCATTCCGGAAAAAAAGGAGTTGCATTCTAACAGCTTTGAAAGGTTCAAGTTAACAGTACATACAACATACCTTTATCTTGATGACAACGGTGTAATCAGTGAATGGGACTGACAGGAAGTAAGCTACTATTGGACCATATATTACATACAAATGCAATTTAGCAGATAACAACAGACATGATAAACTTATCAAGTAAGGTCTGAGCTTTTAAGTATATCTGTATTGAAGAGCTGCGAAATATCAAATGATCTTATCAAAGCTACAGTGAGATGTTGGAGATTAATACTAAAAAAAATTTACTAAGGATTATTTATTTCGTGATTTTGCTATTTTAAATGACAGTTTACAGCATTTATGTATACGGGTATCTAATTATCTGAAGTAAGAAAATATAACTTCTGTATTGAAATACATACAGTAGCAATTATAATTAATTGGATCAGAAGTTTATTCTGGATTTTTTTTTTAGAACATGTACTAATCTATTTCTTACTCTTTCCTTGAAAAATTTGTAATCTATTTTGTCTACTTATTATATTTATTCAGTTTATTTTACCAAAGTATAATCTTGTGTGATCTTTGATATATTGTTCAAGTTATCTTAAATGATTTAAGCAATGCCAATCTGAACACTGTTACAAACAAAGTGATTACAACGGGTTAGAAATAAGATGTGATTGGATATCTTGAAATTTAGTTTGTACTTTCCAGGTATTTAACAGAATACCGTGTATTAAGATGAACTGACTGATCTAGGTGTGTCGTCTGCTTGTCGTCTGCTAGATGAACATTACAATGAAATTTTACTCGAATATCAGAATTGTGGACTTTTCAAGTGTATGAAATAAATGGAAAATTTTATATCCATGACAACACGCTGCCGTACAACGCATCAAATAATCATATTATTTGTTTTATTACAAGCTAACTCTTTCGGTAAGTACTACTTTAAGTTATGTTAAGATCACGTTAAAGATAACTTAATTTTATATGAGATGACATAATATTGGCATATATTTGGTATGAAATTTGTGAGGTTTATTCTACTTGCTTACCCAAACTTTTTTTCAGCGAAATATGAAACAGTCTTCAAATCAATTATCGTTTCAAATAAATAACGAGTAACAAATGTATCACATGTAATTAAGACTTATATCATAAGTTATGTCTTTTTTAATTTGAAGAACATAATACAATGTATTTATAAATTAACATGCCTTTTTTTTAACATGCGTATTTAATCTTTTACCAAGCCATATTAGTGTAGGAAATGGACTACTAAATCATGCATATTTTGGGGGTCAACCAGTCTATGTCTAGGAACAATAAGTCTTATATACCAAAATGTTCACAAGGGATCGAAGAATACGAAACGGTATTTCATTTTAACCCAATTGGTCGGACAATCAAGAAATCCAAGATTGCGTCCAAGATGGCCGCCAAAATTCCGCAAAAAAAGTAATTATCATTATTTGGCCAATGTTTTCAAGAATTTCTAAGTCACTTTTGTCTTCACATATAAATATGATAGAAAATATATGTTTACTGTAAATAAATTGGTTTTTGTCCACTTTTATGGGAGAAATATAAAATATTTGAAAGAATATCATGGAAAATGTATAAAAAATGACCTAAAAGTTAAATTTGATATAAATTTTCATTTCCATGACAACACAATTTAATCTTTATTTCCATATTGTAACTCTTATCATTTATGTCAATTTTAATGTTTATTTACACTTCTCCTGTGGACGCATTATGTTTTTAAACGGGTGGGGTTGACATAACTGATAAGAGTTGAAGTTGTATTTTTGCACAAAAGTACAATATGGAAATAAAAATTAAAATGTGTTGTCATGGAAATGAAAATTTATATCAAATTTAATTTTTAGGTCATTTTTAATACATTTTCCATGATATTCTTTCAAATATTTTACATTTCTCCCATAAAAGTGATCAAAAACCAATTTATTTACAGTAAACATGTATTTTCTATCATATTAATATGTAAAGAGAGAGTGACTTAGAAATTCTTTTAAAAAATGACCAAATAATGATAATTAATGTTTTTGAGGAATTTTGGCGGCCATCATGGACGCCATCTTGGATTTCTTGATTATCCGACCATTTGGATAAAAACGAAATACCGTTTCGTATTCTGCGAACCCTTGTCAACATTTTGGTATATAAAACTTACTGTTCCTAGACAAAGACCGGTAGGGTCCTACTAACCTTTCCTCGTTTCCTACACTACATTTGTTGGTTATATATAAATTCTCGAACTATATTCTAAACACAGAATTAACCATCAGTTTGCTTAATTTGTGTATTGGATTAGTCTTGCTTTGATTTTTTTAAGATTTCATTCAAATTTTAAGCGATTTTAGCTTCCAGTAGTATAGGACCTGGTTTGACTGCACGGATGTACACGCTTGATTGGTTCTATACTGAGGAAAATGCCCGTAACTTTCAATTCAAGAAAGACAATGATGGTTTTGTTTCTTGAATATATTTCAGTTGCTGTGCCAATGTGGATTTGGGCCGAAGGTGAGTGTGTATCAGGCCTGGCTATCACCGTCGTTCTCAAACTGACCTTACTATTAAACGATTACAAATCAAGTGTTATACATGTATAAACAAATTGCAAAAATCAATTAATAGCTGAAATTAATTCATATATACAATTATTTGTTTGTTCTGCTTAGAAATAAATTTTAGCTCTAGTGATTTTCATGTTTAACGGGTTATATAAACAGAATGTCTCACATAAAGATAGAAGAATTATGCCACGTGGTGTGACATTGCCCCTTTTCTTATAAGCAAAATGTACATGAACGTCGGGCTTGTTTTTATTTCATATTACAATTTTACTTATTAATCTTCTGATACCATTTATTTATAGCCGAAATAATCATACAATTTGTTTAAAACTTCTAATCTTTTTTATTAAGCAGTGCTGCTGTTTTTTATTCCTTCAATTTGTTTTTTAATCAACTTTTCTCCCATATTCTATAAGCCCTACTATTAAATATAAAAAAGTGTATTTTTGTCAATTCTGTAACAATTATTTGATTTTATGCCTTATATAAGGTTTCTGTATATTAAAGGATGTGTCAAAGGTGGTTTTACATCAAGTAATGCTAAAAATCTGACAAATAATTTGCCAGCAACTTGCTTCAGAGCCTGTGGCGGAGATTCTACACACGTTGCTTTACAGGTAGGCTAATACTGCCTTATTAACTTAAAGTAAAAGTGTCAATCAGTTAAACATTAATGTATAGAAAGCATTATGTTGTATCAAGTGGAGCTGACAATTTAGTAAATATAGAATACATTAAAGAAATGGAAGCCGAGGTATAGCTCGACATTGCAAGAACAACACCATTCAAACATAACCTGTTTTATGGACGAAATTGAATTTACAAATATTTTTATTAAGATTAGTATCCGCCCGTTTCGCTCAAAAGTGAGAGCATTGAATTAGTCTTCCAGGGGACACTGGTTCGATCCTGGGGAAAGGCGTAATTTTGCTACGAGACAATTTATCTCAGATATTGAGCTTTTTGGTAATTTGTCTCTTACCGAGAGAAATCATGTTAGATAAGTAGTCGGTCACTTTCGAAAAAAAATGGTAATTACTGGTTAGTTACCCAGGAAAGACGTTTAGGTGGACCGACCGGCAAGATATGACCAAATAATTTTTAAAATTTGCGTTAACAAGAAAAACCAACAAATACGGTTTATGCGTCGTCTGGTGATATACATATGGCTATAGTTTGACTGAAAATGTAGAAAAAATCCACTTGTGATCTAAACAAGAGAAAACTGGATTTTACATCCATTTAAAGATAGTTTACATTACAATGTACAACAGTGTGTATGGAATGCAACATCGTATATATTGTATAGTTACGGAACATGCAAACTAACGTTCAATATCATATTGTTATTTAGCAATTTGTACTTTGCTTTTAAACAAATTAATTTTCCAGGGAAATTTCTGTTATTGCAACAATAGTAAAGGTTCGCATGTCCAATCCGATTTTTGTAGACCATGTGAGAAAAACGGAATGCTGGATTGTGGAAACTCTTCTAAGGGATATTGGTCAGTGTATAGGAAAGGTACATTATGTTCATCCCGTTTACGTAGTGTAACATATAAACAGTGCTTATTAATTACATTTTTTCTGGTAATAGCCTTTTTATTAAAGAAAAACTATTTTAATTTTTCATTGTAAAGACATTACTCGTTTAAAGGAGAACAATATGTTGTCAATGAAAGAATTGCTGACATTATTTTGAGTGAAGCTTTGTCCTGTTTAAGTCTTGCAGTGACAAAAATTCTGTTTATGATATATATAATAATGAATATCATTAATTTTATATTTATTAACTTATGTCATATTGCAGCTAGCCAACAAGAACTTGCAAATCATAAAATACCTTTAAACACGACTGGATGTGTTATTTATAGCAAGCGATCATTTCGAGTTGATAACTGCAGCACGAACAACTTACATAGTCTATGTTTATCAAGTATGTGTTTAATTGATCTAATTAGAGCAATTGTTTGTACTATATTACCTTCAGTACATTATCACTAATATAAGAAAAATAATAGCAATAATTAGCTACATTAATATAGGATTAAATTCGACCAGAATGAGTCCGTGCAGCGACATTCTGCTTGCTGGGACAAAAAAGACTATAATTTCTCGGTTATGTTTGATTCTTTAGAGTGGAACAGCCTAGCTAGAGCAAGGACACATAGATTAGCGTCTTAATATGCTTCAAAACATCCTGCAAAATAAGGTTGTTACTTTCCGGTAACAGGACCAACTCAAAATTCCCATTTCTTTTCATTCGAATAAATTCAAACTACCGACTATACAAAAACTCATTCTTCCCAAGGACAATTTTACAATTGCATGCCATGTCCCAAACGGGTTCTCCTTGTCTGGGTCCATGTTTAATAAGATTTTAAGCCAGACTGAGCATCTCTTACCCTTAACACACTTGCTCTGCATTTATCTTTTCCCGTGTAAACCGCTTAAATTATCCTTTTTATAGTAACGAGCAAAGTTTAGGCTTTATTGGAAGATAGGTAGGTGGGTAGACTTTGAATTTAGCAATCCTCATTCTTAGTTCAAGATCAACATGCTAGAATTCATTATCTTGTAGTACAGAGCCTGGTCAGACTGTACGGACATACATTTTGTACTGCTCTATAGGTGACGTATATACATGAATGTAACTTAAAATGTTAATGTCCTAAACATATAGTCAAGTGAAAGGATAAATAATATGATTAAAGATAAGTTTAAGAGTTCATTTATATATTTAAACATGTACATGTAAACTATATATACTAGTGTTCAAACGATGTATATGTATGAAAAACTAGTAAATATTAATTATCATTTTATATATATTTGTTAACTTAAGCTTTTAGCAAAAATCAACACTGCACTAACCATGTACAGAGATGGTCACTCCATGCCTGTGAAAACAAATTCGATAGATTAGTCAGCACATTTGATGTTACAACAAACGGGTGTTCACAATTAGAAATGTGGATTGGATTGTTCGCTTTAGAGGAGCAATGTTAGTAGATCTAATACAGTTCTAACAGATAAAAAAGCATAAGTTTGAGTTGACACATCTTTGAGTGTTTGTTGTAGTTTAGATGTGTTTTTAGAATTCTTTAATGCCGCATTGATTTAATAGGGTTTCTTCATAAATATATAAAAAAGGCAAAGATAGACTTGTCAATTGACGAAAAAGCAAAAGCATATTTATCTACTAAAACAGCTAACAACTGCCGAACACCTAATTATTGTGATAAAAAAAACGACAAAATTGTTTGTTTTTTTTTTAAACCCAACCGTTTTCATTTATTATGTTTCAAATATATTTGCAGCGTCCAAGGATTCATCAATAGCAGTGACAGAGATAACAACAGCATCAGTCAGTGTTCCTAAATCATCTGGTGTGCCGATCTCAAGTCCCGTGATCTTGTCATCACCGGCACGGCTAGAAACAGGTATGAACGATGTATCAACACCATTTGCCATTCCTTCCAGCACCATCACGATATCTCCCACACGCTCGTCTTCAAACGTTGCACTTACTTCAGTTATAAACACAATGCTAACAGAGATTCGAGGTGTTTCTACAACACACTTTTACTCAAAGCACCCAGAAACTGTAGTTACTGAAAACATTGATGAATATTCTAGTAACTCATTACATATAACACCGACGGAGAATAGTCCCTCCAAAACATTGACAATATCATCGAGTCTTTCACATAGTTCTTTAACAACGAGGATATCACACGTGCAAGGAGATAATTTGGCAAGTATTATGACTACACCATTATCAAATATACCTGTTATATCACAATCTGTTACTTTAACTAAATATTGGCAGTCTTTATCTTCTACAATTTTGACTAAATCTACTGTTAAAAATGTAGACAAAACAACGCAGAAAGTGAAACCGGTCACTGACACATCAGTCGGGAAAACGCAAACAGAGAAACCAATCACGAAAACAATACCGGTAGAGCAACCAGTCACAAAAGCAAGGCAGACAGAAAAATCAGACACAAAAACAACACAGACAGAGAAACCAGTCACAAAAACAACGCAGAAAGTCAAACCAGTCGGGAACACAACGCAGGCAAAGACATCAGTGGGGAAAACAACACAGGCAGAGAAACCAGTCACCAAAACACCGACATATTTGACAAATGACGTTTCAAAACAAACCTCAGAGGTTTCGTCTAGAACAGGTTTGTTATGTCTCAAATATAGTCGTGTAGACCAATAAAGTGACATCATCATGTGTATAGCGAATCTATTAATGAATGTTAAATTAAAAAGTGATAAGTTGTTATTTTGTGGAAGGAAAGGGGAGTTTAAGAGAGTTTAAAACATAAATGTACAGACAAATGCGCATTGTATACAAATGGCAGAATAATGACTTTTCTTTTAATCAATTCAAGGCAATGTCACGGAATTTATATAGAAAGTCGTTATCCACGTATTTTCTTTCTGCAGTTGTTTAGATTGTTTACCTATAATATTCATCCTATATTAATAATTCGTTATCAATTAAACTTTTTTCGATAAAGTGTCATATTGTTTCAATGTTTGTAACTTCCATATATAAAGAACATTGTTGTTGTTGTTGTTGTAAAAGTGTTGCGTTTATCGACTTTATTTACAGGTTTGCTGATAGTTATTTCTGTGGTTGGTGCCATAGCGTGTTTCGCTTTAATCACCTTAGGAATTATGGTCGCATATATGAACAGGTATACATACATGTATTTATGTTAATAAATATTTTGAATAAATCTATAAATTGATTATTATTAAGTTGAAATATAGAACATGTGTTGAATGAAATTTGAAGTTTAAGTTTTAGCACAAGTTTAATAATAATAATAAGAAGAAGAAGAAGAAGAAGAAAAAGAAAAAGAAAAGAAGAAAAAAACAACAACAAAAAACACAAAAAAACACGTAAATCCATAAGTGCAGAAATTAAATGAAAATTTATTTGATTCAAAACGTTAGTAACGATTATATTATTAACTGGTACTTTATTTTTTTGATATTATAGATCGTTAAAGAAAGTTAGAAGGAAACTTAACAAGACAACTTTTGTAAGTACTTTGTATTCTCTTCTTGTATGATCAACTTTGTTTAAACAAGTTTATCCCTAGGATATTATTAAACGGGTAATTAAATGTCCTGAGCTTTGTTTGTGCTTATATTAACGCTGATATGAAATTTGAAAAGATAATGTGACATTTATAAAACTTTAAAAGGCCTAACTAGAAGCGATAAAGGTTCTCCAAAAGATTTAGTATACTGTCAAGATATATTTGTTTATAAAACATGAAAAAATAACATGAAAAAATGTTGTTTTTTTGCAGACTGGTGACCATACATCAAATCACGTAACTGAGAATTTATCACAGACTTCTTTAAATGACGATCTCTCGGGATATGACACTAGCAGCGGTTTCTGTCCACGTGGAATCAGAGCTAATTTAGATACATACCATGATACACGGACTATTTTTTATAACGGAAGAACACGGAGAGAAAATGATTATGTTCTATATTAGTCCAAAACTTTAGGATAAATCTTGTCCAGTATGAGCGGAGGAGATTCTCAGCATTATGTTGTCTTGCTATATAAACATTATTTGTTTAATAATGTACCGTATTGTGCTGGTAGTGCCTTATCTTACCTTATATTATGGTGTCTTATATCTTACATGTTAAAGTGCCTATTCTTACCTATATATAAGTCAATACTTATATATTTTGTTCAGATTCTTTGACATTGAACCGTTTATTGTTGTACCTCTTTAATGTTTTCAGTCTCGGAATAAGTCGATGCATATTTGACAGTTATTGCACTTGTGCTATTTTTCAAAGCATTGAAAAGGAAAAAAAATATCACAATGTGTCTACCAAGTTACTTACAGTTAGGGGTCATTTTGCGTATTTTGACATATTTAAGGTTACTAAAGTACCATTAATTTTGTTCACTTGAACACCATTTTAATTTTTGTAAAAACATAATTTTTATTACATTAAGTCGTAGCGCTTCAGAGGGTTACATTTTAATCTGGAAATGTAATTGTTAAGGTGATCTCTCAGTAGACCTATGTTTAGTCAGTCTTATTTGATACGTCTCCTTTTTTATATATTTCTGTTGGACTTTCAAATTATATCATGTCGTATACAATTTAATGAAATAAAACATGTTTAAATAGACATTTTTGTTATGACTCATTGGTTTATCTGCATCATTTTTATGAAAATTTGATCACAAAACAATGCATGTAAGTAAATGAGGCGCGCCATGTCAAAACCAACATAGTACGTTTGCAACCAGCATGGATCCAGACCAGCCTGCGCATCCGCTCAGTCTGATCAGGATTATAAACCCTATTACAAGTGGAGAAACTGATAGCGAACGATAGCAGACTGGTCTAGATCCATGCTAATCGCAAACACACTAAGTTGGTTTTGTCACGGCGCGGCTCAAATAATGATTGAACAATGTGTACAACCGCACTCAAAACAACACGACATATACACAGTACCCTCCTTTGACATTGAAATCTGACCCAGAAACCGGACACTTACAGGGGAAACACTTTACCCCACTCTGGCAGTAAGATAAACATTTCAAGTTATTGTCCTATATAAAAGCAATTAATCTGGAAATTATTAAGCACACTTGCTGGTTTTTCTTTGGTTCTACTACCAGTTTACATGTAGCTTAACATAGATATACGTTCATATATAACTGCTTAAAAGTACAAATTTGAGACAACTACTTAAAACTGGATTAAAACAAACAAACAAGACCAAGTACATAAAAACTTAAATTTATTTCAACACACCAAAACAGGAAATTACAAATAGTGATAGTTTGCAGTATTGAACACATATAAAGGCGTGCAGCTTACATTTGAATATAAAAATCAGTATCATGTAATACCTATAGAACAATTGCTATAATTAATAATAACAGAAAAAATCTCTAAAATCTGAAAAAAATCAAACGGAGTTCTTCACCTTGATTGTTATATTTTATGTATAATTTATGTTACTGACTCATTCTGTTATTTCCTATTCTGCTCTACAATACATTGCATTATCTAGCCTTTACATAGTAAAGTAGTGTCATGTTTTCATTTTATGGTTTGTTGTAACATATGATACTAAATACTATCAACATAATTATTTATTAAATTACAGACCTTCCATATGTATTGACCAACTCACTTTAATGACCATTAACGCAAAAACTTCACCAAAAAGGGTTAACCAATGCCCAGGCTTACAAGTGGGTCCTAACAATAGCTTTGCTTCTGGAACTAAAAACTAATACTAGATTTATAAACAATTTGTAAAGACATCAAATGCTGGAAAAAATTATACACTTCATGTTTAAAACTCAATAATAATAATAATAAACAATAAACAAAACATTTAACATATATCACATAAGTATATTTACATAGTAACAATAAAGAATACATGTAGTTAAAATTGTATCTTATTTTATGAAATATCTACTAAACAAATACATATTCTGTTTTAAAAATATGAAGATTTATCTTTGACATTCAAAACAATGTATCTTTTTATTACATTTATTTAAAAGATTAATATTTGTTTAAGACTGAGAAAAATTGACTTCTCTAACATGTTTAAGCAACACACCTCCAGATTCATTTTAATTTTCATGAAAATTTTGGAAATTTATTTAAAGTAAAATATTGTGAGATTAACAAATACAGCAATTTACATATTGCAATCGGACTTACAATCCAAGAAAATTACCAAAGAGTGTTCAACATATGAAAAAATAGCCCTTACTGTGTTAGAAACGCAGTAGAAATATGGTGATAAAATACTGCAAAAACAGTCTTAAACCACACATAACATGTAAAATATCACTTGGATCTTGGATGTTTTTACCTTTCTTAAAATTTCAATACATTTTACTCAATATTGTTTTTCTTGAAATATTTTGCTCATCTGGAGGCGTGAAGCTTTAACTGATGATGCACTTATATATAATTTTATATCATATTTATCAAATTATTGCTGAAATTTGGCAGTTTTGGCATTTGTATATCATAAATTATCTGAGAAAATAAAACTCTGAAAAGCTAATAAATCTGTGGGAAAAGGGTTAAAATATGAAATAATTAATAAAGCCCAAGAATAATCTTTTTTATGAAAATAATATAATGTAATATGTAAAAACCACAATAAGGTCCTTCTTAAAAAAATATTTGCATGTACAATTTATAAAGATTAATGGAAGGGAGAGAACTCCAACAATACTGTTCAATTTTTTAACTATCTAAAGGGAGACAAATATACTTATATACTATGAACACATTGTAAAATTTGGAATATTTTTGTGGAAAAAGGTAATTTAAAATTGTGCAATATTTTAAAAATATTCATTAACAACATTACATCACAATTATTTACATAACTATTTAACATAAGAAGATCTTTGAGAATTTAGTAAACTACATGTATTATTATAATATTGTGTAAATTTTTTCTCTCTATTTGTAACAAAGGTTCTAACAAATATTCATTAACACATAAAATATCAGTTATAACTAATTAAAATTAAAAGTTTTTTATATTAGTGCAAAGAAACAAATATAAATTTTAATAATTAAAATATCAAAAGCTCTCAACTTCATGTTAACATTTAATTATCTTGAAATAACAGGAGATAATATTTTAACTTCACATACAATATTATGCCAAGAATCTGGGTGTGACTTTAGAATAATCTAAGCTTATAAAAACATGTATTATTAATTTGTTGACACATGATATGGCGGCATATAAACGGTTATTTGCATAATAATCCTGGACTGGCAGCTCAGGTTATATTTACAAACAACCATTTATATAGCACTGTATAACCTGTCAAAAATCTTTATAACTTATAATCTAAACACAACCATTATTATTTCTACAAGTATCATTAAATGAGCTGCGTCATGACAAAACCAACATAATGAGTTTGTGACCAGCATGGATCCAGACCAGCCTGCGCATCAGCGCAGTCTGATCAGGATCCATGCTGTTCGCTATCAGTTTCTCTACTTGTAATAGGGTTTGTAAGCAAACAGCATGGATCCTGATCAAACTGCACGGATGCGCAGGCTGGTCTGGATCCATGCTGGTCCCAAACGCACTATGTTGGTTTTGTCGTGACGCGGCTCAAATTAACCATAAATTACCATGCTGGAACAGAATGAGTTTAACAATTTCCACCAGAGTACAAGCCAGGTCAACCTGCAAATCTGAGAAGTCTGATCAGGCCGACTATAATACAGCTCATTTCTTTTTGTATTTTAAAGATCGAAATCCCTTTAAAATGTGAATAATCTTGTCCAAATCTATTCCACAAATTCAGCAGGTTAAGCCAGTGACTGATGGCCATTGTGATTTTGTGTTGTCTTTAATCAAAAGATCATATGAGCCACGTCACGACAAAACCAACATAATGGGTTTGCGACCAGCATGGATTCAGACCAGCCTGCACATCCGTGCAATCTGATCAGGATCCATGCTGTTCGCTATCAGTTTCTCTACTTGTTATAAGGTTTGTAAGCAAACAGCATGGACCCTGATCAGACTGCGCTGATGCGCAGGCTGGTCTGGATCCATGCTGGTCGCAAACCCATTATGTTGGTTTTGTCATGACGCAGCTCATATATGAATTTATCAACTTCAAGGGCTTTAATAATGAATGACTATATACAGTGCTATTCTTGGACGAGGAAACATCTTTAACACTAACTTCTAACTAATTTCTACAAGATCCAAGCATTTTTATGTATGAAAAATAAAACAGTGTAAATTAAAGGCATGTTTATTGCCTCAGAAACAAATACAAACATGAATTTTATAGTATAAGAAAATAAGGATGTTTGTTACCCTATAAAAAAGTAGCAATAAATGTGAAATAACTTGTCATAAAAGTGGCAAAATGTAAACAAAGTAGTATTATAACTTTCATACAAAAAACTTATTCGCTATATATTACCAAAAAGCAACAGATCAAAAAGATGGTTCAGGTTATTGGCTAATGAGTAAATTTTTGGATACTATAAAAGTAAACCAAAATTAAAGCTTTTGAGAAATAAAAATAAAAGCATTTCTGAGGCATAATGGGCCTTTAATGTGGCAACTATTTATACATAATTTCAAAAAATGAACTAGAGTTGAAACACAACAAGAGCTATAGATAAAATGGTATTTAAAAATCATGATTAAACAAACAATATATACACATATTTTTTCCCTTTAAAAATAGAACTCTGAAAAATTGGAATCTATTTCATTGAGTAAAAATTCTGAACAAATTTAACATGCTATATTAGTAACTTATTCACAAAAAGTACCAAGCATAAGCATATGTATCTTTTTTTACTTTAAAGCTAATTTCATCTTTCTTTTTAACCTTTTATATATTAAGCAAAAGCACTACTTATATAGTAACGCAGGCAGAAGGTGTGTGGTTCCTTTAATTTCATCCATACAATATACATGTACTATAAATAAAGTACTCTATTTATAGTGTATTAAAATACAAAATAAGTAAATCTGTTTCAAAAGTACAACAAATCTTTGTGCCTACGTTTGAAAAATTGATTTTTGAACCTGGTTTTAAAAATTTGACTGAGACTGTGTGAAGTCTATAAACTGTGCTTGGAAGCTGAGAGCATCCAAAGCTGTATCAATTGGTGTGACGACACAGGAACCATAACTTGTACAGCCTACAGCTACACCTATACATATAAGGTCATGACCTTCCCGAGACAGAAACACCAGACACCCTGAATCTCCGAGGTCAAAGAATTTTAGTTTTGTCTCTGATGTTGATGATACCTCAAACTGATTATAAAACTCCATGATGCTGTTACCATAGCAACCCTCAAAGTCCTTGACATATACACCGTCAACGTATAACTTGCCGCAGGTAAGTCCTGTTGTTGCACCAACTTTGACAATACTACAGACAAGTTCTTCTTGGCTGATGTCTGATAATTTCTGTATCTTACCACTTGCAAAGTTGAATGATTTTTGTGAATCAATACCTGGGAAAAAAGAAATTGAGCATTACCACAATGCAGATTGAACCCGTGATACTACAGGTGATCATAAGTCAGAATAAAATCAGAAATTATCTTTATACTGAAATATTTATATTATATTTTTCTTTTTCTAGCATAAACATATCTCCTAGAGCAAACTTTCAATCAAGATATATAAAATAATGGACTGAATTAACACAAAAAATAGATTTAAGCATGACCTTGACCATAAAGCTATGTAACTGGGTCATATGTTTCATCCAGACAATAAACACAAGATAAAAATGTTCTGCACTGCATTAAATATGGAGATGTTCATTTAGAAGATTCAAATAAAACTATTTCAATTGACATACATGTGAATTTTTTTCCATGGTCAAGTGGGAGATTTTTCTTCAAAAAGAGGGAGGTTCAAAATTTGCAATATTACAAAGAAAGACGTTTTGACATCAAAAACAGGGAGATTTCTTTAATTTGTGAAAATACCCCTTATTTTAAGAAAAATCTTTGAAAATACAGCTGCAGAAAGATGTATTCTCCCTCCAAAAGTGGGAGAGTTCACATAAATGAATTGCGAAAGTCTCATCAAATTTAACCAATATATGTCTGACTTATGCTTACACATTGCTGTAAGTGCTGTTCCTATTAAACGTAACCATTTAACCAAACATTTACCTGCTTCTTGAAGTTGTTCTTGTGTTATATGAACAAATTCACTATCAACTGGACCTTGACATGTAACCTTGACAACAGCTACATCACAACCAACACTTTCACATGAACCTGGCTGATAGACTTTCTCATACACTTTTCCACATACAGTTCTAAATGTAAAATAAAAACATTCTGTATTAAATTTACAAGGAAATTTCATCAACAAGAATTAAGAGTTAAAAAAAGGCAGGAGGGAGATGGCAGTTAGGTATAATAATCATCCATGCAGTCTATTGGGTGACAAAGCTTAAATTTTTATCTTTTTCTTTATATCCAAAAAATTGATAATTTTTAGGACAGTTTCAAATATGGAAGCTGGATAAACCCATTTAGGAAATTCAGAGATTAAATGTTAATAGAAATAGAAATGTGTCCATAGGGCACAAGTGCCCCCACACTCCACTGTTTTGTCAATTTAATGATTCTAGGTCAAAATGATATTTTTTGGGCTACATGTGCCACAAGTTGAAAACTAAAAATCTTTTACTAAGTAAAGGGCAAGACCTTTACAAATATTGAATTAATCCACAAGCAAACCTCAATGTGCACAAGTAAACATGCTGATCAACAATCTCCTACAGGTCAAATACTTTTTGAACTATCCATGAACATGTTGTAAATTGCAAATTTTTACTTAGTCAAGGGCAATAAATCTACAAATACTTAATAAATCCACATGAAAAGTGCCCAGAGGCACTGATCAACATTCCTGTAAAGTTTCATGACCCTAGGTCAAATACTTTTTAGAAGCCTCATGCCACATGTTGAAAATTGCAAATGTTTACTAAGTCAAGGTCAATAACACTGAGAAAACAGAATGCATCCATAAGTAAAACCCAAGGTGCAAAACTTTACATGCTGAGCAACATTTCTGTAAATTTTCATGACTCTAGGTCAAATATATACTTTTTGAGCTATGTGCGACACAAGTAACTGTTGAAAATTACATATTTTTACTAAGTCAAGGGCAATAATAAATACTAAATAAATTCACACAATAATACCCAGGTGCACAACTACATATACTGAGCAACATTCCTGTAAAGTTTCAAGACTCCTGGTTAAATACTTTTTGAGTTACATGCGACACAAAATGAGAATGGACGGAGGGACAGACAGACAAACAAGGGTTAATGTAATGCCCCTCTGAAGTTGGGGCACAAAAACAAAAAACACAACATAGACTCAGCAAATTTATAAACAAACTCGGAAAAGTGGCTGAGTTGTTTATTTGCCACCATTAAGCATCTCATTTTGAGTCATCTGGTTTAATTAAATCATTCAGGGTTTCAGGCTTTCTGTAAATATTTTGGGATAGCCACAACAATGGATTATAAGGAAACATACACCTTATTTTAGATTTACTGAACACATAGTGAATAAACTTTATAAGGAAAGTTGCTATAAGAGAACTGTTGCTCATAATTTTAATTAAAGCCTTTGTATCACATTTTCTATGCAAGTAATTCTATGGGATTCCATTTTGTAATAAAATAACCCCTTTTTAAAGAAACTCAACAGCAGTAAAAATTCAGCTCAACAAAAGCAAGTTTTATGCTTCACAATACTTTTTTTTCTTCAGAATACCAATTTTATTATACAAGGGGCAGGGGGTGGGGGGAAAAGCTTGGAAAATATATAATTAATAGATTTGAATTATAACCTGCTCGAAGCTGAATTGTTTTCTTGTCCTATTACACTACTTTGCTGATAAACATCATCACCAATATTTGCATCAGTAAAGGTGTGAGCACAGGTAAGGAAACCTATGTCACCATCAGGTAATAGCAGGAAACCACCTACAGTTCCAGCTTCAGTCCCTGACTGTAAACATACACTGGTACCCATATGTATGTCCTGCTTCACTGATGAATGATGGGTGTTTTCTATCTGTAACAACATTATAATCAATATTAATATCAGTGGTTTTTCTCACTTAATTGGGAAGAAGTATTAGTCTCTCGATTTGGGTAGAATTGTCATTAAAATTGCTCATTTGGTAAGTAAAAAAGCTGATCGAGTTCTAAAATTTTGGGAAAACTGCATGACTATTTAAGAAAAATTTCTATATGGAAGAAGCCTTTTATTGGCCTCTATTATATCAGGTGAAATAAGTAAGTAAAAAAGCTGATTATGTGATTAAATTTTGTCACTTATGATTCAATTTCTATATGGAAGAGGCCTTTTATTGGCCTCCATTATATCAGGTAAAATAAGTAAGTAAAAAAGCTGTTTATGTGATTAAATTTTGGGAAAACTGCATGATTTTTAAGAAAATTTCTATTTGGAAGAGGCCTTTTATTGGCCTGTGTTATATCAGGTGAAAAATTATTGACTATTAATCAACAATTAAAAAAAGGCAGTATATGTTGTATTATTTTAATACGACACATTATGCATTATTTGGTGACCCTTTTGTCTGTTTCCTAAATTTTAACAAGTCACACATTTTCCTTACTACATTCCCAAAAATATACATGACACAGAATTAAGTATACGACAAAACATTGATATCCTCTCTTGTCAAATGTATTCCTTCTTATTGTGATCTAGTGCTCCAATGAAGTTTCAAAACTTAATGTTATGGTCAAGACAAAAATTATGAAGAAACAAAAGGAAATATCTTTAAAATAATGAATGTGTTTTGATATAAAATACATGATACTTTTAATCAATAAAGACAATGACATTGATATTGTTCAAGTTATTCTGTTGAAACCTGAAGTTTCAAAGAAAATTTGCTTCAAAAGGGGCATGACCCAAAAGCATTAGTAAGTTGAATGCTGCTGAGCCAAAATCTGACTTAAGCTGTGCTTTGATATAGTAGTTAATATCATACTTACATGCTAAATATTTATAATCACAATTGCTGATATCCTTCAAAAGTTATCCTGTGGGAAACCAATTTTCTACAGAATGACGGACAAATTGCCATACGGTACATACTTTAATACATCCGGACAAATCACAGGGTTTCATCCCCGTCACTGCATTTTTCCTCAACCCTTATATAACACACAATTCTTTCATTGACATCAAAAGGCAGGTTTGTTTTTTCCAATATATTAATACTGTACTAATTTTGTCAATTTATTATTATGACAAGTTTGGGTTTTAGTTAATTCAAAGACATGATTGTTCTTTGTCAATTGTCTTTTCTGCAGTAAGGTTATAAGTCACATCATAACACTTTCAATTATTGTGGGAGCTCTAGGCCTGGTGCCACTGACCATATATATTTATATATCAAGTTGGCTCTTAAGCAGTGACTTTCTGTAATTTAACTTAGCTTAGGATAGCTTACCTAAGGTCACTTTAACCTTGATGAGGGTTAACTTTAGTGATTCAAAATCAGTCACTTTATCCTGTTGGTAATTAAGTCCACTCTGATCATTATCTTTAAGTCATATCATTTCATAAAATCATTTGCAGCATTAACTACAATTTATATTCCATTAAAGGCACATTATGCCTCAGAAACACATCTTTTTATTCCTAAGAAATGACAAACATTTGTTTAGTAATGTTTTAATAATGGATTAAGAGCATGCTCTAACTCTGAGTTAATAAGTGCTGAACATGCAGTAATGTATCGTAAAGGTAGAAAATGTAAACAAAGTATTATTTTGACTTCAATACAAAAAACTAATTCACTGTTATACCAATGCCAACAGAGCAAACATAGTTCATGTATAATTATGGCAAATAAGTATTTTTGGAAACTGTAACAAGATACCAAAATTTCTAAAAAAATAAAATAAAAATGGTAGCATTTCTGAGGCATAAAGGGCCTTTAAAATTTGATCATACTTTATAATGTTTTTTTCATTTTGTTAGGTTTCAAGTCATACCAACACTGTATAGGTTATAATCATGACAACTTTCCGGCTTTATTGAAGATGAAGACTTTAAGTATACCATTTTGTACATTATAACAGGCACAATTAGGCACAGGAGTAGAATCACTGATGTTTCTCAGTGCACTAGTGGGCACTGGAGTACACTGGTAGAAAATAGTAATATCAGGACTCAACATTTTTCAAAGTAATAAAGCACAGTTTTCACTTTGTATATTTTTAATTATCTCTGTAAAATATCTATAAAATCAACAGTAATATTTTGTAAAATAAAGTAAATAAATACATGTATGTATAGAAATGAAAATTTGTATAAATATTTATAGACTCGAATAATAAATCAAATGTATACTAAAATATTATATAGTGTAAATAAAATGTATAAATTTACACAAAAATTCCACAATAATAAAGACATAAAGACATAATCAAAATAAGCTGTGACTAAAAGTTGCAAATCCAACTATGATACTTTAATAAAATGATATAGCATATAAATATAATAAATTAATATATTCCAGGCTATGTCAAATACAAAACTACATACCTTCATCTAAAATCTAGATAAATATAAAATGAACATAAGCCTATGAAATGGCCAATTTAAAATATATGAACACTCTAAATAAATGAAAAGCAAAAAAAACAACAACAAACAAACGAAAAAACACAATATAAAACTGAGATCATATAACTTGAATGCATAACAAAAAAGAACCAACAAACAAAACTAATCATCATTTAAAGGGACTCCATTGTCTTTTGTTGTTGACGTTACACAACAGTAAATATCATTTTTTGACCATTTAAAGTATTATTTTCAAATTTTATGTTTTAATCAAAACTCAATGGAGCTTCTTTAATAGTAAAGATTTATAAATTAAAAGAAATAAACATCAGTGATCATTATGCCAAGTATTAATGGTGAGTGCTCCGGTAAAAGTCAAAATACCTTTACATTTTCAATTTTATAATTTACTGAGCAAACATAATTCATAATCCATGTGACCCATGGAGATTTCTATATCATTTGGAATTTGAATGTATCAGGAATGTTCAATTTTTAAAAAGTGTGGTATAGTCTTTGTATAATTTAAGTAGTTTTTACATAATTTTATCCTAAACATTTTTCATTTCATGAATTATTGGTCAATACCTTTATAATAGTTAATCTCTTGAAAAGTATTACTATTCAACTTAACTCGACAGCGGAAAAAAATGAGCATAATATCACTTTAATTAATGGATAAATCAACTGTTAAGAAAATTAATGCAAACACTGAGAATAATCAACATGACAACAAATACCTGATCAATTATATTATCTGTCAATATTTCATTTTGCCTTGTTTCACTATCATCAACATCTTCATTTAAATCTTTACGGTCAAACTTTTTAGCTACAGCTCTTGGGCTTCTTTTAGTTCTGTTTACAGATTTCTGTGAGGTTGAGGATGCTTTACTAGTAGAACCGGACACACAACTGTTATTGTTTATATCACTTTTACTCTCGCTACCACTTTCACAAACAGAGCCCCGAGAACTAGCCGAGGATTGACTCCTAGAATAAGTTCTCTTATCTACCCCAAGTTCCCATAATTGTTGATGTAGGTCTGATACTCCAGCTGGTGTCGCAACTCCTAGTCGGAAATATCCTTCACGTATATCTACAGGTAATCCACCAATCTCTTTTGGAAAGGGACTTTCATTAAACGGTATAAAACCCTTTATTAAACAATGAACTACAATACACAGTCCTTTCTCGAGAACTTTCCCACCTTTCTTTGATCTACATGGACATGCATTTATAACAGTTATTTTACTATGGTATTTTTGAAGATTTACTGAACTGAGGGCTTTCCTGATTGATTTAAAGTTATCTAATGTAAGAGGGTGTGAACGTACATAGTCACTATTTACCACTAATGTTGCCTCATTGCTGACCAAATCATAACGCCTCCTGTACACAGGAAAACCCATGAACGAGTCCCACTCTCCCTGTATGTTTTGTTTAGTAAGTATAACAAACACTGGCTGCCATCTGTCCTGCTCAAGATAAGCTGGGAAAACATCAACACATAAATCACCTTCAGCACCATGAATAATCTTACAAACATCTTCCAATAGTAACAATGTAACATCATAGTTCTGTTCTTCTATAGCCAATGACAGAGCTTCTTTTATCTCTCCTTCTGATATTGTCTTATCAGAATTCAAATAGTCAGCAATATCTTGTAAAGATCCATTACAAATTACGTACATTAACCCTGGCATATCTTGTTTGTTGTACCTCCTCTTCTGGACCGGGCTTCGCAAACATGCAATAGCTCCTCTAAGTTCTTCAGACTGACCTTGAAAACTGTAGTAAACAGAGTCATCCATTGGGCTAACAGAGTTTGGCTTGGTTCCCTGCTCTTGGTCAGTATCATACACTTCTCTACCTTCCTCTTGCATCAACATATCAAGTTCATGTTCTAAATCCTCACCTTCATTGACATCACATTCCTTATTCATCCAATCAAGAACATTGTCCCAGACCTCATGGTTCTCGTCACATGTTTTCAGACATTGTTCAAACAATTCCTGTTCTTGTCTCTTCTGCCTCTCTATGATTCCAGATTTATTGCTACAATCTGACAATGTTTCTGTGCCTGTTATTTCACTCACTGTTTGCTTCGAGTCCATGTCAGATGATGTTTTACCTTGAAGATGAAAGTTATTGTCTACATACACACCACTTAATGCACTTTCACTTCCACTTACCACCATATCTGAACTTTCTTCATCAATGTTATTATACTCAGGCTCGTATTTTCTTCTGCTTGCTGGACTACCAGTCATCAATTTCAGACTTGGTGAGCTGATCTTAATCATACCTTTATCATGAAGAAAATGGTACCTGGCACTTTCGTTAATAATGGATCTTGTCTCCCCATCTATACTGTTTGTACAGCTTACAGATGTTTCTCCCAACCTGTTACCATTTAACATTGGGTACTGATATTTGTGTAGATTAGTTAAAGATTTACTTCTTCTATGATGACGAAGTGATTCTTCCTGTAACTGCCTTTCAAAATCTTCAAATTCAGAAGTAGAGTCGACTTTGGGATGTTGGTGGGCACTATAATGATTTTGCTCTAATTCTCTTTGACCTGAATCATTATTTGAATTATCTCTATCTGAGATGGTTTTTCCTTTAGGACTTGAGGTTTTGGATGGAGGACTTTTGTTTCTCCTCTGTGGACTAGGGCTTCTGTGTATGGCAGGAGATCTTTGTAACCTTGGACTTCTTTTTGGACTTGAACTCCTTTTTGGACTTTGGCTCCTTCTTTTTGGACTTGGACTCCTTTTTGGACTTGGACTTCTTTTTGGACTTGGGCTCCTTCTTTTTGGACTTGGGCTTCTTTTTGGACTTCTTTGTTTCAATAAAGAAGTCTTTGATGATGTAACTGGACTCCTCTTTGGACTAGTATTTATTTTAGGACTAGGGCTCCTACTTTCAGAATTTTGTCTTCCTCTGGCAGGGCTTTTGTGTTTTGGGCTTGCATAGGCAGGATTTGCTGTAAGTTGTTCTGCAGACTGTTTATGGGAATAAGCTGACATCACGTGTTCTATAACTTCATTTTCATAATCGGTTTCGAAGGTGTTTAAAACAGAGGGGCGTGGCAACTTTTCCAGACACACCCCTGCAGTGATCTCATCACCGCTTTTCCTTGTTTTGTAAAACTGTAGGCGTTTCTCTGCTTCCTTTATGAAGTCTCTTTCTGATGTTGAAGAAAACTCTTTGCTTGGAATGGGTGGTTTTCTCCAATCACCTGTACCATCAATTTTCTCATGAGATCGAGTGTATTTTGACTTGATTGGATTACCTCTCTCATCTCTTTCAAACATATAAACATCTTTATTTATCCATCTACTTCTGTTAGAACTTTCAACTGTATCTGCAAAACTATTAGCAAAGTCTCCTGTAACAGCAGTGACATTTGTCAAGGACAATACATCATCTGTTGTTGTTGTAGTAGTTACTTGTGTAGATATGCTATCCTGTTTAGCAAATGTGACATGAGTTCTTGGAACATTCACTTCCACATCTGCCTCAACCATCATCATTTCAGTAGCCTGTGGATAATTGTCACTGCTAGCCCCGTCATTCATATCATTACCCTCGTGTTGCCGGTTGATTGGGCAGTTCCGAGTATATCCTGGTAAATCTTCCTCTGCATTTGTCTGTATCATCTGACTATCATTACGAAATGTGTACGAAAAATTTGAAGCAGAGGAAGTATTCTTCTCCCCATTATGTTTCGGATCTTCCATTTTAGAATTTTCTTCAATCTTTGCAAATGAATACTGACTGTTGTCCCCCCGATCATGTCTAAATGTAAATGAATAGGGTGATAATTCAGCTTGGCTTATGCTACTATAACCATAGTTTTCTTCCTGAAATGTGGATGAAGCTATTGGGGGTGAGTTATAGATGCTAGATTGATTTGTTCTCTGCAATGGAGAGCTTGATCTTGAACGTGAGCCACTTCTATTACAAGGACTAGAATATCTTTTAGGAAACATTCTTCTTGGACTTCTGCTTTTACGTGTTCCTGGACTTGTATGATTTTTTTCAATGCTGTTTCTTGGACTCGATTTCCTTCTTTTCTGTAGAAAACTTTTCACAGCTTCTTGTTCTGGTGACAAAACATTTTTACTAGGTTTCTTTTCAAAGCTGACACTCCTCTCTAACTTGAGCTCTGTTTTACCACGTATACTAGGATCACTGTAAGAATGTTCTATATTTATATGTGTAACATTCGTATGATGTATCTGGTGGGTATCTCTATACTGCCTTGTGGCTGACAGGAACGACAATTCACGTTCAGTCACTGGTGTACTTGTCTGAAGCTGTCCTGGTGTGTCCTTGCCTAACTCTGAAATATAAAATCAAAATTTAAACAAAAGCTTCGCATGTTGGATTATTAGACAACTGAGGAATGTGGTATTGTAAAATGTGCAATATTAAAATGTGATTGGATTCAAGTGCATTATCAGCATCTATTTCAGGCTGAAATATAGCCCAATTCCCCTTTCCACGAAGTATGGATTTTTGTACACAAGTGTCACTGTGACCTTTGACCTCAAAGTCATGGCCATGACTATCCTCACTACGAGGTTAGAAGAAAGCCCATCTATTAGTTGAAGTTTGACAGGACAAAGGCTAACAGACTGGCGTTCATCCATTCATGTCCCAAATGTTGGAATTAAAAAATAATTTTTTAGGTCAAATTTTTTTAAGGTTTTTGAAGGCCTTCAATAATTTTTAAGGACTTTTAAGGCTCTACAAACCTTGTCCAGAACTCAACAAATTATGTTTAAAATGAATTTTTCATTTAACTTCAACCAAATGTCTATAATGATGTGTAATTCTGAGTTTGAACAGATAAAAAAACTCACTCAGTTTAAGTTTACTGGGTATTCCTGATGGTAATGACTCTTCATTCAGACTGTTGATAGGGCTGTGGAACATGTGTTCCTCATTTTGCCTTGTGTAACCTTCATCATATCTCATTTGACCTTCATCATGTCTTGTGTAATCTTCATCATATCTTGCTTGACCTTCATCATGTCTTGTGTAACCTTCATTATATCTCGTTTGACCTTCATCATGTCTTGTATAGCCACTTTCATATCTCATATCCTCAGCATGTCCCATATAATCCCTGTCATATCTCATATTATCTGTATCATGTCTTAATTCACCATCATCATGTTGCATGTTATCTCCATCATATCTCATGTGGCCAACATCTGACATGATTTGCTCCGGCTCATCTTGACTGCTCGATTCTTGATGATCAGGGACAACATAGACCTCATCAGATGTAGTGCCAGAACTCAGTGATGGCATACCACCCATTGCCTCTATATGCTTAGGATGTGTTTCTATAAAATAAAAATGTTGAATTTTCATTAGATGATTTTACAAGGGGCGTAGGTGACCGGGTGGTTAAAGTCCTTGACTACAAACAATTGACCCTCGCCACTGTTAGTATGAATCCCAGCTGAGACTTAGGATTCTTTCATGTATGGCTGAAATAATGCACGGAAGGGCATCTGAGGTCTTCCTCCATCAGTCGAGCTGGAAAAGCAACATTCTGTAAGCTAGCTGGTGACAGAACCTGAAGACGCTTAACCAGGCTCAAACCTACAGTGGTGAGTGGCAAGTGGTTTGAAGTCAACAACGTTTAACACCCTGCGACAGATCTTATAACACTGCAGTATTATTATATCCAAGGGCAGAGACAGTCTTGAGAAGGTTAAAGATGATAATCACAGAGACCACCTGAGTTAAAGCCGTACTCTGGTAAAAATCATGTTTCAGGCACCTGTACAGTACCTAGTTCGAGGAAAGAAACTCAAGTGTGACCAAATAAGATTTAAACTTTCATTACTGTCAAGTTTTAATAGATATGTTTATACTGACTGAAATAAATTTTACCGTGAATAATTTGTTCTTCAAGTTTCTTTTCAGTTTTTCTTCTTCTGTTGGCTTCAGTATAACTTTCTCCTCGGAACTTCTGCAATATATGTGACAGATGGTCATGTAATTATATTACAAATATATTTAACGAAAATTGATGTAAAATGAACTAAAAATGATATCCAAATATCTCTTCAAAAGTCAAAAGCTTATTTGCCCGTCAGATAACAGTGTTTTTTTCCACTTTTTGGGGAAGGGGGTCGGTGCTGTTTGGAGGGGGAAAAATGCAAAAGGAGGGGGAATTTTATTTTTTCAAAAATGAAGAAACAAAAACATATCCAATGCATATTTTAATACATCACTTACCACTTTAAGATTTACTTTTGTTTGACATTGTTTTCTTACCAGTGAGTAGAAAAGGAGACAACTCTTGCAACACAAGTTTAAAATGCGTCGCTTTTTCTTAATATACGGATCTAAAATATTGACAGCAGAATTTAAAGAGTCGCATGTTAAACTTGTTGGGATGCCAGGAGTGGTTCCCCTTACATACCCGGGAACAATTTGTAAACAACTTTGCTTAACAGTAAGTCTTACAGGCTTAATATAAAACATTTTTCGGCAGTTATACGCAAAAACAATGGTATCCATTGCAGGCAAATTTTGGCTGCAATATGAGGGGGAAATTTCGGCTTTTAGAGGGGAAAAATATATACTATTTTGAGGGGGGAATGGGGCCGAATTTCGCCGAATATTTTGGTGAAAAAAAAACACTGGATAGCACAATATAATTTCTTGCATAAATTTTATATAAAAAAATATACGTTATCATAAAATACTGAAAATATCAGAATAATATTCTACAAGAGCAGGCTATCAAGATGACTGTAAGACTTTTTCATAATTCAAACATATCAGTGATACTTTTTTTCAAATTTTCATAACAGCCTGTGGCTTTCTGATGGAAAAATATAGCACTATACATCCAAAAAGGGGGGAAATCTTAACATGAAAAATGCATATCACTGCAGAGGACAGATTTCTGTCTTTCAGGCCATTAAATTTAACAAGTAACTGAAATGCAATTCAATTAATATTTTCTCCCATAAAGACCTGAATTACCTGTTTAAGTCTATGCCATTCTTCCAGCTCCTGGGGTATAGCTGTTTCTAGTTCTCCTACTCTTTTCTCGACCTCCAGTAATCGATCATTTAATGTCATAAGGTCAACGTCATATACCTGAAAACGGTGCCGCCTACTGTTTCTCTGTAATAAATTAAATAAATATAAATCTAATAATTAACAGCTTATATATAAATTCAACATAAACATTTATTTGGAGTTTAACAAAACTACTTCATTCAGGCACAGACTATCAACTTATTCATAGTATAATGTTCTAAAATTAATCTTCACAGATCAATAATTGTAAAAAATTTGACACACCAAAAAAATCGGCACATAAAAATTCATCATATATATAGGTTTTAATATAATCATATATGGAAAAACAGCGGGACTTTCATTTCATTTTGACACATCAAGAAAATCAGTTAAATTGAAAGTTCTTTAGTAACTGTACTTACTTATCATACAAAGATACAATATTTTATTTTGGGGAGCAGTCAGATTACACTTATCATGAGTCCATATCTATTAATAGAGTCATCTTATAACTGAACATAGATCATGACTTTACTGAGTCTCTGTCAAATGGAAAACTGTCAGCATAATTACCGTCTGAGCAGCAGTGGCTACCCTTTTCTTGATAGATGCATTGTCTCCATTAGCATAGTTCCTCCTAGCTGCTGCTTTAGCTCTAAAAGATTCTCTCCGCAACTCAGCCTGGCGGTCTCGGAGTCGTGTCCTGATAGGACTGCGTACCCATGCTTGTCTCTCCTGTTCTACTTGCTCCTCCGAGTTCTGAGTGGAGCTTGTTGTAGTCGAGGATTCTTGCCTCGCTGGTAACTACATCAACATTTTAATTCAAACATATTCATTAGAGAATGTTTATATAATTAGATCTACTACAGTTTATGTAATAAATCTAGCAAAACTGTTTTATCACATACTGGTAATGAAAATCAACTAATTAGTAATATAAACTTAGCTTAAGATGACAACAATTACAGAACACAATTATGTAAACTAAAAACAACAGCATGGCATGCAAAGTGAACACATGTTTGTCAAGTGCAAGTAAATAAAATAAATTATGTTCAAGAATGTTATCATTTTATGGTTAAGTAAATATGCCATTTCACTTCTCAATAAGGTAAATTACTTTGTGAGCTTGAATGTAAATTCAAGGTATTAGTATTTAAACAGAAGTTTGATATTTTTCATCAGTAAAATGGTGTAAAAACTGACTACCTAGTTTCCTAATGACACATGGGCATTTAAATCTATATGCCTAAATCCACCCCATTCAAGTACTGTGCCATTAAAAATCAATTAAATGTATGATAGACTCACCTGTTCATCCGAATTGTTTTCCATGCTTTCAGCCGGGTTAACTTTTTTGTCTTTGAGGTTCTTCACTTTCTTCTTTAAAGACCTACATCTTTTAACAAAGCAATGTTTCATGCTGGTCAGTTTCTGTCTAGCCTGAGACTGTTTACTTGTGTTGTGTAGTTCTGATAACAGGGAAAAATCTGGTATCTGCTGAAAAAAAAATTTGAGTATACTTTAATTATGCATTATTTTGTTTTGGTGTTAAGTTAACAAGTTTTGAAAGTTTATAAAGATAATTTAAACAATAAAATTCTTTAAGCCAAAAATTCTATTGTTCCAGAATATTAACTTAATTATCCCCTTGTTGCCTATTTGATTTGTAATGATCTGAGTAATACTAAAATTCTGAAATGTCACACCTGAGGTGCTGAAATCTAATTTTTTCCACTCATCCATGGACAATTTCAAAAAGAATTTTACTGTTCTGCTTTTTTTGCAGCTAAAGTTAGGCCATCCTTAAAAAAATGTTTGTTTGCAGTAACGCGACCGACTCACAAAATTTGCCCCTAGGCCTACTCAATTTTTCTTTTTCCATGGTCAGGATAATTTTATTTTTTTAATCAGAAAATGATGCCTTGTGTTTTGTTTTCGTTCTTTTAAAAGTTAATAGAAGAAATAAAATGTAGTTCTTATTAAATTAGAATTCAGTTATTAATTTATTAATTGTTACCAGATTATCAAAGCATATATTGTCCAGCATATTGAAATTCCATGTTTATTTGGGAGTACAGTTCAATAAAAAAAAGAAAAAAAAAAAAATCAACCTACCTACCTACCCACCTTGAAAATTCTGGGTCGGGTTACTGCAAACAAACATTTTTTTTAAGGATGGCCTTAGGCGTATAAAAAGTTAGGAAAAGAAATAAGCAGCCAAAGAAGGTTAATAAACTTCCTGCGAGGCTCACACACTCTCTTAATGGCCTACAACCTTTTTCATTAACTTTAAAAAACTAACAATGATTTATACATCATGTGTAATATGAAAACTAATGAAAGTGAAAAAATACTCAATATCCTTCAGCTTTGAGCTTCAATATTTCATTAACTATAGGGTTTTAAAAATTTGCACTCGGTAAAATTTTAGATAACTGTTTTAAGATCTGATTCAAACAGTGTACATGAAGAATAGATGTATTATTTCAATCCCATAGCCCAAAACCCTGGATATATGAAAAGGCAGTTATTTCCTTTCCCAAACGGGGGATGAAAAGGGGAATCCCCTACTTTCCTGTTTCCAGTGATTTTTCTCACTTTATTGGGAAGAGGCCTTAGCCTCTTCATTTTGGGAAAAATTATCGCTAAAATTGCTGAATTTGGAAATAAAAAGCTGGTTTAAGTTAAGATTTTTGGGAAAACTGCATGATTTTAAAGAAAATTTCATTTGGGAAGAGGCCTTTTTTTGGAGTCTGTTATATAAGTAGGAAAATCACTGGTTTCAGGAAAGATCCTCAACTGTATGTTGATTCACAATACAGGACTGGATAGGATAGCAAAATTTCAGTATTGCACAGATTCAACATCAACTGCCTGAAATTTCTGTACCAAACCCCCCCCTAATATTCATACCTGTTGCCTTGATTGTATAGAATCTGTCTGATCTGTAACTATATCAGGTACTTGCTCTATTTCTGGTTCTTCTATCTCATTATTATTTACCTCTTTTTGTGAGTATGGTGAGCGATGTCTTCTGTTTGATGTCTACAAAAATACATGAACAATTTCATTTATTTTAATTTAATACAGTTAACATTGAAGAAAAAAATAAGGCAAAAAAAAAAAACCCCACCAAAAATGTTTAAGATAAATTTCAATTTTCAAACTTCTTTTTATTTTTATTTATTTAGCAATGAATAGCTTAGCATGGAAATATGAATAGTTTAGCTGAAGTTTTCGGCTAAAATATAACTTCACTGCACATGAACCTTTCTGGCTATGGTTTCACCATTGTGCTATAAGAGGGCTACTTTAGAATTTAGGAATAAAACTGGCAGGATTAATTTCACCAGTGCTTCCACAAGACACTGGATCTTTCATATATGTAAACATAAATAATTGTCATAACTTAAGCTGTGTTATATGCCAGCAATATTATAAATGAATGAACAGTAATATTTTAGGGAAGCTGTGGCCCTGAGTAGTTGTGCACCTCTTAATCCAGAGATCATTATAAGGTTCGTACCCCACTCAGGTCATTAACATGCTTCCTCACATGACACCAGTTCTGGTTAAGTTGGGTCCAGAATTAAGCAACTGAAAAAAAGAGTGTTTTAAAAGTTTAAGGCATTTCAATACATTAATACAACAAAAATTGAACTTCCAACAGTATAGAGCCTGGTCAGACTTCATGGATGTGCAGACTGGCCTGGCTCTATACTGGTGAGAAAAGCTAATCACTTTCAACAGGTGAAGGGTACTAAATGATACATTTTTTACTTTAAAAAAGTTCTACCTTTCTTGTGTATCTACATGATTGTGGGTTTTCTTTAGGTACAAAGTTTCTAAAGTCCATGGTAGTTTTAGATCTGGTCTCTCTCAGTGTCAGCCCCCTGTCAGCATTCTGTTTTGCCTGTTTACTGCTTGTATTGTCTACAGCACACTTTAAATGACACAGTCTCTTACAGGCTAAAATCATATTGTTTATTTTTTCATGATATGTTTTTTATTAGGTATATAAATGAAAGAGTGACATGAGCGGGAAATTATACACAGAAAAATCACACAAAAATTCTGCAGGTCATAGCCGGGACAAGGGCCTTTTTTCCTTCATTCATTTTCCTACATTTTATTTTATTCATTTGATAGATCAAAACTTCCTTTCAATGATATATTAAAAATAAATTCAAAAACCTTTATATTTCAAAACAAACAGGAGTAAAAATAAGACAATTAAATAAAAACATTATCAAATTGCGCAATTTCCTAAAGAAAGATCTGGACATTCAGGGCTTTTTATCCTTCTAAATCAGGGGCTGTTTAATCAATTAGACTGCTTCCCCTAATATCAGGATTTTTTTTAAAATGATTTTAAACACTAAAACAGTTTTCCCCTTTAATTAATTTATATCATTGATATTTAATTTATTAATATCATTTTTTTCTCTCCCCCTTTTGCAAAAAAACCATATAGGGTGATCTATTTATCATTTAATTATGCATAAGATTTTCATTGAATGTAGCCAACTTTAGTTGTATTCTACAGGACAGTACATTTTGTTTACTGATACTAAAATCCTTTTTAAACACTCTTCACTGAAGTTTTTAAAAAGTTGTAAAGCAACATATAACAAATCAACATAAACAAATTATTACTATATATTGTAATATATCATTTTATGTGAGGAAAAAAGGACTAACCTGTACATTTGTATGATGCCCTCTTTGGTAAAATCCTTTTCAAGCACTGAAGTTATCAATAAGTTGTAATGATAATATCAAATACCATAATAACACATCAACTTTTTTTCATAAACCTCAATTCTTTTTAGACTTAACAATGCTTAAACTTCACTCTCTTCCAAAAAGTAAAGACACTTTAGCGTAACCTCCTTGATATATAACCTAGCATTTTCAGGCAAGACATGTTTAAACAAACATCATTTACAGGATGCTAATCTGAACAGACTTGCTTTTACTTATATAAAACAATGGAGTATAAAAACAATAGAGATTTCAATGCATTATCTGACTGTGAAAACTTACCCTATTGTTTTAATTCTTCTCTTTTGTTTTATAAAAAGCTATAGTTAAAATCTTTATCTATAATTAGTGAAATACTATCTGGACACAGAAAATACATTACACTAGAGTAAAAAGGTTAAGATTTCATGGTATGTGGGCTTGAATGAATAGTCTGGGTTTTAGATTGTATAGTCTGTGTTGTTTTGTTTTTGTTTTTTTTATAAATCAATAGACTACATACATACGCTATGTTTTACATTATACCAGTACTGCATTGTACGCCACTTTGTAAACAAGCCGGCACTTGGTTTAAAACCAAAATAAACAAAAAGAACACGTGCCTTACCATGACTAAGTATAGTGTTTCAGTTTTTTCAATTTTTAAATGACAATATCAGCTTTAGATGTACAAAAAACAGGACTGTATGAATCAGTCAATTTGAAAACAAGATGATCATATTGTAATTGATAAAATATGTAATATGAATAGGAACATTATTTATAGAGGCAACACATTTCAGCATGCCCCATCATACTAAAGAGCCTGCCGAATGTATGTACTTTCCAGCTCCAAATGCTTTTAAATACATTAAACTGTTTTAACATTTTAAAAGGTTAACCAATATTACACTATATTCAATGTTTTCACAATTTTATTACCTTAGCACACTGCTGAGCTGCAAGTAGATTGGTGGACAGGAACCAGTTGTGTTTTGGGCACCAGTCATCTTTTCCAGTATCTTCCTCTGACAGTTGCTCTGTAGATATACCCTCTGAAATTATAATGAAATTGGCATGCTTATCTAAAAGGTAATGCTCAGAAATACAAACTGATCTATATGAACAAACAGAGTTATGGAATCCGAATGGGTCCAGCATCTGGTCCCCTTAAATGAAAAATCATATGAACAAACAAGCAAAAACATGATAGATTGTAGCTTTTCCCATTCTTATAATTATTTTGATTAACACATTTTGTTCTTTTTGAAAACTTACTAAATGCTAAATTTGGTTCCATCAGCTGTTTATGTAAATATTTTTTTCTTTAATTTTTGGTTTATATGCCCTAATAATTGTATACAGTATATTAGGGTATACATTTTTACATTTTATGAATATAATGTTTTTTATTGCCATATTGTTTTCATTTAACGCTCCCCTCTAAGAGCCACCACCATATTTTGTGGAAGAAAAATATCTTACCTTATAGACTTATTATCCATAACAAAAGAACAATGCAAAATATCCATATATTTTATTTGAACAAGAAAACTAGGTTTTCAACCACCAAGTTTTGATGTTACAGGAAATACGGTGAAGAAAAAATAATGATGTTATATATTCCAACACAAAGTTAGTTTCAGTAGTTCAAAATAAACAAGAGGGCCATGATGGCCCTGAGGTCGCTCACCTGTATATAGGCCCCCCACCCCCCAACGTTGCAGACCCAATTTAACCCAAGGGCTTTATTTGCACAAACTTGGTAGACACCCATAAGAAGATGTTTCATGCTAAACATTTAAGCTCTAGCTCATTGGGCTTTTTAAAAGAAGATTTTTTTAAAGTTTTTACTATACACATAAGGTTAAAAACAATGACACCCCTGGGGCCGGGCCAGTTTTGACCCCAGGGCTTTTATTTGAACAAACTTTGTAGACACTTACTAGAAGATGTTTCATGCTTAATATCTAAACTCTAGCTATTTGGGTTTTTTCAAAGAAGATTTAAAGTTTTTGCTAAACACATATAAAGAAAATCAATGACCCCCGGGGCGGGGCCAATTTTGACCCTGGGCTTGTATTTGAACAAACTTGGTAGACACCTATTAGAACATGTTTGATGCTCAAATATCTTAGCCATAGCTCTTTGAGTTCTTTAAAAGAAGATTTTTTAAGTTTTTTACTATATGCATATAGGGAAAATCAATGACCCCCGGGGCGGGGCCAATTTTGACCCAGGGCTTTTATTTGAACAAACTTGGTAGACACCCATTAGAACATGTTTCATGCTAAATATCTTAGCTCTAGCTCTTTGGTTCTTTAAAAGAAGATTTTTTAAGTTTTTACTATATGCATATAGGGAAAATCAATGACCCCCCGGGGCGGGGCCAATTTTGACCCCAGGGCTTTTTATTTGAACAAACTTGGTAGACACACACTAGAAGATGTTTCATGCCAAATATCTTAGCTCTAGCTCTTTGGGTTCTTTAAAAGAAGATTTTTTAAGTTTTTACTATATGCATATAGGGAAAATCAATGACCCCCGGGGCCGGGCCAATTTTCACCCCAGGGCTTTTATTTGAACAAACTTGGTAGACACTCATTAGAACATGTTTCATGCTAAATATCTTAGCTCTAGCTCTTTGGGTTCTTTAAAAGAAGATTTTTTAAGTTTTTACTATATGCATATAGGGAAAATCAATGACCCCCCGGGGCGGGGCTAATTTTGACCCCAGGGCTTTTATTTGAACAAACTTGGTAGACACTCACTAGAAGATGTTTCATGCCAAATATCTAAGCTCTAGCTCTTATGGTTTTTTAAAAAAAGATATTTAAAGTTTTTTCTTTCGGTTGCCATGGCAACCAGAGTTTTGCATGGAATTAAATTCTTTGAACAATTTTTAAAGGTGACCACCAAAGGAACATTCCTGTGAAGTTTGGATGAAATTGGCTTAGTGGTTTATGAGGAGATGTCATTTAAAGTAAAAGTTTACGGACGGACGCCGGACGAAAAGCGATCACAAAAGCTCACCCTGTCACTTTGTGACAGGTGAGCTAAAAAACCCCCAGATATCTGAGTAGGAATGCCACTCCCAGGCTTTATTTTCACCCAAGCTATACACATGCCAAGTTAAGAATCAATAGCAACAGTGACCTTGACCTGGGTAGCAATCCTAAGTTCCGTCTTGATAAAAGATACCCACATACTAAATTTGGTGTCAATAGGTCTAAGCCGAGGTAAATGAGTCGTCATCACCCTCAGACAGTACAATTCCATCACCAGCCGAAACATTTTCAATTACTTCTTTTTGCTGATTACTTATATATCTTGAATATTTGTACCCAGCACTTTGAGTCTTTTTAAAATTATTTTGATGCAATCCCGGGTGTAGATATTCCAAGGTTTTTGGCTCAAAATCCTTGGAAAAAAACCTCGGAGTATTGGAACGAGAAAATGCAAAACTTTGATGTTAAGAAAACCTTGGAAAAATAGGGAGAGGGCATAAAACCTTGGAAAAAATTTCCGAGGTTTTTTTTAAAAAAAACCTCGTAAAAAGTAAGACCTCGGAGTATTGGAACGATTTCCAAGGATTTCAGAATAAAAACCTCGTAAAATAATTTCCGAGGATTTTTTTTAGAAAACCTTGTAAAATGAGTGAACCTACGGAGTATTGGAACAATTTCCATGGATTTTTAAAGTCAGTTTCCGTGGTTTGTTTTCCAAGTTTTTTAAATGGAAACCTCAGAAAGTTTCTCAAAACTGGGAATACTGTAATATTTCCCTGAGGATTACTTTACTAAAGCATCAAGATCATTTTCCAAGGTTTACTTGAGCAAAAAACCTTGGAAATTTCTAGAATATCCATGGAAAATCAAAAATATAACAACCAATGAAATATTCTGAAAAGAGGCAATTATATTGTCCTTTTAAAGAATTAATAAATTTCTTATAAAATACTACATGAGCCAAAAATGATGACATGACTCACCTGAAACATTATTTAATTGTCAGAGTGAAGTAAATAGTTTATGCACTACAATAAATATTTAAGTTAGTAAGTCTTTAATGGTAAAGTATTACACTCAAATGGTTCAGTTCTAATTTTTTTGGTACCCAGCAAATTTTTTATGTTTCAAATATTAACTCTATTAAGTCCTGTTCACTCTTCATGATTTTAAAGTGTCCCCAAGTTTTTTCCCTCACCGTCACAGGGGTCACATGTGGAAAATGCTTGGGATACAATTCTGAAATAAATAAAGTTAATATTTAATAAAGTACCAGCCATTGGAAGAAGTTAGAAAAAAAATACAAATTATATAAAATCACTACTGGGCAACTTCCCTCTCCATGTGTGTCCAGGCTCAACAACCCTTAAACCTTGCCTTACAACATTGTATTTTTTGACTCTTGAAGCAGGATGGGCTTCTTCCTCTGAGGGAGCTATTACAGCCAGGATTATGGATTACCTGTGGTTATACTCGGGGGACAGTACAGTATATGTAGGCAATCAGAATTACATCATTTAATTTCTTTTTTATTCATCAATAAAAACCAAACTAATACGTTCCTTACATTTCCATAGACAAAAATATAAGTTGATATATTGTTTAAAAGATCGGCACTTGTGTATTAAAGGAAATATATCTTTTGAGTGATGCCAAAACTACTTTAATGACAATTGTTTAGATAGTATTGTTTTAAAATGAAGGCTTTAATATTTTCAAATGAACTTTTCTGTAGTAACTTTAAATGTTTGTCTAATTTGTTTTGAAATAATGAATTTAATTTTTTTCATGTTTGATTTTAATTTTTTATTCATCAGTATTAGTGTCAAGATTTCAAGAAAAACTTTTGTTAGCAATGTGACAATTCTGCAATGTTTAGAAAATAGGCAACGTCTGTTACTATTAAATTTTAGATTATGTCATATGGATGTTCCAACCTAAAGTACACTCTAAAAATATTGCAAAAAAAAAATAACGCTTTTCATAAGGTGAATTCTGATTGCCTACACTGACTGTATCTGTCTGCTCAAAGGGGCATGAAATGTGTTCCTGCAGCAATAAAGCTGAAGAGTCATCTGATATTACATTTACAGCATTTCAAGTATCAATAAAAAATATCAGTTCCAGAAACCATCATTCATTTAAATTTCAAATTGAAACTTTCAAAACCCTAGTTTTAAAACAAAAACATACTTTAGTATATTTCTTGAAGCCTTCCTGGTCTACAGTGGCTTCCTTTGTGCCAATGCCCAATGACTTTCCCAGTATATTCCTCTGCTTTATACTATGATAAGAGACTGGATTGCCATCTTCTTTGTAGTTTTGGAACACCAGTCCTGCAAACTTGCTCAAGCTTGACTCTGTAACTAAAGCATTGTAGATTCAAATAATAGATGAAAGATGAAAGTTTATGAATATTGTCATCATAGTTTCATGCATTCATCTTGTTAATACAATCATAGACAAACATAACATTCATACTCATGAAATATCCTCTAAACAATTGTATTTTTAAAACTAGGCTTACAAAGGTTAAAAATATAGATCTAAAATAGTTTTTGTTATTTAATATCTTATTTGAAGAAAAACCACAGTTTTTCTGCATAAATGTATCTAAAAGTTATTTACCGCCCGGTTTTCCTGACTTTTTATATTATGTTTCTTTTTGTTTATCTTCTGTCGCCAGGTCATTGATCTTTAGGTTAAATTACAACAACCAAACATTTCCTGAATCTTGTCACACTTAGATAAATGTTTTTGCTTTGAAAATTCATATATGCTCCCTAACATTTAAAACAAGATATCTCCAAAATTGCTTTAAATAAATCATGTTACCACTATTTTCCCCAACTATAACACTTTGACCCATTGTCTGAGATTCAACTTTTTCAACGGTCATGTTGGGATTAGGTTTATTATAATGTGAAACACTAGGGGTGATCCAATATCAAAGCACCATATTTTAATTTTAGCATTTATTGAAGGTACAATTTCAATGATAAATCAAGATTAATGTAAAAGTTGAAAATCTTTAATAAGTTCTTGCAAGAGAATCTGTTTGCAATTCATTTTAGGACTAATTGTTTTGGATGTATAAACCGCAGACTCCCCTGACTAAGTCAGCATGGAAATCTGGTCTATCACAACGAATGCCAATGAGGAAGATTGATATGCTTAGATAGGGAAACCACTGGGTGCCATTAGTTTATCTGAATCAGTGTGTTATATTCTGGTGTGAAATCTTAAGTGGATGCAGTATTTTTTATCCAAATTATAGAATTAACAAGCATACTGGTTATTATATTTCAAGACATTTTAATTGTACATAATTATATTTAAAGGACAATTAATAACATATGTATGTTTATTTACACATAAATTAATGGCAGAGTAAATTGTAATCAGTGAATGTATGTCACAGATTTTTTTGTAGAATATACTATTTTATATGGCATAAAACATAAGATTAAAGATTATATAGGCATTCTTATTTCAGTGTTGCTTAAACGCCTAAGTTAAGTTTATATATAGAAAGAAAGCTTTTAGAGGAAAAATACTGATAGCATTTGGAAACTGAATAGACATAAATACTGATTGTTTCTTTCTGTATTATAGTTTTTGCTCTTAGCACTATTCTTAAAAATGGAGAAGATATCTAGTAACGATAATTATAAATTAATAAAAAAATATGACAATTTTTTTTCTAAAAGTCTTTCCTGATCATCAGTTTTTGAATAGCATTTTTTTATTATCATTAGATGTCAATACATTTATAGCCATTAATAAATGTATTTTTATGTCAACAAGGAATTAATTTAAATATTCCATGTTTTCACACTTTCATTTTTTTAATTGATTTTTCCCAAATAAATTGCTTCAGAAATTTAAAGAAAAATTTTATTTAGAAGGTAGTTGGCCATTGACAATGTCCATACTGAAAATTGATTTCCCTGGACCATGCTGTCTTGCATGGACTAACCATGACAACTGTTTGCTCTGACCATGGATTAAATAAATATCCATGGCAATCTACAGCCGGGTTGGTAGCTTGGTTTGAGTAAATCTGCCAGCTTTAACTGTTGATCATTGCTTTTGATGCCATTGTTAAGTTTAAATCATGATTACCATTATTTTCCGAGATGAAATTTAGTAAAGTACAAATTTCCGAGGTCATTTCCAAGCTAAATATTGGCAAAGTGTTTCCAACAAATTTACCGTAAATTTCTAAGTTCTTTTCCGAGCAAAAAAATGACAAAGTTCTTCATTTCCAAGCTTTTTCCAAGCTGATTTTTGGCAGAGTGTTTAAATTCCGAGATAGTTTCCAAGGTTTTCTTTATTTCCAAGGATTTTATACCAAAAACCTTGGATAAAGTTTCCAAGGTTTTAAGAAAAACCTCGGAATTAAAAAAAAACCTTGTAAAACTTGATTATTTCCAAGGTTTTTGAAGCAGTTTCCATGTTTTTTTTCACAAACCTCGGAAAATCTACACCCGGGATGGCTGTTTATTTTTCATCTGGCACATTCGCATACACGCTTTCTGTCTGGACCAAGTACTTTTGCCGCATGATGTTTACCCCACCAGTTAAAACCCCACGTCTAATAAATATCAGCACTATGAAAAAAAATCTTGTACCATGTACGAGATCGTAAGAATGATAGCTTTTTTATTATTGTATTGTATCTTTAATAAACATATTTTAAAGCACATTTTAATAGTTCTAATTAGCGCCCCCCTTTTTAAAAAAATGCATGCTCCATTAGGGGCATTAAATAGAAACAATACAGTCAGGGCCTAAAAACCCTTCTTTGTAGAGGCCGAATATAGGCTGCTTCCCCAACCAAACTAGCCTCTTTTTTTCCCCAGTTTGGTCCTCAAAATTCCCAAGTCTTTTAAAATTTCCCATTGAATTTAGAAAAAAATTAAATGATGGTGTTGAATTAATGTCTTTTACTGCCTTATTTGTATTTCCCAGTGCTTTTTGCTTGTCTATTTTGAAGAACTTGTTAAAAGTTTTTTTGCTTGTCTATTTTGAAGAACTTGTTAAAAGTTTGTGTTAAATTTGAGACCCCTTTTCCCAAAGTATGCAAAAATCACGCATGTTTTCCCCCAAGAAAAAGGCTGAGGCCCCTTCCCCAAAATTGGTGTTTTGGCCCTGACAGTACATGTTGTTGACCAGCATTATCACTTTTAACAAAATTCTTTTAATACTTTTCAAGATATCCTCTGGACACGAGTGTGACAGACAGACGGACAAGCCAGCGACATTCATGCTCTTCCTTCAGAAATCATAAAAATTATATATGAAATATGTAACTTATTATCAATCAATCCATTCTCCTTTTTGCCACCTTGAAACCAGAATTTTTTTTTATATATTTTGGCTTTACCTGTTATACCCTCAAACATCCAAACCTTCTCCATAACAACCGAACCACGAACATCTAGGCTTGCAGCACTGAGGGATCTTCGCACATGTCTAGTCTTTGACTTCACAGCAGTGCATACACCTGGAGAATTTACCCTCACCATCTGAATTATAGAGTAAATTTTTATATCGATTATTTAGTTATTTTCTTTAGGTAATATTATTTAACCACTATTTAGTATTATATCATGCAATGCAGTCATTCCAATTTACCAGTCAGTTGTAACTTGTGCATGTCAATCACCCTAGTGATTTTTTTCCCAATCACAAGGGCTGTTGTAAAAAAAGCATAATTCCTAGCTTACCCAAAATAAGCTCAGCTTTTTCAAATTTAAAAAAAAAATACTTTTTTTTACTGCTCAGTAAAAATAAAATCAATAATAATAATTTCAATGCTTTACCTGTAATACATCTGTGATTGATTCTAATGTAATTGCTACATTTAGCAATAATCGAACAGGGTTTATTGTTAGGTTTTACAGCGCACCAAATAAGGTCATGTTGCACCAAAACAGGAGAAATGATTTTTGCTAACCTCTGGTGTTACAAACATAAAGCAACACCAGGGATCAAAACCATCTCACCTACTGGAGCTAAGAGATACAAACTGAAGACTCCAGTAATTCCAATCTATTTCGTTGCCAGTCTTCACTCCTCTTTTTGAAAAAACAGCGGAGCTAATGGCAAGACCCATTTGTGGCTCTCGGTGCCAGCATTGTTGTTGGTTAACCTTTTTGGTAAAGTTGTATTTTTTGGTTTAAGCCATATAAATATTTGAGCCGTGTCACGACAAAACCAACATAATGGGTTTGCGACCAGCATGGATCCAGACCAGCCTGCGCATCCGCGCAGTCTGATAAGGATCCATGCTGTTCGCTTACCAATCTATCACATGTAGAGAAACTGATAGCGAACATCATGGATCCTGATCAGACTGCGCGGATGCGCAGGCTGGTCTTGATCCATGCTGGTCGCAAACGCACTATGTTGGTTTTGTCATGACACGGCTCATTTATACATTACATAACCCACAGGAAATTGACATTCTATAAGCAAATAATTAAAAAATAACGGCAAATATACCACTCTTTACTATAAATAAACACAAGGAATGCAACACCTTTTGCACACTCAATACACATTTTATCTAATTACACACGTGGAAAATCAATGTCAACAAAGTAGTTTGGCAATTTCGATACACAATACAAAATTATACCTTTTACAACCAGAGCAACAGATAAGGTGCGTATTTGCGTATTTACGCAATTAATTTTATAAAATACGCAATTGATTATTTAAGAATGCGTATCAAAACCCATTTAAAAAAATAAAATACGCAATTGTCTTAAAAACCCGTGCGTATTGTCATTTTCATCACCGTAAAGTTAATCTGTCGTATGCTAGTTGTTTTGGACCAATTATATTGATATGCATGCTATCCGAATATTCCCGAATCAATGCTAACTAATCAACGGTTTCCGGTCTTCGACGGTCCCCGGTCTCCAAAGACCGACTAAGCCATATCAATAAAGCATGAGACCGTCGATTTGTCTACTCAGGTCGACGGTCTTTACAGACCGGCAGAGACCGTTTATTTTGCGGAGACCGTCAATAAGTAGGTCCCAGCTGTATCAATAGACGCTTCGAAAGCAATATGGCGTCGTACAAAAGGGAAAATGATTTGAAACATAACAGTCGTAAATAATCAAAAATCAGTCAGAAAACGAACTTGTTAAAAATATTATGAAATATAACATGAGCATTTTATATAAAGCATAAAACAATTGTGAAAAGTTCTAGTAATTTGTTAATCCTATTTTCTTTATCATATTCATATCTTCATAATTGAATACCCAATTGATCTTGAAATCATAGGGTATCGAGTTTTGGAATACCCAATTAAATGGAGCCAATACCCAATTCCAAAGGAAATGATGGAGTAATACCCAATTCACTTTTAAAGCTTATCTGTTGCTCTGACAACCGCTGATATTTTAAAACAAAGCATTGCATAAAAAAAAATTGGCATATTTACTCAAATGTCAACAAATAATTTTGTCTGGCACTCTATGTGCTGACAGAATGTCAATCTCCTGTGCCTAACCTAACACACAAGCTTTGTTTCCGGTTTTGGTTTGTCAAATTTATGAAAAGAAATTAAGAGAATTTTTAGAGGTCTTTTGCATAGGCGAGGTATTATTGCATAGGCGAAGTTTCTATTGAAAATCGAGGCAAGAATACATGACGAGTAGCGAAGCATGCAGGACGAGTATCATCCGGTCATGTGTTTTGACGCTCATCTTTTTTGACGCCATTTTTGTTTTGACCTAAGCATTGGTGAAAACGACTCTTATGACGTGATAATTTGCTGACTGCACTGCCAGCATGTATTTACAACGTATAACTAAAACATGTGGAAAGACAGAAACATTTCACTAAATATACTTCACCTTTATCATATTTATTGTATTTTTTCATCTTTTTACTGCAAAATCAATCGATGTTTATGCAAGCCTTAATTTTGCAAATACAACTTTTGGAAAATCTTGACCTGCCTTTTTCCGTCCTCCATTTTAAAATGTCTAAGGAGTGTCATGTGACCAAAACTTTGCAAAGTGCCCTTAATATTCACTGTAGCAAAAGGTGTACAGCTTATATTGTTTAAAAACGTTAATTCGTTTTTAATTGATACTGAGTAAAATTCATAATGGATTGATTATTGTATATAAAGTTTAAAAAAGAAAGAAAAAAACAACATTTCTTTAATCAACATATACATATCTTAACAACATCTTTCATTTTAGATATATTTTTCAGCTCTGTAAGCCAAAAAACAGATGCTATTAATCAAGTTTATTGGTAAATACATTCAAGCTTAAAGAGACAGGTGCACCTATTAAGACTAGTCCAATATATTAGACGTTACAGGCTTGTTATAATTTATGTCGGTCAAGCCTGACGTCTAAAAGTTATTGCTCAAAAACGCATAGCATCATAAAAAAATAAAAAAATGTCTATTGTCTTGCCTTTCAAGCTTTATTCAAAAGCTTATCTTCTTTTCTTTCAATTTCATGCTCAAACATACACAAAAACTCTCAAACAATGTACTTATCAATTTAAAATAAAACATAAACATCAATATTTTTGTCAATTGGCCATACTGGTTAAGCAAGGTGCTTTACAGATTGATTCCAAATTTTTGAACGGAAAAATATATTCAAACACACTGACGGTGCATGGGCAATTATTTCGTTAAAAAAATATTCTGTTAGATTGTTCTGAATCAGTTAAACGCTTGCATTTGAATTAGCCAATCAGATTTCGTGCACTTTATGGCCGCCACTTGTTTATCGGCTGTAAAAAGAATTGAAATACATGAGAGGATTTAATCATGATTTTTCGGATGTGACAGTTTAATTATTTTGACAAAAGGTATTTATTTTTTAGTTTTGTTCATAAATAGGTCAAAACTGATGTAAATACACGCTGTCTTCATTGTTTTTCGTTCCGCCCGATTTTCTGGCGGAACATGCTATGGGTTTTTGAGCAATTTTGATATGACGTTGCTTTGCCCAGAAGCAAAAATATCTCAAAGCGCCGTCATATTTATAGGACTACTATTAAGACCACTGTCAGGGTGTATGGCATTCCTAAATAATGGACAGTTTTATATGAAATAAAATATAATTTAAGTTTTCACAATGTTGTTACATTATAGGTTTGCTCATTTAAAAACTTCTTTTGCTGTACATATTGCATTACAGTGAAATATCCTTTAAAAATAAACACCCAATGAAAAGGCGTCATTGCATATGACTGTAAACAACAATGGATGCCTCCACGGTCTGTTTACTCAAGTACAAAACTTAAGTGATTTTGAACTTTTAACAAACATAAAAAAGGTTTGCAGTGATAAACAACATGCCATAGTAACTTTACATTGTATTTTATTTTATGATCAAGTTAATATAAAAAAATGCACTAGTTAAACAGCTTAAGGGCGTCAAAACTAATGACTCTAGGATAGAAATTTGAAGCCACTCGTCCTGGCTCCTGCAGGATTAGGATTATAAAATATGGATTTTACTTAGCTAAAGATACTTCAGCGAACAGGTTTTATAGTATTGCTAGACCTGTTCGCTGAAGCCAACCCCGTATCGAAAGTCAACCAGACCCGTGACATTTTTATGTCATGCTGTAATTCAATAAATTTGCGTGATCTGGACAAAAACTATTTTAATACAGGTAGTTGGATATATTTGGGACCCTTCAGTCTATATATTTTTGAACACAGAATGTTAGATTGATGAAATATTGCCTCAAAGTTTATCAGCGGGTTCACATTTCATAAAATTCGCCGCCATTGCTGCCCTAATTATCACGTGACCTGCGAGAAGTTTGGTTCGGATACCTTTGCATGACATTTAGTGACACGTGACCCAAATGCTATTTTTAATTGAAAACATGGCTTTGCAATTATGAATAATGGTGTATTTATTCAATAACAGACATTGTACCAAAAACATGTTGGATTTATATTGTTTTGAGTGATGATTCATGAATTATTTGTTTGTTTTAATATAAAATCATACACTTACTAAAAATAGTGTATGGTCCGTTACTAAAAATAGATGATAGAATTTCCAAAACATGAAGTCCCGCGAGATCTCATTTGAAAGCAGACTCCATATTGGTAAACATCCTCTACATGTTTCTCTTAAAAATAGTTGGGTACACAATGTCATTGGAGTTTCATTTAAAAACAAAACATGAATTGGTTCAAAATTGATTTGTTTATCAAATGGTATTTTTATTTGACCCAAATTTAATTAAAAAGGGTGATTTTAGAAGGTTTTTATGTACGGCGCACGAACTGTCAAATTCTGGTAGCCTTTGCAAATAGGGTTGACCCATAACTTTACTGTCGCAACGTCAAAATAAAAGCGACATATAAAGTTATGGAAGCCAGAACTAGATTTTACTGTGCACAGATTGTATAGAGCTCATAAAACTTATCTTTTTTTAACGCACATCCATACAATTTGAAAAAAAATTGATTAGTGATAATAGGGGCCTACTGATAAAAATAGTTTTTTTTGAGTCGCGAATACCGATTACAAAATCAGCCTTTTTAATACGGGGAAGTCAAAGACCGGGCCCGCGAAGCGGGTCCGGGCTTTGGCTTGCCCGGCTATAGACTACACGTGAATATTTAAAAGAAAATCAAATAAAAAACAATTAAAAAATATATAGAATTCTATACCTATCAATGAAATTTTCAGTGTCAGTTCTAGTCGGGCGCCGCCATTTACAATGTATGTCAATGATAATAGGCGGGGTATTCCGATAACGGAACAAATCTCAACTTTTCGGATTAGTAATAATCGTCGAGTGTTCCGAGTGAAAACGGAAGCGGTGTATGTAATATCGAATGACACCTTTAAAACGGAAAGAATGAAAGAATTTTTTAACGACTTCCCCGTTCATAGGCTTTGCCTAATTTCATATTATTTAAAGTACTAACATTTATAGGTTTCTCTGCAGGTAAATATTATTAAAAAGTATGGTTATTTTTACATATCGTAAATCGTTAAAAATCCTTCACCTTGAATGGGAATGGCTTGAAATTAGAAAACCATTCGATGCATAGTTTAATGGCGGGATCTTTTAAAAACTCGCCTACCTGCTATGCTTGATTTTCAGCAATGTGTACTCAAATCGAATAATCGAACAAATCTGCTCATTTTGGTAATCGAGGAAATTTTCATTTGTATACACATGTATTTCAAGTGAAGTGTAAAGATAGTGAAAGAGTTATAAAATAAGAAAGACTGTTGGTGAAAGGAGTTTAGCACCGGTCTAAGGAGATCGTAAGTTCGAATGCCAACAGAGTTTAGAATCTCTACTGTAGATACCGATGTTCATAAGCGCGCGAGGCTCTTTTCCCGATATGCTTATAATTAAAATAATTTCATGAATGACTTCAGTTTTTTAGGTGAGATCACAAGCAGAAAACTCCTTACAGACAACTTAACTGAATTCATTTTTTTCTTGTATAACTTAAGATTTACAGAATAAAAGTAAGGTTTCTTCATCATTCCGATGTCTGTAGACTTAGCTGTTTCATCTGATTTAATTGACACAGATGTGTAACTGCCAAGTACTTCTTCGTAAGATTATGTAGTGCCACGTTGGGGCGGCTAACTTTGGAGGACAGCTTAAAGCTGACTTCAGCTTTTCAAAATCTTAGATATGTTATGTTTTTGATAAATCGTATCATATAATTGTCGATAATACATAAACAATAAGGAAACGTCGTAGGCATACGTTTTTACATTGCACCAACACAGCATAACTTGTAACGACAATGTGAATCATAAAACATTTGTTTTTGAATGACTTTCCTTTAAATATAAAATGGTTCAAGTTCGTCTTTAACCCATTACTTCATATACACGCCTTTTAACGCCTTTTTCACCCCCCCCCCTTTTTGTTGTCTCAAATGATGAAAAAATGCCTTAATTAGGCCCCAAACACTTGTTTTTGTTTAAGAAATGTTTTTAAAAAAATTGACCTCTTTTTCGGCGCGGCCCCCAACCAAAAGATACATCAGGGGGTTGCCAGAAGGGGGATGTGCCCCCTTCTGTTTTGGGGGGTTTGAAGGGGGGCGGAGTCCCCCTCATCGCCAAGAAAATTTTGGACTTGTGAGAGGCTGTAAATGACCCCAGATTGATCATAAGGTAACGTGTAACCAACGCTGAAAAGCATTTGACTCTATCTCAATCCATTGAGAAGTTGCAGCACTTTGAAATCAATTTTGATGGAAAAAATCAACGCAAAATAGTGATTTTTTTTGGCAATTTTGAGATGTCCCCTCGTTGCCATGGTAACAGAAAATTTAAGTCTGAGCATGTTGTTGCAAGGACAATGGTCCAGTCAACATTTGTGCCAAGTTTGATTAGTGTTGAAGCAGTTTTTTATAGTATTATAGCAATTTGAACTTGTAACGGGAGACTTTTCAATGAAAACAGCCATTTTTCACAAAATGCTCATGAAGCAATGGGTTAATGAAAAAAATAAAAAAATCTACAAAACAACAATTTTTCTTCAAATTTATATGACAGGCCATGTTTAAACATGAAAAAACGCGATTTAGGGTAATTTCAAGTATTTTCATCATTTTTCAGTTAACCCATTACTTCATATACACGCCTTTTAACGCCTTTTTCACCCCCCCCTTTTTGTTGTCTCAAATGATGAAAAAATGCCTTAATTAGGCCCCAAACACTTGTTTTTGTTTAAGAAATGTTTTTAAAAAAATTGACCTCTTTTTCGGCGCGGCCCCCCAACCAAAAGATACATCAGGGGGTTGCCAGAAGGGGGATGTGCCCCCTTCTGTTTTGGGGGGTTTGAAGGGGGCGGAGTCCCCCTCATCGCCAAGAAAATTTTGGACTTGTGAGAGGCTGTAAATGACCCCAGATTGATCATAAGGTAACGTGTAACCAACGCTGAAAAGCATTTGACTCTATCTCAATCCATTGATAAGTTGCAGCACTTTGAAATCAATTTTGATGGAAAAAATCAACGCAAAATAGTGATTTTTGGCAATTTTGAGATGTCCCCTCGTTGCCATGGTAACAGAAAATTTAAGTCTGAGCATGTTGTTGCAAGGACAATGGTCCAGTCAACATTTGTGCCAAGTTTGATTAGTGTTGAAGCAGTTTTTAGAGTATTATAGCAATTTGAACTTGTAACGGGAGACTTTTCAATGAAAACAGCCATTTTTCACAAAATGCTCATGAAGCAATGGGTTAATGAAAAAAATAAAAAAATCTACAAAACAACAATTTTTCTTCAAATTTATATGACAGGCCATGTTTAAACATGAAAAAACGCGATTTAGGGTAATTTCAAGTATTTTCATCATTTTCAGTTAACCCATTACTTCATATACACGCCTTTTAACGCCTTTTTCACCCCCCCCCCCTTTTTGTTGTCTCAAATGATGAAAAAATGCCTTAATTAGGCCCCAAACACTTGTTTTTGTTTAAGAAATGTTTTTAAAAAAATTGACCTCTTTTTCGGCGCGGCCCCCCAACCAAAAGATACATCAGGGGGTTGCCAGAAGGGGGATGTGCCCCCTTCTGTTTTGGGGGGTTTGAAGGGGGGCGGAGTCCCCCTCATCGCCAAGAAAATTTTGGACTTGTGAGAGGCTGTAAATGACCCCAGATTGATCATAAGGTAATGTGTAACCAACGCTGAAAAGCATTTGACTCTATCTCAATCCATTGATAAGTTGCAGCACTTTGAAATCAATTTTGATGGAAAAAATCAACGCAAAATAGTGATTTTTGGCAATTTTGAGATGTCCCCTCGTTGCCATGGTAACAGAAAATTTAAGTCTGAGCATGTTGTTGCAAGGACAATGGTCCAGTCAACATTTGTGCCAAGTTTGATTAGTGTTGAAGCAGTTTTTATAGTATTATAGCAATTTGAACTTGTAACGGGAGACTTTTCAATGAAAACAGCCATTTTTCACAAAATGCTCATGAAGCAATGGGTTAAGATACTGTCCAAGGGCTGTAACAAAAATTATGATTTTTTTGGTTTTGTTTAAATATTTTATTTTAGACAAGTTGTGATCAGAAAATGCTATCGTCGATTGGCTTTGGCTGTTCCTGGCTGCCTATCATTTTCATTAAGATTTCTAGCGACTTGCATTCCATTTTAACTCTAGCTCACGATTTCCTTCAGGTATTCAATTAGCATTGTACATAGACATGGATTTTGTCTTGAAATTCAGAATTTAGTAAACCTATACGCCATCTCTTTCTATATAAAATTAAGAGAACAGTATATTCAGTTTAAGGGTTTTTTACGGTTGTTTTACCCTTTTCCACTTTTATCTACGTGGCTTTGGGGTACCTCTGATCCCCTTTCAAAACTCCATTTTATTTAGTTTTGCCCATTGTTTTCTCGTTTAGGACACTCGCATTTTGTACTTGGGGACCAATGCCGCTTTTCATGGAATGTCACTAACGTGTCACAGTGAAGGTTTCATCATAACCGCCATATGAACACATAGATCTGCGAAATTTCAAGATTCATGGTTTTACCAGTCCACGTTAAATGTTGGATTCTGCTTGGGTCGGTGCTTGGGGCGTGAACGACAGCTTGCAATTACCACTACCGTTCATGAACAGGCTCAATGAAGCCGAACCTGCAACATTTTTATTTTTGCCGTGTTGAGCTTTCTTTAGGGATTCCTTATTTTTTGAGACAGAACAAAATGAAAATATTATGAAAGTTCAAATTCCATGTATGTAAGAAGGCTTTATTGTTTGTTTTTTAAGATATTAGCCTTGGTCCCGACACAAATTAACTAAAAGGCATGTGCCTGTTATTTATATTTGTTGACTGATAAATATGTTATTCTTGTTATTTATATTTAGTTTCGTCCATCCAATATACCATGCCAACTTTCATGTCATTGTACTGTTCATGCCATTATATTTAAGCATGTTTTTATGTTAATCAGGAGAAACTTGTAGATAATGTAATGGCAAGAAAAAAGATTAAAGATTTTTTTTCTGCAATTTATTTCTAAAATATATAGGTATATAATATAAAAAATAACAATAAAGCTTCCATATAATTACTATATCGTCTTTAAAATAATAATCCAGCGATTAATAGTCATGAAAAAACAAATACAGGGTGAGTATAAGCATATGCTAGGTGAACATCGTAGAGATTCCCAATTTGTTCACAAAGAGGACACTTGTTTATTGTGGTCTTTACTGAAGAAAACTATATACCTGACAATAATTAGAGCTACATGTATATCATTTTGTCAAGGATTGTGGAAGTAAGCAATGAATGAAACTTTAACTCTATACTGATCAGACCATGTACAAAGGTATCTTTCAAATGAAAACAGATAATGTTATAATTTCCTGTTACACAATAACATACCACACATAAACAAGGTAAAATAAAATCATACACCTGTATTTCATATCACAGACTGCTTTAAATGAACAAATAGTAAAATATGTATATATCTATATTCATTTAATATATTAATTTGAGTATAAGCGGGACAAGAAAAACAAAAGCTCGATGATAATATACATGTATATATACACAAGATATAACGACTTATTAGAATAGCATTGCCCTGACATAAAACAAAAATAATTCAATTAAGCGAACGTGTTGAAAATAAAACTCCAATGAAAAAGATTGAATTAAAAAAAAAATGCGCATTAATATTTCGATATAATTCTGATGCAATTTGAACATAGCTGCTCGTTTAAAATGTTATCGTATGTAGTATGACCTAACTATATATGGCATATTTATGAAATATTTTTTCAACATTGAATTAACATGAATAGCACCAAATATAGTTTAAAACCACTCAACTACGCACATTTGTTCACATGAACACTTATTATTTTCTACAAAAAATATGATTACTGTTCTAAAAACATATATTGACAATTTTCTATATGAAATACATGTATATCGAACTAAAAGGCTCTCCAAAATTTTAACTTCCGGTTATGGGCAGCCATTTTGGATGTCTGTAAGAAAAAGTCAAAGAACTAGGCTGTATTAAATAACAGAAAAAATCCCAAACTTAAACTTTTTATAAATATTTTCTGGATCAACATCCTTTTTTTTCATTTAAAGTGAATTGGTGTTTAATGGAAGGTCTGCTTTACCATGAATAAATATGTTGATAGTACCATAGGTAAAAACAAACCTCAGAAGAATCATATATGAATGTTGTGGAAAGTGTAAGATATATGATTCGATAGACATATCAATATATATTAGATAATAAAGTGTTCTAAACTACTACTTTTATCATTATTCATATAAATGTTCATACTAAATTTCTTTAGAACTGTATCAACATTTTGTTTTCCAGAAATATTTCATGACAATATCCAAATGGTACATTTGTGTTGTTTTAATCAATATTTAAAATGCATACGGAAAATATCCTCGTTATAAACCAATCTACTTTAAACCAAATGTTATAAACAGTACAATTCAATTTGACTGAAATTAAAAAAAATAAAAATAAAAAAATGGAAACATGTCATATATGATATTTGATTAATGACAAAAACATGAATTTAAATGAACATTATTATCAATAACAGCAACAAGTATTCTTCTTTAGAAAAATACTAAAAATGTTATAAAACGATTTTAATGTTTTTAAAGAACTTTTTTGTTTGTTTTATGCATATTCTGTCCAGAAAACGAAATAATTTTAAAAATAGTTTGGTATAAGTGAAAATAGTATATAATTATGTTTTGTAAATTAGTATTATGCATTCTTATACTGTTTTATAAATGGGTTAAAACTATATGGTTATTTTTTAAAATTTTTGTTAGTTATTTTAAACATATTGTATAAGTATTAGTAACATAAACATATTATATCCAAACAAAACTATGAAAGTTTCTCATGGCACTTTGATAGAAAATGTTTCTCAGGAACCTCCACTGAGGTTTAAAAGCCTAAAAACATAACATTTGAATTTCTTACATAAATTAGCTGGGGCACTTTAAACAGAAATATTTGCAAAGATAGTTAAGAAATATTTTTTTAAATAAATTGAATATTGTATTCTTATGCTTTTCTTAGCCATATTTGAGTGAAAAGCGTTAAAACGCTTTTTATTTTCGGTCATTTTTTACAATTTGAATAATTATTCTGGAAAAACGAAGTGCGCGAATGATCTGAAATTTCGTACATAGATTAGTGGTCTAAACTTTCATCAAATGGTACATTTATCAGGAAAAAATATTTTCAGTCCCAGCATGTCAAAAAATCTCAGTGGAGTCCCTTTCATTAAAGCAAAAGGTACTTTCTATTCGAAATATACGAGTATCATGGCCATATTGAAATAAATGATATGCAGTAAAATATTGACTAAACTATATCTTTAGTACATTTGCAAATAAAAAAATAAAATACATAATATAATGTATTTTATAAGTTCTAAAAATAGTTAAACATTATAGTAACAAATTGTCAGTTTTACTGACATAAGAACAGACGTTTCAAAATAACATGAAACATGATGTGAAATTTTAATGAAAATACAATCTTTGATATTTATAACATAAACATTTTATTGCTGAGTCACTTTGAGCAAACGTTGGTGTAGAGACATGTCTTTTTGAACACACTTATTTCATGTTACGTTTTGAACGAAACATTTATATATACAATTGTCTTTTGTAGTGTGCTGATGTTATAAGTGTACTTGAAGTGGATCTGGATCAACTGCAGGTCTTTGGATGTGGAACTGAAACGAAAAATGTAAAATTAGTCAGAATTTCTTTTATATAGATTATTGTGATGACTGTCGTTAAGAATGTAGACTTATTCAATGAAAGAAATCTACATAAGCCTTTGCCTTTCTTTTCAGTCCTGTATTATATCATGCTGTTGTATCATAATTGTACATGTATATGCTTTAAACTATATGACAGAAATACTGTTTTAACCAAGAAGGTATATTTGTTTAAGCAAATTTCCTACGAAAGAATATAATGCTCTAAGAAAACAAGCATAGTTTTCAGCTGTAATTCAGACACTGGCCTTGCAACATTTAAGTTTATTTGCAATTGCAAAAATAAATTGGACAGACTTCCATAGAATGACAAACACCAAAAACTTTTCATATTTTCTTAAGTTTGTCTTGTAAATGCCATTTTTTATTCAAACCGAACAGATAACTTCCACGCACGCACATACAAATATACGCATATGTACTTCCATCAAAATATTTACATGTTTTATTTTATTATTTGACAATCAAGTGCCTGTATAGTAAATATTTTCAAGGGAATTAATATTAGAACGGTACAAGGAACACTTTTACAATACATGTATTAAAAACAACGACAACAGCACCCCCTTAACCCCCCACCCCCCAAAAAAAACAACTAAAACATCATAACGGAAATACATTATTTTAAGATGACCTATAATAACGATAATAGAATGTAATTTTACCTGTCCATCTGGTGGAATACCTTCCAGGAGGTAGTCCCAGGAATAATGTCCACCTTTAGGTTCATCTGAAATGAGAGAAAACATGATACAATACACATAATCCTAACCACCCTTTTCGTCCACCTTTCAATTTGGACGGAACCATTCATCATTTTAGGGGAAAAAATGTACGTTATGACCAGACAGCTGACGTAAGTCAACTGGTCGCTTGGTAGAACCAGTTGCCGCTAGCAGGTTAAAATAATGAATATACAAGTTAATATGAAAAAAAGAAAAACTCTTTACATGAAAGGTCTTAATTCTAAAAAAAAACAAAAAAACAAAACAACAAAAAACGTTTTGATACTGAGAAATAATGTACTAGTACATTATATATAAACAATGTGATTCTAATTAACAGAAATGACTTTTATGTATGTAATTATTAATATAGCACCTTGACTAAACTGAGGATAATGAGCTGATTGTTCTCTTGTTGAATGTATGACAGCAGAGTCTTCCCTTGTATGTATGGCAGACACATCCTGACCCCGGTACTGTGGTAGACCTTGAGCAAAGCGATCATGAACACCGTACTGTGGAAATTCTGATGCCAAGTTGTCATTGCCGTGGTACTGAGGTAAATCTGGGATATTACGATATGGTCCCGTCGGCATACCTGTATTCATTCGCTTTGGTATTACCCCAGAAAACACAGAACTACTCCGATCATCAAAATCGCTATATCTGTATAAAATCAGAAGAATTGTTATAGTAAATTGCAACACAAAACTACTTCGGAACGCGCGCGCACACAAACGCACGCACGCACACATGTACGTTCGCACGCCCACACACACATAACGAAAAATCACACGAAAAATAGGCCGCATCCGATTTTTTTGTGATTTTCCTTATGCATTATTTCCCGCTCATGACTTTCTTTCTTTCATATACATGTATATGTACACTGGACGGGCAATCCAGAGACCCGTGGTTCGGCCTGCCGATTTTTTGTGTGATTCTTATATATATTTAATAATTGCCTATATATTGTTAATGATTCCACACATATTAATGTAATGCAGCGCTGCACATGATGGCTGTACAATATGGTATCAAGTTATGTTGATAATTTGTATAACTGGCTATACAATATAGCATTAAATGTCTAATAATGCAGCTATTTACCCGCGGAAGGAACTATTTCTTGATCTCTTCTTGCGCCTGTAGTTATACAGGACTATTCCCAGAACAATCACTACAACCACCAGGACGAACATTGGTATACCAATACCAAGACCAAGGATAAACGACAAGTTATCTGTATAAAAGGAACAATTGTTACATTATCATTTCAATACCATTTTGTTGCAAAAATATCATGTAAAAAGTCTTTAATACAATGCACGAAGCAAATTTCTAGTTTCCAATGCCATCTTAATCAATTAAAAAAATTTTTGGCAGCAAATGCGCCTTGTTCTAAAAAACACCATTTAACTTGAGAAAGGAATAACAGATGTTCATTAGATGTTACAAAAAATATGTGCAACAACTGTAACAAAACAAAATATGTGTAACAATTGTAACAAAATAATTACAAAATTTCCCTTATATCATTAAACTCTTACCTTTAACTTCTTCTAACCTGAAAAATAAAGATTATAATTATATTATTTTTTTAAAATAACAATAATGCAGGTGTGTTTTTCTAATCAAGTAAAATATATGCTTTAAGAGGATGTACGTTTAGCCACGGATTTATATTACATCCGTGGTTTAGCCCAGTAAGATACCCCATTTAAGGAAAATAAAGCTACAATTGTTATATTATTTCAATCAAATACAACACACTTTCCTATTATAGTCTCAACGCTCACCATGTTTGGACCGAAAGTGAAAAGTATTAAGCCGGACCAGCGTGCACATCCGTGAAGTCCGACCAGGTTCTTATACTCTTGGAAATTAAATTTGTTGAATGGACTGTTCTTAATAAAGATAAGCTGGTCAATTCCTTTACACAAATAGAGAAGGTTAAAGGTAAAGATTCATGTTACCATGTACAAAGTGGCGGTATGAGTGGTTAACGCGTCGGACTAGTAATCTAATGATCGCTAGCCGTATGAGTTCAAACCCCGTCAGGGGCAAGTCGTTGTTTCCTTGAGCAAGAAACTTTATACTGATTGCTCATTACTCGTTGGTCCCATGAACGGATTCGACATTGTGTCTATAAACTTCTAGCTTCCTACACAATCAAACTAAAATAAAGTGTGTATACACCAAAAGCGGTGTACATTTACAGAAAAAGCTAAAGACAAAAAGAGTACTTACTCGCATATTGGTAAACCATCTGAGATGGTACAGACATAATCTGACTGGCATTCACCTTCAGATGCTTGATATAGAACACAGAGTAATTCGTCTGTCAGTCCGTCTCCAATAGTTACTGTTATAATTACAAGAAAAACACATTGTTTTCAAGCGAGTTGTGCCACGTAAAATACTTAAATATGACAAGATAGGAAAGTGTTGTGTTTGTGAAAACATCAATTTCAGAAATTCATGAATTGTATACGTACACAAATATTGTTAATACGAATCAAAATATCTGCATATTCCACATTTTTTTATATAAAAATAGAAAATAATACTGATAAAAGTAATTTTATGAAAATATAAACTGTAAGAAATAGGTAAAGAAGTACAATCTTAATTTTAGACGTTTAGTACATTGATATTTAAATCCCTTAAACTTTGAATGAACTGTTCCATATTCAAAGCAGTGCAAATCTGTCAGACAAATTCAGTGAAGGGGTAAAGTGCAACGATCTAGAGAATTTATGATGCAGGGAAAGGAAACGGTTTACGTTTAAATGCTATATCTTAAATGAAATATTAATTAAACAAATGCTATATCTTAAATGAAATATAAGTCATTATAAACGTACCATTCGTGCCATCCACCACAACTCCTGTTATTGGAACATTTGATCCGAGAATGGTTATATTTTTGACACCAGAAGCTAATTCAGCAGTTACTACAGTTACCTTAGAAACATCATTTTCCTTTATCACTATGGAATACTCTACTACCAGACTGCCATGCCTGAAAACAATATTACAACACATGATTTATGTGATGATAGCATGTGTTGTTTTTTAGTTCATCAAGTCACATAGAAAAATATATAAATACCAAAAAGACGACTGATTAAAGAAGCGTATGCCATAGGTTTTAACATATTTATTTAAGCTCGATTGCGAAACAAGTTCTTGCAACTGATATTAATTACTTTCGAGTCCGCTTTCTGGAACCAACCAGTACTGTCGTATGAAGAAACATGGTCGTGACCCGAGTAGGGTTCAAACCCATGATCTCTGGGTTGAGAGGCAGACACCTTAACCACTAGGCCACCGCTTGCCTTTATCCAATGATCGATCAATTTGAGTTAAACAGAAAATATTTCAGGAAATCTATAACATTAAGGTATTAGCACCCTAATGCATTACCTCCGCTTTGAAGAGTATTCAAATAGGCTAGAAGTACTGTTAACTACATTGAAAATGAGGGGCATGGGTTCAATCCCCAGAAGGGTCAACTTTTTTTTCTTTCTTTTTTCTTTTAACATTATTTATGTATCTCTCATGTCCCATATGGAAAGAAAAAAGTGTTTAATTTTAAATTTTTAATTTATATAGGTATTTATTGGCTAAATTATGCTAAATCTAGTAATAAATATGGTACCTGATATTTTCAAAGTGTAATATAATCAAAACTAGACGGTAAAAGTATTTCATATTTTACAAGATCAACCAATATACTTTTTTAAAAATTTAGGGAAACTTTGAAAACAGGCACTCATTTGGGTAAATTTTAAGATTTTTTTTAATTAGGCTCCCTAAGTAGAAAAATGGTCAGACAAGTGGTAAAAATGGGTGGGGTAGGGTAACATTTTTATACAGATTTCAAAATTTTAAGAAGAAACCACAATTTTGCTTATGTGGATTGTTAGCTGAATGGTACTATTTGTTTCTTACCAAAAATTCATGGGAAAACATTTTTCATTAGAATGTTATTGCAGATTATTTAAAGGTTCCTCATTTCTAAAAAAGGGCCTTATAACATCCTAGTTTGAGTTCAGAAAAGTGGCCATAACTTGATTTCCGTACGGTAAACTTTGTTTAAATTTTGCATACAGGTGTACTTTAAGGTATACATCTGACCTATGATGTCAATTCTTTAGTTCCTGATAGTGCCCATTAGGGTCCTAATACCTTAAGTATTCTGATTGCTCATTTGAGCTTCTTTTTAAATCTGACTTACTTTATGCAATAAAATTAATGTACTATATTTATAGTGTATGTAAAACAAGACATAATTGTTTCATTAATAATGTAATGAGTACAAATATTTTCTGGCTCGATTGATAATTAAAGAAAAGTTACCGAGGAAAAGCCTCATTATTTTGATTATTTTTAAATTATGTATAGTTTCTATTGGTAAAGCACAATACCTTAAAGAATCTACTATGATTTCTACACTAGTACCATATATGGCTGTAAGCTGCAAAAATAAATTGAAATTTTAAATGTCATAATAACCTTAATATAATAGTAGTAAACTGTAATATAATTAAACCTTTAGTATCAATATAAAATTTAAAACTGTTTTGGGACAAGAAAAAGAAATGCACAGTACATATGCTATAAATAAATATGTACTAGAATCATGTATCTGACACTTACCAAAACTAACAATATATAATTATTTCGTGTTTTTTTTATCAAGTATAATTCTAAATATTATCAATGTTATTATTAATAATATTACATACCTTCCATTATGACCTTTTTCACTTTAACGTATATATTTAACAAAATGTACTTAATATTTTGCAGGAAACTGTGTAATGTTAAATTCAGTACTGACAATACTTTATTAAATACTTACTGATGTAATATGTCCATATTCAATATTATGTTTATGTAATATATCGTGGCAATTAACATTTTTTTTAATTTTTTAAAAAGTCATTTGTAAATGAACTATTCAATATAACGAATTTGTAAACTAGTTAAATTCTACAAAGTGACAAGTATTTGCCAATAGTATAGAGCAAGGCCAACCTTACCTCTAAGTAATTCAATTTGTTGAATAGACTTTTCTCAATTCAAAGTTGGTATATATCCTTTACATAAATAGAGAAGTTAAAGGTAAAGATTCAACTTACCATATACAAAAGAGGTGCACATTATTGAAAATCTTCATGTACATGTTCTGTAGAAAATCATGTAAAATATTCCCTATAATAACGGCCGTTAAATATTACCTCTCTATTAACTTCCTCCCGGTATCTGTTATATGTATCAGCTACAGTAAGACTGCCTTCCACGTCAACATTTAATGTCAGTACCACTACTACCACTTTGACATTATCTACAAAATGGTAAATAATTAAAACTGAACTGTTTTCGTAGCTTTTCATTGGTCATCACGAAAAATGGTATCTACACAACACAAAATATTGGGTGCTATGTTACTCCATTATATACATGTATTATTTTCAAGAAAGAGCAACGTGAAGACACATTTAATGCTATATTTTAACTGCAACAGAACAAGATTTTTCAATTGTAAAACATTGATATCATGCTGTCTCTATCTTGGTTGGTCAAATGATAAAATGCATTTCTTTGCCTAGTATACACAAAATATTACAATCTCAGATGATAAATAAAATTTCAGATGAATTACAACATATTAAATATCTATGTTTAATGTATATTTTCTATATAATTTAGTATGAAAGAATATTTATAACACATAAAAAGTAAATGTTACCTGGTCTAGGTGTTGTTGATACAGTTGTGGATGTCTCTGTATAAATAAATAAATAAATAAATAAATAAATAAATTAATAAATAAATGAATGCGTGAACGATTTTCTTCTGATCAAGAATTTCGAGTACTGTTGGTTGATGTTATACACCTGAACATGAAGGTCAAGGATCTATAAGGGCGTGGTGGAGGCCAAATGGTTAAGCTGTCTGCCTCTCAACCCAGGTATATCATGGGTTCAATCCCTACTTGGGGTCACGGCATGACACCAGTACTTGTTGGGTCCAGGAAGCGGCCTCGAAAGTAATTAATATAAGTTGCAAGAATTTGTTTCGCAATCGAGCTTAAATAAATATGTTTAAACCAAGTTTCAATAAAAGGAATTTTTTTTAATGAAAACAATAATAACTATTCATTTCAGCAGATGACATGCACATAATGCAGATGACGAGACATTTAATCATTTCTTTTATCATGCATTTAATGAATTTATTGATAAATAAATCTGATTTTCCTTTGATATTTGAGCTAAATTAATGCATAGTTGTGATATCTTTAGTTCATTAATTAATAATAGTGTTTCAGTGGTTGTTTTAAAATGATAAAAAGAAAGCAAAAAGTCTAATAGATAAATATAAAAATAATAATAATTAAAAATAATAATAATAATAGTCAAATCATTTCGTATTGTGCAATTTTAGTTTGCTTAAGAGTACAATAAGATATACAAACGTACCCTTTACGCATGTTTTATTGACGTTATCCCTTTTGTAGCCGACCAAACATGAGCAATTAAATCCACCATCTATATTATGACATCCCTCATTTTCTCCAGTACAGTTATCTGTGTTTAATGTACATTCATCTATGTCTATCTCACATTGTGTACCAGTCCAGAACGATGAACAATAGCACGTGCCATTGATGTGGTCACATGACTGTGATGGTGTGATTGTATTGTTTGCCACACAATTACAAGGTGTTTCACATTCATGACCAAATCTATTCGTTGAACATTCTGAAAATAATAATGAGGAATAAATACAAATTCCTGGGTAATTTTGAACATATTGTCAAATAATTCTTCGAGAGAACGCGATTTTGTTATAGCGCTTTACTTAAGTACTTAATTATATAAGAATGTGTACGCTTCTATACAATGTGGAACATCCGTACCTTTACATCCACCAAGAAGTGTTTTGTATCCGTTATGACAGGTGCATGTATAACTCCCGATAGAATTATTACAGTAAGCATTCTCCACACAAACATTAGATAAACATTCGTCTATATCTTCCGTGCAATTAGTTCCATTCCATCCGGATTGACAAACACAGCCGAGTACATGGTCACATATTGTCGTATGGTCAGGATCACATGTGCAGTTATTAGAACAGTTGTCACCCCATGTACCTTCCGTGCATTCTGAAACGAGTTTTTAGACATTCACTTGTTAATGAAACTATTTAAAAAGAAATAAAATTTCACATCAAAAGTCGAAAGCAAACAGGAAAAAGTTTTTCCATAATTTAGTATCGTTTGTAAAATAGGATACAAACAAAAAAACTTTGATAATTAATTAATTCCGTATAAATTTCAAACAAAGCAACAAATGTATTTTGATATTTCGTTATCTTGAGTCCCAGATATATTATCACGATTCAGATGTTTCATAGAGATGTCGTTTGATTTGTTACGGTTCTAGATCAAATATCGTTATTTCTTGAAGTAAATAGAAGCCGCGCCATGACAAAACCAAAATAGTGCGTTTGCGACCAGCATGGATCCAGACCAGCCTGCGCATCCGCGGCTCATATTAAAATTATCGCATACTTGTGCAATCATTTCCGGTTCCGGTGTAGCCATCACCACAGGAACAGTTGAAGGAGCCAATGGTATTGCTGCAACTCTGTGAACATTCATCAGTGCCCTTTTCACACTCGTCGATATCTGTAACACAATTGAAAACATATTAGAACATGTCATTAAGTTGAAGACATTATCTCTTGTCGTGGACAATGATTTCTTGTCAATTACTGTGTATACTGAGTGGCTGAAATGTAACAGGTTATACGTTTAAAGATGATTATTGTGTTTATATATACATGTTAAGAAGAGAAATCATACTCTTGTATGAATTAGTTGTACATTACTAAACAACAAGTTCCAAACGTGCATGTCTTGTAACAGTTATTAGCGATACAGTTGTTACAACTGGTAATCAAAAATGCATTACATTATGCTATAAAGTGGATAAGTCTGCAATGGCCACTTTTCGATGAGCATTTCAAATTTTAATAAAAACAATACACTGTAAATTTTGGGAACACTACACGTGTTTTACCAGTGTTTCACACAAAAACACTGACGTTTTCATATAAAATGCTCATGTTTTGTATACGTTTCAGTGAAAACACATATGTTTTATTCATGTTTTCCGCTCGATGCCCAGAAAACGGTGGTGTTTTCACAGGACAACCTATAATATATAATTAAATAATTTTACATTATTGAATGAGTTGAAGTCACGCAAGTGTTGTGAATAGGCCACATGTAAAAAAATAATGAGACAAAAACATCATTTGTGTCGGAAAATTCGTATATACTTGTCATCCGGAAATCTGAAAACACGTGTTTCGGCCGAAAACACGTGTTTCGGCCGAAAACACTAAGGTTTAATCTGACAGCGGTTACTTCCCCTTAGCACAAAAAACATGAATTGATTAATTTTTTTTTATAATTAGAATTATTTTTGTACAATCCCCATATTAAAATATCTAGATCCAGAAACAAATTATGATGAATTCAATTACATAAAATATTTTATAATAAATAAATTCGAATCATAGCAGCCAGATGCTTGCGTGTAAAGAGTACGCTTTGATTGATATCTCCGTAAAGCGCCTGGCGATGTAGCACATTGTAGATCAGACGACAAAGACCGCCAGAAATTGTTTGTCTCATTTTTGTTGTTTCTTCCATAACAGATATGTACAACAGTTGCTTAAACAGATTTGTTAATATTTTTAACGTTTTTACAGGTGAATGGTTAGGTTTTATGTACTATATAGTCCATTTTCGCTTCGATAGACGAATTGAAACAGGTGGGTGGGGAATGCTGTTTATACGTTACGTGATTAGATTGGTCAGTTATTTCTGTTTGTGCAAAAATTACTAAAACTATTGGTGTTCTTTTTCACGGATTTGTATTCAAATCACTTTGGGGTAGTTTTAAGTTGTATCGTTTGTTTCCTTGTTAAGGATTAAAATAATTTAAATTTGTCTTTCAACTGGTCCACCAGGGCAGGAGTATTTCTGTCCACACACACTTTCTAACAACAAATTGAAGTAAAATCTTATTTACATTTAGTGATGTAGGAAATGGCGCATGATGTCCAATGATCAGCTATGGGATTGACTATATGTTTATACCTGTCTGATAATGCATGTATATAAATTAACAATTTTTATCTAGGGGCCCAGACTATTTTACATTAGTTATTTAGGCATTTCTTCTAGAAAGCTTGGGCCCTACCCAAAAGTTAGGACCATTGCGACTGGATCCCTGTTATTTTATATCCCTGTAATGGAAGCACGATGGGCACACTAACAAAGTTTGCACTCTTACCCTATGCTACGACCGGATGTAAACAATACGTTCGCACAGGGCATGCGCGATTATTAAATCCCACCCATTTTATTCGATTAAATTCTAGAACAACCTCTACTTTCGGTTTCAATTTTGCTGACAAGGAACAGTTTGAGTCAACGTAAGTGTTAATTTTAATAGCAATGTCCAAAACTTTGCACTACACGGCGTAATTTTCATTACATATCGGGTATTATTACCGTCATGGTAGTTTTTATTCCAGTCGGTCAAAATGACGGTACACATTTACATGTAAACAAACAGATTTAACTTCTCAGACAATTTAAATAAGGAATGGACACACGGTAAACTCTGTTGCAACGTAAAGTATATTCATAAACCTACTGTTTGTGAAAAATTGTCTCCGTGTTCAAATAAATTTCAAAAACGGGGAAAAAAGCAGTCTTTTACCGATACCCTGCAACTGAACCTTATTATTCTGACGAATTAAATTGACTTTATAACGCTCGTATACAATTATTTATTGATCGATTTTCATTATATTTATTTTGTAATACCTATCATTCAATATGCAATCACACAAAACCAAGTTTTCCTACATTCAATGAAATTGTAAGTTAGGACGAGCTTTCAAAACGAACAGATAGCAATTTCCAACACTCTTACCGAAACTCCAACATGGCGGCTCAACCTGGCTCATTTGCATAATTTATTCATAAATGCAGGAGCATAGAACTTTCAGTTTGTTAGTGGGGCAGGTATTAATAATTGTCATTTAACAGTAACTGTATAAACCTTTTGATTGAAATTTCCTATAAACCCCCACCCCCCTAAATTTCTTTATTTTCAATATTTTATAAACTTTAGAATGAAAAGACAAATAAACATATATAGTTCTATATTATTATCACACATTTATAATAAATGTTCCTTTGTAAGGGTGCAACTATTCAGCTTTCTCTGGATTTGATTCTTAATTCCATTTAAATTTCGATTTGATTATTGAGGCTAAGTTAACATTAATTTTATATAGGGAATACTTTAAAAATAATTTTTAACTACACTTAAACTTTATTTAGGACAGCAAAGAAAAACATACTGAATAAAACTTTTAAACAACATAGCTAGAAAACAGAAACCATATCATGTTACATTCAACGTGTTTTGATTTGGATAAGCAAGAACACGTTGTCAAGTAAAGAAACGCTTATATTATATATAATATTCAAATATAAAACATTCAATTAATATCAGAAAGTCAAAGTGTTTTTCCCCTACTTTGAGAATGGTGCTGGTACAATTAACGGTACCGGACAGATTGGGAAAAAATCCATCGGTTTGACTTAAATTGGGAATTTTATTTTAGATGCAAAATATTTATTGGGAATTTCTTTTATCCAGGGAGGTGATGAAAATTTTGCATAATTATACACTTTAAAATCATGTATTATTAACTTTAAAGATTATTTTTGCTGCTTGAGGTTGAAAAAAAAATTGATAATCATAACAATTGTACATAAATAATGTTTAGTAGGTGTGAAACATAAAGGGGAGCGGTGGCCTAGTTGTTAAGGTGTCTGCCTCTCAACCCAGAGATCATGGGTTCGAGCCCTACACGGGTCACGACCATGTTTCTTCATATGACACCAGTACTGGTTGGTTCCAGGAAGCGGACTCGAAAGTGATTGATATAAGTTGCAAGAACTTGTTTCGCAATCGAGCTAAAATAAATATGTTTAAAACCTTAAACATAAAGTACGAAATGAACTGGGTACGAATATCACTCATGTGGTTTTACTTGGTTTTTATCGTATATCACTTATCAATACGGAAGGCTCCGAGGCATGCATTACTGTTTTTAGAGGTAATTTTCAGTGTTAAATTTGGAATTTATCAGTCATGAATTGGAAAATTTGCTGTCTATTTTCTATTGGGAACGGTGCCGTTTTCCGGTATCAGTTATATAAGGAAAAATACTGGGTTGTTGTTAAGATTTTAGTCATTGACTAGATTTCTACCAGAATTTTTTTGTTTTTACTCTTCTTGTGCAAGTTGTGGTTATAGAGTGTGATGAACATATTGACTCTTACTTTGTAAAACGCTTAGATACAAAGACAGTTGCTAAAAAATATCAAGATCTCAAGTTTGTTTTGCCCCTGTCTTGCATATCTGTAATGGAAGAACAGTTATTATGGATAAATACAGGTACTTCAATAAAATGTAATTTTGGGTACTGTCAGATCTACATGTTACGCTACAAGTTTCTTCTCATAATTACATATTTAACAACTAGTATGGCTAATGAGTACAAAATTTTGGAGGTGTTACACTACAAGGCAGAAGAGAATATCTGTCCTTGCAAGCAGTCTTGAAGACCTTCTGAATAAAGGTAAGTATTTTTACACACTACAGCACAATTACAACACAGTGTTAGGTTGTGTGCTCAAAAGAGGAATCTCAGAATTATTTAGAATTTAAAGCCTTGTCATAAGAAAATCTGTACAGGTGTGACTATTGTACAACCACAGTTGTTGGCGTAAAACACTTTGTGAAAGTCTGGTGATCCAGATGCCAAGTAAAACCGTTAATATGATAAGAAAAAAATAGACATTTCACAGTATCATAGCTTTATTTACATTTGAATTGATTTTTTAAAAAAAGAAATGTGGTTCTACCTTTCTGTGTTTAATTTTTACTACATTTGCAAATTCAATAAATTATCATCATGTAAGTATTACCTAATTGCAATAACTATTGTCCTCCACTTTGATTTTCACAAACATTTAACATGGTGAACCCTAAATGTTAATCATATTATTCACAAAATTTTAGCCTTGCAAAAATATCTGATTTCACAGTATAAAGAAAATTCAAACAAGTAGACTCAAAACACAAACTTTTCACAAAATATAATAATCATGTTAACAGTAAAACAAACCCTACTTGATGATATTATTTAGAATGGAACAGTTGTCAAAATTTAATTTGAGTTCTATATATGCTGTTGAGATCCATTTGTGATGGCAGAAATCATATTCATGAATATAACTACAGATCTCATCTATATAATATTTGATAGCTACAATACATAATTGTTATGTTAGAATGACTGTCTTAAATGTTTTACAGAAAAGATCTGTAGTTTGATAAATAATTCAAACAGTTTGATACTTCGATCTAGTTGGTATTGATGACTATTTCTCAGAAACACTAACTCGAGTTTTATTCAATATTTTAGCTGGTGACAAGCAACAGTTGCAAGGAGGAAGATGGATTGTTGTGCTGGAAAAAGATGTGACAGAAATGGAAGAAAACGCCATCCTTGACATATTCAAAACTAAGTATTGATGCTTCTAGAAGACCAACAATTATGAGAACCAGATATTCCAAAAGACACTGTTGTAATGTTTGGGCAGACACCCAAGATGCCAACATGTCAAAGACTGAGACAGAGTCCACAACTGTTACCACAGCAACAGAAATTGTAACACCATCTTGTAAGTTGCATGAAAAAATAGTAGATTTGAATTTTCTGTCTTATCAGTTGACTATTAAAATCTGATATATAGTATAATATTTCTTGGCAAAAATGCCTGCAATATAACTGAAATACTATTGAAACAGGTGTTAAACTCCAACAATATTTCTGAGAACGGAACAATTAAGCTGAAAACAGAACTTAAATTTGAACATTGGAAAATGCAATATTGTATATAAAGAATCTTAAATGAGTTGTCATATAATACATGTGACACATTGAGTAATTTATATAATAGCAGGGGCATGACCTTTAATTTACATGTATGCTCAGCAAAAACCTGGATCATCCCATCCACCCCTTTATCCAATCAGATGTTAACAGTGTGTTCAATGGTTACCCAAAGGTCCTATACTTCATTGAGTGGATAGCCAGGACCCAACCATGCAGGCATCTAGTCAGGTCTGAGTCCTTGATGGATGTACATCCTTACTGCAGGTTTATCATGCCATGGCTTAAATAATTTCAAAGATTAATATGTTGTACTAAAATTACAAAATCATTTTATCAATATGCATATTTACATGTCACATTATAAGTCTTTATAATGAGGTTCTTTCTAGCAAGTCCTTTGGATATAATAAAGTTCAAAGATTAATTCCTAAAATGTGTAGACTATAAGTATGTATAAAAATAACCATGAATGGTTATTATTGTAATATTTACAGTATTGTTTGGATGTATAATCATAAATGCGACGTTTAAACTAACATGAGGTTGGTATTGACCCCAACAACCATGTTACATATTTGTTGCTGAACAGAACTTTTTCCTGAATGTGGAGGAAAATACACTAAAAAAATTAACTAAGAAAAAAAAAAGAAATAATTTATAAATTACATCATATATGAGCATACACAAATGGCTGTTAATTATGTCATAAATTGCATATTAAACATTAATGGTTATAAAAATATTTGGAAAGTGAAATTTAAAGGCAGGTGATCTACGCTGTTTTGCTACATTTCCTTTTTTAATTATCATATGATTATCAAATAAGCTAATTATAATAATTGTTTTTCTTTTTTTTTCAGATGTTGTTGGAAATTAAATTAATTCTTGCAGTAGGCCACATCCAACCATTTGTTGACAATCTAGAGATATTGTTTGAAGCAGTAGCTACACTTAAACCTGGAGGAAAAGAGGTATGAGTTAAGATTACTGTTAGGGCAGGCAACCTTATGGAAAAAGATATCATTGCAATCTTACTATGCATACAGCACAGCCTTGTTATAATGCGGCTTAAGATATAATAATGTTTAAAAGAGGGTAAAAATTGTATTCACAAAAGGTATAGAATAGAAAGAAAAATTCCATATTTTTTTTAAATATATAATAAATACTTTTTTGTTTGGATATAATGTGGTTAACTAACATGGTCTATATAAAGGATTCAAACTACCATGTTATAACAAGGTTGTGTTGAACCTAGGAGACCCAGTCAGAAGTTGATTATGCTTCTGCACCTGTACATTAATCAAATAGTTCTGACAATTATTATTTGTTGTTGTTGTTTTTTTTTAGATATAAAATATCTGATTTTTAATACAAAATATGTAATTTTTAATTTTAATGTGCTTTGAAATACATTGTCTGACTGGACTTAAAAAAATTGCGACTTTATCCTGAGATATATTGCAGGAAATCCAACATGGCATAATCTTGTTTTGTGGCTGATGTTTGTTTTTACAGTGCTTTTGTCACTTTTAATGCAAATATGGTTAAAATTGTTAAAAATTGTGTTCATTTTGTCATATTGAAAGCTGTGTTTAGGATCTGATTGTGTGCGTTTCTGTTTACTTAGAATTACTGATTTCTGTTGCAGTGCAAAGATGATTTGGACGTTATAAGAGCCATAGAAAGTAATACAGGATTCAAACATGGAAAGGGGTGCAAGACTAGATAAATTGTAGTTCTACATAAGGTATAGTAAATGTACTGGAATTTTTTTTGTCAGTTTTGTATAATACCACTGAATTTAATTTTAACTTGAATACTTGCAGCCGCTAATCATGACAAGACACATTTGTAACTGACAAGGGACAAAATTCTGAAATTTATTAAATGAATTAATGTCAAAACTATCAAAGGTATCAGCACAATTAAGACTTTGATAAATTCATTTTATATTTGCTTTACATTACAAGACACACTGTTCAGACAAGGGGAGTTATTCTTAAAACTATATTTTGGAGTTATGCCCCTTTTCAACTTACAATTTTGTCAAAATAGCATATTAAATGGATTGACTTGTAAACTTATTTAAGTATATGATAAGTATCTCTATAGATAGGCCTCTTTGACAAACATGGTATCTCATTTTTTGCCTGTCTTGTCACTATATAAAATAGACGAATGTTGGCCCTGCTCAGCATGGCATGGCAGAAGATCGAATTTCTGACCTACTGCTCCAGAAGCAGACATTAACTAACACTTTATTATGTGCTGGTTGGAAATGCTTAAGGTAGAAGATTTCCCTGATCCTGTTATGAAGGATGGTACTCATTCATTGTTTTGTTCCATGTTCATTTTGCAGGATATTGAAGAAGCTAATCTGTCAAAGGTCCTGTCATCACAGCCTAATACTCCTCCAAGTGAAGCCTTGTTTTTATTTTTAACAACATAGAACTGGACAAACAGTATATTGTTGGAGACCAGTGCAAGATACCACTTGAGACAGATAGCCTCATGGAAGGGCTATTCTTATTGATAAGCTGGTATTATATAATGGATCTAGAAAATCCCACTGCTTTTCACAACTCCTTGGATTCATGCAACAAACAGTATTTAAACAAGCCTTTCTTAGTCACAAGTCGGCTGGGTATTTACACTTTGTGGAAAAATTGGAAAAACTAATGAACAAATAGAACCAACATTTTAAATTAAATTCAACCTTCTGTGTCATGGACATATTATTGACTTCTTAACAGCTTACATTTTACCATGAAAAAACCTGCTTTTTTTGCACTTACAAAAACAAAGGTGCAGAATAGCTGTGTGGTAACCATCAGCTGATCAGTGCCTTTATTTTTGCTGCATAGATGGTGCAATCCCTCCCCTTCCAGGCTTCCTTAATCAGACATTTAAATCCTCTTGATGTCTGAACATGAAGCTGTATATTTTGGCTCTATTTGAAATAGCAAATGTCAAGTGTCAATATTTTTCAAAACAGCTAAGACTATGCTTCTTTTAAGGAACTTTTAAATCTAGTGATTTATCAAATTATTATTCACTAGCAGAAAGGATTGACTTAATAATGCAGTGTTTAAACACTAATTTTATTATTTATGACATCAGTATGTTATTGCAGACTGTGACATTTTTATGTCAATGAAGCATTAAAATGCCATATATTATAAATTGTTTATTACAGTTAAGAAGTATTAGTGCTATTTGTTGTTTGCAAATGTTAATATGCTCTTATTTTGTACATGCTATGTAGTAAGTTTAATATATTGCATTGATGTCTTAAATAAGTTTGTATTTTGTTGATGTATTACTGTCTAACTTTAACACATGCTCACTTCATTATCATATCAGATTTATTAAATTTTCATTTACTGATTTCAAGTGGTAAGCAGAATTATTTACAGAGATCACTAGTTTTCACTGATCAGGCACCTTTGTTGTGCATTTAAATTTTTGGTGTTTTCGGAGTCAAAGAAATGATTTATCAAAATATTGTATAAAGTTGCATTGTAACATTTTAGAGTGCTAAAGTGTACCATTTTTTTGTCTAAGCCTTAAGCGCACCACAACAAAAGATATTTATGAACCATCAGGATATATACTGTTACTGATGAAAAATAGAGCACTAGTGCACAGACTTTTGACTCCCCCCCCCCCTCCGGACAGTCAACATTGAATGACCGATTTTTGACACTGTCTGAAAATACTGTTTGTTTTTTTCCAACCCAAATATGATACATATATGTGCCAAAAACCTTGTTTTTTACATTTTACAGGGAGGTAGACTTTACTGTGTAAAAATTTAAATCCATTTTATATATGTTTTCATTTTACCTGAAATTCTACTGATATCCATATATCAATTTGCTTTTGTTGTTTAATTGTCTATTTATTTACTTAATTGTTTGCCTAAATATAACTGTAATCTGTTTTATGTATTTATTTTATACATTCATTTTTAATCCCCTTCTGCATAGAGGGGAGGGGATTACAGGAATGGCCTCAGTCTGTCTTCCATGTCCACTCCATAACTTTTTTAAACTGTGAAAATTTTTTGAAATAACTTGGCACAAATGGTCAGTATGAGACGATGTGCAGAGCGCAATAATCGGGTCGCTACCCCTAAGGTCACAACTTAAGGTCATAGGTTAAAAAGTCTACCTTTTGTGTCCGCTCCATAACTTCAACTGATGAAAAGTTTTTAACATAACTTGGCACAAATGATCACCTTTATATCATGATGAGCAAAGCACAACAACAAGGTCACTACCTCCAAGGTCAAGGTCACACTTAAAAGTCAAATGTTAATGGTCCACTTTTTGTGTCCCCTAAATAACTTAATCTGCTGAAAAGTTTTTAAAATAACTTGGCACAAATGATCACCATTATAATAGGATGTGCAGAGCGCAACAATCAGGTCACTGCCCCAAAAGTCACAGGTAGAGGTCAAATATTCTTGTTTATAACTTTTTGACATGGAAGATTTTAAATATTTTAGCATAAATAATCACGACCATGGCACAACAGCCAGGTTTTTCTCTAAAAGACATGGTTTGTTAAAGATCAAGAAGTACAGATTCCTGTCCACTGCGAAGGGGATATAGATGTCCTTCAGACTGCCTTGTTTTTAATTGTTTGAAGTTTGAAAATGAAAATGCTCTTTTTAATTTTGTGATTGGTAACACCAGAATTTCGGGTATATTGCATTGGATTGTAACATGGCTGACAAGGTGACAGTAAAATTGCCACCTGTAGAAAATGCTACCTCAGTTGACAGCGTTTTTCCAAAAGTTGTTAACTTTACTGTCACTCTGTCAGGCATGCAATATTAATTTTAGTCTACCAAAAAATCTATTATGATAATGGTAGGGTGTCTTGATCTATTTAACATTTATGTGCAGTAATGAAGAACAATTAGTATTTAACCTAAATTTCAAAATGTTATTAAAATGTGTATAATATGTTTATGTGTCATTGTTCACATTTTTTGGTTGATCGTGTTTTGAAATAAAACATGGAAACTATTAAAACGTGTAAACGTGTTTTAAATCTGTTACAGTCCCAAAACACGTGTTAGGTGTTTTCAGACAAAACACCTAAACACGTTTTCTAGGAAAACACCCGTGTTTTAGTGTGAAACATCGGTGTTTTGTGAAAACACCGCAACATGTTTTAAAACTGTTACAGATAGGTGTTTTCACATGTGTTTGGAATCAAAACACTGAGATTTAGAGTGTAGAAATGTATCATTTGGATATTCTAATATTGCTTAAAAAGTGTTCTACGTGACTTCGTATGAACATATTTATAATGAATAAAAATATGTTATTCAAGAACATTTTATTATCTGCTATATAAATATATGTATTATCGGATCATGTATCTCATACTTGCCAACAACATCCATTTATAATTCTTTCGTGGTTGGTTGTATTGTCTGCTGCTTTATTTTATGGAAGAAATTATTTATTGTATTACAGACCTTTCATTATAGACGAATTCACTTTCACCAGTGTAACGCCTGTTTGAGGTTGTTCAAATAAACCGTAAAATGTATTCTCAATGGAGACGTTACCATTACTATAATCTTATACAGTTCTATGGAAAAATTACTTCCAATGGCAGTTGCAGCAGGAGTAAAGTTAAATGTAATCTAAATCAAATATTTCAACAATACTTGCCAATACATGTTCCATTACTAGCAAGTTCAAAGCCATCTTCACAACCGCAGGAATAGGAACCAAGGCTGTTTTCACAAACTGTTTGATGAGCGCCTGTGCACGGGTTATCCGAGCATTCGTCAATATCATCTACGCAGAAATCTCCAGTCCAACCAGCTTCACAATTACATTCTGCAGTCACGTGATGACATGATCGCGCGTTATTAAAGTTACAAGTGCATGGCGTAGCACAGTCTTTTCCATATGAAAATCCATCACATTCTGAAAATCAATTTGATTTAATAGTGAGTGGTGCATGGTGAAACAAAGTATACTGAATTTATTGGTATAAAAGTACTTGTTTGTCCGTTTGTTTGGTTTTACGGCGCACCCACTACCAACACAATTTAGGTCATATGGCGCCGAAACAGGGAAGATGATTTTAACTTACCTCAGGTGTTACAAATTTAAGCTACCACACCTGCTGGAGCTAATATATGCATAGATTCCAATATTTCGAACCCATTTAGTCGCCTCTTGCGACCACGCAGGGATAAATAGTTGCTAAAATGTTTAAAGGCAACCCGTCTGCCATAAGGTGACAAGAACTGGTAATTAGATAAATGTTGTCATGTTTTATAGTGGGTATACCTTGCATTTGTTTGTTCTAAATTTAGCATTATGATTAAAAAAAATAATCGATCATTTGGAGAGATCATTTTATAAAGATTATATCATGTTTAAGTTCCCTTCTTTATTAAATCTAAATTCTGTTGTTATTACCTCGACATACGCCACTAGTTTTCACATATCCAGGTACACAATTACATTGGTATGAGCCGTCTGTATTATCGCACGTGGAGTTTTCTGGACAATCAAATGTTCCGGCTGAGCATTCGTCGAAATCTTCACTACACGTGTCTCCTTGCCAACCAGCCTTACATGTACACGTACCGTTTATAGTGTTACATAGCTGTGTGGTGTTACCATTGCACGCGCACGTACTGTTGCACTCATAACCAAATGTATTCTGTCCACAACCTAGGAATAAATATTTAAGTTTTCTGTCTAAAATACAATGTAAACTATCATGTATAAAATCAAATAAACAGTATAACTTGCGGATTGTTAGGATTCTTTTCACTACATTTCACTGTTTCACTTTATATTTCTTCAAGTTCAATACAGATAGCTGTACGTAACAAATGTTAATGTTTGTTTAAGGTATTCGTAATTATGAAATCATTCAAAACTGTGAACTATAGGTAGACATTGTTTAATCGATATTGTAAGTTGATGTGCTGACTCCCATATACATAAAGTACAAGCAATACAAAACCAAAATATAACGTTTAAAACATAAATGAAAGTTTTATCTAGAAGAAAATAAAATGTTATTGCCATTATTTTTGTCTCATTAATGCTTACCTTGACAAATTCCATCACTGGTCGTGAAATAACCTACGTCACATTTACAGTAGAATGACCCGTTGGTGTTAACACAGTTCGAGTTATTCGGGCACGTGTAAGTATTACACTCATTAATGTCATCTTGACATCTAATTCCACTCCATCCTTCGGAACATGTGCACGCCCCGTTGACAGGATCACATGACACAGTGTTGTCATTGTCACAATTACATGTTTCCGTGCAGTTGTCACCGTATTTTCCACTAGGACAGACTGCGTCATTTTCAGAATAAGTATTTTATTAGATTATATGCATAAAGAATTCTAATGAAATTTTATATTGTTTTTAATCTAGTTAGGTATACTAATACAATTACAATCAAAACAATTTAGTTATTGTTCTCGCAAGTTTAATGTTGAGCTTGTTTAACTCTGTTGGGTGTCAGTATAATTTGTAAATTGAATACGATACACGTGTCAAATAACTAACATAATTAATTGTTATATATGTAAGATTACAAACTTATTCATGATACTGTACATTATGAGTGCACTGTCCCCAGCTTAATATATATAATGAAAAATGATTGCAAAATAAATGAATGCAACGTTGTTGTAAAATATGTAATGACGCACCGATACACGTAGCCTTATCAGTATCTAACTGGTACCCTTTCTCATTACAAACACAACTGTATCCTCCTTCTTCTTCAACACACTGCTGGGAACAAGGATTGGGGTCAAAAGAACATTCTTTTATATCTACGAATAAATATAACATACAGGTATATTGCAACATTCATGTTACAAAATCATTTTGTTTAAAAAACAACCTTGCAATTTCTCAAGAAATAACATTAACGATATAAAGGAAGGATAGCCAAGACAATGTTTTGTGCAAACACTTATTATGTACTAGATTTTGTTTGTGATATGATGTTTTTGTTTACATTTATACAATAAAATATAACTAAAGTGAATACACTCTATCAAGTAACAAACATAATGAACTTAGGTAAGATTTTAACAAGATTTGCACCCATGTAGTCAAAGAATTACACATATTTATACAAAATGTTTGTAAACATATATTTTTTATTATTCTTTTTCACTCATAATCATAACCTCGTGTATTTCTATGTTACTTTGTCGATGTACTAAATTAAGGTAAGATAAATCTAAACAAAGACAAGACAATAACTTATTACAGACATCTGCGTTGTTACTCATAAGAACTGTAAACATACCGACACATGTTGTGTTCGATCCTTCCTCAAACTTGAAACCCGGCTTACAAACACAGGTGTTTATTTCATTGATAAATGTACATGTTGCATTCCCATTACAGGGATTTGAGACACACTCCTTTTCAGCTTAAAAAACAAATAACATACATTGAAATATCATCAGCTTTGCGTAGGCTAACATATACATTAGATTGAATAAAACAATAAAATATTACATCCTGTTCCAAACACGACATGCTGAACAACAAAGAACGGGACTGGTTTTCTCCATTGCAGTCCTTTAACTGGCACCAAGCCATAAATTGTAAATTTCATCACCATAGATATTATTTTAGAATATTTTATTTTTGTTGATACTTCTGTTGCATTATTCCACTAGTAATACCATATATATTCCTATATAACACAAATGGTTACAATCAATTATCATAGACTCAAAATGATCTAAGACGTAGCTTTAACTTAAAGTTTATTTCCATACATTTTTTAATTTGTATAGCTACAGAATCAATATACCAAATCGGATCAATAACTAGGTATTAATTTTCTTTTATTTCATCACGTGATGTATATACATGTACGGATGGGACAATTGGTGACTAACCTGCAGTGTCTTTTCTTATTGTTTTTATTCTAACTATTCCTAACTTTCCTCTAATGGCAAGTTTAATTCTAGCCCAAAACACATAATTCTTACATCAATGTCTAGCCATTTGAATAGATGTTTTTCACATAGCTCCCCTGGCCACCATTTTCAGGGTCGTTCTCCCTATACTATATGGTTAGAATATCTTTCATATATAATTCTATCATCTTAAAGAAACAGATAAAATATTGTACATGTTGGTGCTATTATTGTATTTTAATATATATTTTAATGTTTTTGGTGATAAATGTACACATATTATATCACTTACGGATACATGTTCGTCTGTCCGTCAGATCCAGTCTAAACCCTGTCTCACAAGAACATCTGTAACTACCTATAGTATTGCTGCATATCTGTGAACAATCGTTCTGTCCTTCACATTCATTGATATCTATAATAGTACAACAACGGCAACATCAATAGCGTTATCTATTTTCATGTAAAAGATGTTGTTTTTTTTACTTTTTAATAGCTCATACTTCTGAAAGAAAAAGAACACTTAGATTCCATAACATTAGTACCGGGAAGACCTAATGTGGTTGACAGAAAAAATGACAACCAGTAGGCTTAATTTAAACATGATGAGGTTATGTAATTAAATTTACAAATTCCCACGAATCTATATTTCAAACTAAGGGAGACAATCTACTCTAATCATAGACAAACGGAACACGACATCTGTATCAGTCTCATTTCACAACCATTATATCAGATCAGTTGGTTATATAGATACAAGATAAACTTTATTAAATTAAAACAATTCCAAGTATTACCATTGCACGTGTTGCCAGTTTGTAGAAAGCCAGTATTACAACTACACGTGTAGCTGCCATTTGTGTTGGTACAAACTTGAGCACAGTCATTGTCATCAACATTCACACATTCATTTATATCTATATTGATAAAACAATGCAAAACATTATCTTAATGGTGAGAAGAAATTAAATTTAGCAAACATAAGATCTGCCTGAATTACAATGAAAATGGTGTCGTTGCTAATAATGAAAATAAGAAAAAAATAACATCAACCCAAGCAAAACCGATTATGATGCTTCTAAATGATATAGTCATTTATGAAAATAGCCATCTTGTAGTAATCCTTTATGTTATGACCACAAATTTCAGAAGTATCGGTCTTAAAAACTTAAAAAATATTTTGCGAAAAAATAGTTTTAATTGTTTTAAGAAATTTAAAACATCATGTTCGTTATTACTGTTGACCTTAATAAAATGACTGACCTTGACATATGTTATTTGTATCTTTATTGTATCCCGTCACACAATCACACGAGTAAGACCCGGGCGAATTATTGCACACTTCGTTTGTTCCCGTGCATGGAGATGTGACACATTCGTCTGTATCTATAGCACACGTTTCTCCGCTCCACCCTGTCTTACAGACACATCCAGTGACAGGATCACAGGTGTCCGCACCAACACCGCAATTACACTCACTTTCACAGTTGTCACCGTAATGTGAAGAGTCGCATGCTAGATATTTTCAAAAAGAAGAATAAGAAGTTATAATACTTCACAAATATGTCATAGTGCCTTATACGAAGAATTTAAGCAATTATTGTGCATTGTTCTGTATGTGGTAATTAACCTGTTTAACTACATTAATAATACTGCACGTTTGTAACGTCGCTTTTTTCATTGGATACTCGTGACGTTCATATAATTATATATACATGGGTGCTGCCATTTCATGAAGAATCTCACTTTTTTCTAAAAAGGATGTTTGCTATATTATAAATTTATTAAAAATATTCATGACAGCTTATATGACCGTATATAATATTGTTGTTTGCGTTATAACCCTCGCCAAGCGGCTCGGGTTATATTTACAAACAACCGTTAATATAAGGCCATATAATCTGTCAAAATTCTTAATAACTAATAATATACCAGGATGATCAGAAATATACTTCATCAAAAACTAACATTTAAAACGACAATTTAAGTAATGCTTTACCTGCACAAGATCTTTTATCATTTTGTAGTTTATTTCCAGGCCTGCAAGAACAAGTGTATCCCCCTATCTCATTCTCACACGAGTCCTTGTGGTCACACAAATTCAACTCAGTTGAGGAACACTCATTTATATCTGTTCAAGTAAAATAACTAACTTTAGTATATACTTAATGAAATATTAAGAAATATGGATTAAACAAATTTTGTATTTTCAATTCCCATATTTTTACTTTAAAAATTTATTTTTCACTGCAGTGAAATATTTTTCCGCATTTTCACTGGCGTCTTGATGGACTACATTCTTTAAATTCAGCCAATACCAACACAATCTAAGAGGAAGTCTTTTAAATTGAAAAAAGAGATAAATGTAAGTAATAAACAGAGAATTCAAGTTATTTAGTATGCTGGTGTTTTTAGATCTATGAAATATATGATGACGAAATAAATATTATGATCTGTCACTACTAATAAGAACACAGATTGCAATTAATTATATTATGTTTGTTTTGATAACTTGGTATGAACTTCTCATTTATTACTGACTTATAATTACTAAAATAACCTGTCAGCACAAAAATATATTATCAACACATAATTTCAATAAATTCATTACCGGTTAGTACAATAACAAATGAAGGTGCAAGGTTTGTCAATAGAGACAAATAATGGAACATAAGATACATAGTTCCTTCACTTATCATAAAAAAACGACCTGAATTTTCGCCGGATACATGGTTTACTTACCAATGCAGGTTTCACCATCAGGGGCAAGGTTGTATCCTTTATTGCAGAAACACTTTGCTTGCTCATTTTCAACACGGCATATATGTGAACAGTTTACAGACGGGAATAATGTGCATGGATCAGACACTGTAAGTAAGGATAATTTTTTAAATGTTTTAATGTAGTAATAATAATATCTTATTTAGATTGACCGCTGTCGGAATGGACAGTGTGATTTGAGCAATGAAAACAAAAATAAAAAGGTAACAATTACAGACTCAGTTTGAATGAGTTTGTCTTTGAGACATAATGAAAGATGCAACATGTCGGTTAAAGCAATATTCAATCTGATAAAAATCAGCTCCATATTCATGCTGCGCATAAGGATCCGACGACCACCAGTAGGTTGTCACATTCTCGTGACGTTTCAAACAGCCAATAATCGGCGACCTTTCACAATTTTGAAAGCGACACGGTTTCTAATTTTGACCGCTGAAACACCATAGGACTGTACTGAGTAGGTAAATTTCAGGAAACAAGAACAAAAATCTCGTTGTCCATATTGCCGGCAGGTAAACTGGCAAAATAATCTTGCCCATTAAAAATGAGTTTATATGTTTCAAATTACTTCAAACATTCAATTCTAACAAAAATCAACTATTTGTTTTATTTCAACGGACAACAACATTTTGATACTTCGTCTTATGCCTATCTGTAAAAGACAGTTTGATTGCATGACTGAAAATATCTTTCTCGGGAAATCCGTATATCAAGTTATAACTTAAGTAGATCTGGACGTTAGTCAGATTAAAGCAATATTCAGTTTTCAACATCTAAGAATTTGGTTCAATGATCCCGACTGACAAGAAAAATGATAAAATTAAACTGACCAACCAAAATGGAACTGATATAAAGCTTTACCTTTTATGCATGTTTTACGGTCATCATTGAGCAGGTAACCAAAGTAGCACTCACAGCTATACCGTCCTTGTGCGTTAACACATGTGTGTTCACAATCTGAACTTCCTGTCTCACACTCGTTTATGTCTAAATAAATTATAATGGATACTAGCTAAACATAAATTTATATATACAATGAAGAAATGTATGGCATATATTAGTCATAGAAAGTGAGTGATTAAGGTAGTACACCCCTAATGCACTGTCTCCACTTTGAAGAGTATCCAAATAGGCTAAAATCACTGTAAAGTGTATTGAAACTGAGGGGGCGTGGGTTCAAACCCCAGAAGGGGCAATTTTTTTTCTTTCTTTTTTTTCTTTTTAACATTTTTTATTAACCTCTCAGACCCCTATGGAAGAAAAAAGTGTTTTATTTTAATTATATAATTATTGTAGGTATTTATTTATTAAATAATGCCAAATTTAATAGCAAATATGATACCAGATATTTTCAAAGTTTAATAAAATAAAAACTAAACGGTAAAAGTATTTTATATTTTGCAAGACCAAGCAATATACATTAAAAAGAAATTTAGGCAAACTTTGAAAATAGCCCCTCATTTTTGAAAATTTTAGGGATATTTTAAATAAGGCTTTTTACATAGGGAAATGGTCAAATTAGTGTTAAAAGTGGGTGGGGTAGGGTTACATTTTTATACATATTTAAAACATTTCGTTTAAAAACAATCATTTTGCTTGTTTAATTTGTTACCTATATGTCATTGTTTATTTCTTAACAATGAGCAAAAGGAAAACATTTTTCATAATGATGATATTATAGATTATTTAGAGTTTCCTCATTTCTGAAAAAAATCCCTTCTAATGGCAAAGTTTTAGTTCATAAAAATGTCCATAACTCATAAACCACACGGTAAATTTTGTTTAAATTTTGCATACAGGTGACATTTAAGGCATATACCTGTCCTATGTTGTCAAATTTACAATTCCTTATAGTGCCCATTAGGGGTGTACTACCTTAAATTCACATTGAGTTATGTACAATATGTAAAAATACAAAATACAACCAAACAAGTGAAACAAAACCAATTACTAGCCACGTTGGGCCCATAAGTCACTTACAAATATTCTACATGACTTGTACATCTGAATATGCATACACCTGCATATTCGAATATGTATATCTTTAAACTGTTGAATGTATAAATTGAAGAAAGACAAACAGTTAGATTCAGACAAGTTATATATGTAACGATACAAATAACATAGGCCGGTCTACATGGACCAAATCTCTTAGGTGATAATCAGGGAAATAAGATAATTTATTATACCAGAACCCGGACGATGCCAAGTGAGATATTCGAACATTAGACTGTTAATAAAATGTTCTAATCTAAATTTACCGGTATATCGGATTTTGAAGAAGATTCTGATAGACAGTGAGATATATAACAGCATGAGGAGTTGAAACAAAAGGTGCAAACCGATTTGTGACATCATTTTTGTAATATAAACAACACATCCAGTTTGACAATTATTGGCAAATCATATGATTCTAGGTACATTTATTGTGTTTGAACGTTTGTTTTGATAACGAAATCATGTTTTAATTAATAAATCTTGTTGTTTTATAATTCTAGCTGTGCTCGTTATGGAAGCAAACTGCATGGCTTAACTATCATATATTTTCCCTTTACTTTACTCCTATAAAACTTTATTGAACGACATATGATGGTTTTACCTATACAGTTTGTAGGATCTGTCGGGTCAACATTGAATCCAGCTTCACAACTGCAGGAAAAACTCCCTACTGTATTAATACACCTTTGAGCGCAGGTGTTAGCTACTGCGTCCTCGCATTCGTCATTATCTGTAAGAACAAGAAAGGAATGATTTATAACAACTGTATTTACTTATTGGCGATTTGTTTAATTAATATTAATTAAAGGATAAATCACTGTTATCAAATAGTTCGATGCATGTAATTGACATTATAAATCAACTATATAAGGTCAGTTTCTTACCAACACATGCCCCATTTTCCAGCTTGTATCCTGAACGACAGCTACATTTGTACGAACCAAAAGTATTTGTACAAATTTTGTTAACATCCTCGCAAATATTTGAAGTCAGGCATTCATTGATGTCTGTGTCACAGTTGGTTCCCGTCCATCCTGTCTTGCAGACGCAGCCATGCACAGGGTCACATCGATCGGAACCACGGCCACACTTACACGTGCGCGAACATTTGTTACCGAAACTCGGAAAAGCGCATGCTGTAAATGCAAATAAATGTCTTGTCTTTTTTATTTAAAAACAATTTCTACACATTTCCTTGAAAAAAAAAACAACACACACACAAAAAACACCAAATCTAAGGCGCTGTTTGTCATTTACACCACATTTAAGGTTTATATAAATACTTTGTCTTCTGTATGTTTAATACTTTGTCTTCTGTATGTTTAAAATGTTTGCTGCCTTTTAAACAAGTTTGTTTGGTTTCAAGTCACGCCGATATTTTAAATGACTTTCAATCTCCACCGTTCTATCAATACTCCTTGTAGAATAAAAGCTAGGGTCGGTGAAGGACTAGAACCACCAGTCAACAGTGTGCCAGCTTAATAGCTTCGGCACTGAGGAATTCAGCGCTTTTAGGACACGTATGCTCGAATGAGAAAGTGCAAAGAATGTAACCTTTTCATGTCATAGATATGCCCTGTTTTGAATTTGGAACAGTCCATTTTAAGTATAACGGATTTCACAATTAAAATACAATAATTTAGCTATCCTGAGTATAAAGCTTAGTCAGACTGCACGTCTCTTTTTCTACCCCAAATCATGAATTGGCTGACTTGTTTTTATATGAACACGTTTATAACATTTATTAATGTTTTTTTACAAGCTAAGTGTTGACCCAATTGATAAGTTCTACGTTAATTAAATAAAAATGCTATATTATACGTTGGCACGTGGTTTTGTCGTCCAGGAGCTTGTATCCAGGGAAACATCCACATTCAAAACTACCAATTTCATCTGTACACGTCTGAGAACATACCCCAGTCGCACATTCATTTATATCTGCAAACATTTGTGAACATTTACTTATTTGATTTGTAATAATACTTTAATTACTGTAAAGATATTCAATAATCTATGTAATAAGGAACATTTTACAATTTACAATAAATATCAGTAAAATATTTTTAGTTGTTGTTTATAGATACATTAAACGGCTTGTGTTTCTTAAGCAAATTAAGAATCAATTGAAAAAAAGACAACAAAAAACAACAACATAAAAGCCTGAAATACACTTAGTTGACTACAAGAGCATTAATGGGGTCATCAATTTCCCTCCACTATATAAAATAAGAATGTTATAAAGTACTGCTTATAAAGAAAATGATGATTGGAATCGTCAAACGAAATAAGTAAAATTGAACACAAAATGGCTTACTTGTACATGTATTGCCTGCTGTGAGTTCAAACCCATTACTGCAGAAACATTCAGCCTGTCCCGTGCTATTGAGGGTGCAACCAGCAGTATTGTTACAATCAAGTGCGTCACAACCTTCCAGTGGAATTTCGTCTGTAAAAAATATAAAAAAAGCTCTCAATGTAACTTACGTAACACACAAAAATACATGTTGATTATTTAAAACAATAATAAAACAACTAAAACAACAACAACAAAAACTGCTGCTGGTGCTGTTACTGCTACCGCTACCACCACCACTACCACGACGACCACCACCGCTAATGCTACTACTTCTACAAATGATAATAGTAAAGTATAGTAAGGCACAATGTAAGAATATACATTGCATTTCCCTGAATTTAACTGAAATATTACTTATTTCTTCCGCATCATGTTCTGACACAAAGTGGAGATGTATAACGACTTATTTAAACGAGAAATTGCATACTACAATATAAATTAACATTATATGATAAGCCATATAATTTGATAAATGTACAATGTTTAAAAAAAATACAGCGTACGACAATATGTATGTACATGCACATACCCTTTACACATGTTGATTCATTAATCCAGCTGTAACCTTGGAAACAGGTGCAGTTGTAACCTCCCTGATAGTTGTCACATGTCTGGTCACACCCACTCGTAGATTCTTCACACTCATTAATATCTTTAATTAAAAGTCAGTTGTATTTTTAGACGAACATTATATTATACGACGAACGAACAATGTATTATAATACAAACACTGTATTATAACACGAACAATGTATTATAAAATGAACAATGTATTATAAGTCGAACAATGTATTATAAGACAAACAGGGCATTATCAGATGAACAATGTATTATAAGACAAATAGAGCATTATCAGATGAACAATGTATTATAAGACAAACAGGGCATTATCAGAGGAAGAATGTATTATAAGACAAACAGGGCATTATCAGATGAAGAATGTATTATAAGACAAACAGGGCATTATCAGATGAACAATGTATTATAAGACAAACAGGGCATTATCAGATGAAGAATGTATTATAAGGCGAACAATGTAATATAAGACAAACAGGGTATTATAAAACGAACAATGTATTACAATACGAACACTGTTCAATGTATAAAACGTACCATTAGACGAACATTGTTTTATAAAACACTTCTTGATAAAACACTTCTTGATAAACCGCACAATGATTATGTCAAAAAAGTCGAAAAAGTTTTTTAAGACACAATAATCAACCAAACGCAATGTTTTTAACACGAAAAAAAATGACCGAAGAAAACAGTAAAGTTTCTTCCCGTTAAAATTTTGAATCATCAGCTAACGAAACCTTGGTTACACGACAAAAAATACCTTCTGTATTCACAAGCTTGGTCACAAACAATGAGTCACACATTCTTTTAAACATTAAAATAACTAAAAATTACGCCTTTCAAAAAATCAAAAATCTCCCTTTACAGCAGAAAAACTTTTTCCGCCAGCAAATGGCGAGGTAATATGAAATTTGTGCGAAAATTGGGATTACTTTAAATTTTAAAAGTGATTTTTATGCAAATTTAAAGTGAATGGTAAATAAAATAGTTAAACCCAAAAATCAAAACCCACTGACCAACAGTATTTTTTTAAATATGTTCAAATAAAGCTTAAAAACGCGAGGCAGTCTTTTTTACAATTTCAGTGGTTCTTGTATTGTATCATTAACATTTTCTAATATAATTTATTGGTCAATCACCATTATAATATTCAATTTCAATATAAAATATTAATCAATCATAATCATCATTATAATGGATATTTCCAGTTTTTCATAGCGGAACATTTAGCCACATCTTTTCCATTCATTGCTAGGTCAACTGCTCACGAACAGTATCACAGACACATAACCATGTTTCTTTGTGCAAACTAGTAATGTACATGACCTGCAATGTTGATTCATATAATCAGCTGTAACCTTGGAAACAAGCGTAAACACTTGAACTCCATATAGTTTAAACCTGTTCACACAAGCACTCTAGCGTTCCAAAAATTTTAAATCCAGTGAAGCAATATGCAACATCGCCGTAGCATCGGGAACAATGTTTTTGATCGAACAAGATATGAAATGACGCAAGTATTTTGAGCAAGCAATAATAAACGCCGTAACACGGCGTTTCGATAACAGTGATTGATAAGGACATACCGTATGCAATCAAAAGTATTCATACAAGCAAACGGGAAACCCGTATCGCAGAACGATGAAGAAGGCATTTGTTAGCCATGGTATGATGAAAACATTGATAAATGAGAAACATTATTTCAGAAATAGGGATATGTCTGCAACAATTTATTTAGAAGAACTAGCTTATGATGGAATTATTATAACAAAAAGTAATAAAGAAACAATTAATTATAAAATACACCAGACTTAATTCAAGATTAAAATATAAAACAATGTAAATAAAAAACAGGGTTTATAAAAACATGTAAAATAATGTTAAACATGTAACATTATAAAATCAATTTGCATGAAACAATGTTTTATGAGCAATAATTTAAGACGAACTGCAATTAACAATAAACTGTACTTAATTAGCAATTTTGTCTAAACAGTATCCACTGTATATATTAAACGTATGCATAAATCTGATTAACATGGTAAAGTTTTATGTACACAATATGAAAATTTTACACAGTGAAGCAAGGTATATAACAATTCAAATGGTAATCCGTTTAAGCAGATACAAGCGCATAAAGCATAAATAAGCATCGTCAGTAAGTGAAAATATTGAGCACAAAGATGAACGCAGTCAACGCTGGGATACACTGAATTAAATCTCCGTAAGTATTACAATTCTTGAAAACTCCGTGCAGCCATAAATTCCGTTGAGAACCTAAAATAACCATGTCATAAAAATTATCAGTTTTTTCATCGAAGTGACTTTGTTTTTTACATAACGGCAAATCGTAACGCAATCACTATAAGCTTTACAATCAATCTATTTGATTGAAAAAAGACATTGTCAACTTTCACAGTATTTTGGAGAAATCATAATCTTACTATTTAACGCAATGGCAGAGACCTTCCATAATTCAAAAAATGCCAAATACGATGCATACATTATCATAATGTCGAAAGGGAAATTAAACCCCTTATTGATTCGGAGAAAATTTTTCATGAGGACAATGCAACACATCTTTACACTAATTATCGGTCAATAATTTCATACCTATACATTTATTATCCGTTTCAATGAAGCCATTAGGACATGGACTACATGTGTAAGGTGCAAGGCTCGGGTCGGCTTTGTGAACGTCGGCATTAGTGTCGCTGCAATTACGACCGACGGAACAAGGAGCTGCCTCGCATCCATCATAGTCGTATTCACAATTATCACCTGTAAAAATAAACAAAGTATGTTAAATGTATTATTATTTAACATGTCTTAACATTATAAAAAGCGATAAAAATTTAATCAACTCTTTTTTTTTTATTTAATTCTAACGAAAAAAATCTTTTTTATAAAGCACATTGCATTTCTATCAGCATAATATATTATTCAAATGTTATCTTTTTGTGAAAGAAATTGGTTGAAATACTAAGATTATGAAGCCAATATAATTCAAATAACCTTCCACGGTGTTAACATTAATACGAATTGATACTGTACAATAAAACAACTCTGTTGAAATGAGCAATCAAACGACTTAAAACATTAACTAAAATATCATTACATCAATTATGCAAAGCAATGGTTATTCATTGCTATGCAATGAAATCTGCCCGAGCATTGGTATTAAAATTAAAAATGTCCGTCAACTAGCCTGTCCAGTACTCCTCACAGACACAAGTGGCGTATTTAAAATGATCGGTTGTTGTGTCGTCTTCATGTAAAACACTGTAGTTACAAGCTCCATGTGAGCTACAACCAGTACACAGTACAATAACCACATCTACCGCAGGGGACTTTACTCCGAACTTGTCTTTGGCAAGCACGCTAAAACAGATACATTTTGTACTGCTGGGAATAGCAAATATACATTTTATTTGGAATTTAAATGCGTTTTAAGCTTCACACCCTAAGTGTCTATGAATATAGTAACATGAAGCGGACAGTTTATAAATAACATTTCTGTCAAAATCTATAGACGCCATATACATAAAAACCCTTACTTTATCGCCATATACTTGCTTATTAATAGTTGCTGGTTAGCATATAATTCTCTTTTAAATTTTAATGATTCTCTTTCATAAGAGAACCTACAATAGGTGATACTATCGTAAGTTTTGGCAATGTCCTCCATATTATAATAAGTTTAATATACTTAACGAACGTATTCACTAAGAAGTGTTAGGCTTATTGGTCGTTTACCTGACATACGCTGGACTGTTGTCTGTTAACGTAAGAGTGACGTCAGCACTACCGTTAACACGTTGTGGACCTATTTTAATATTGTCGTCTGCTACTGTTGTATTGGCAAACTCGTAGGACACTTCGCCATCATCAATACCGTAAATAGTGAAAGTTGATGGAACGTTAACATTTAAATTAATATAATGTCGATCATCTACTACCGTGGTTCCATTTGTCACAGTCAGAGAAGGTACCTTATTTGCTAAAATGTGAAAAAAATGAACAGCTCTAAACAATTGTTAAGCTCATTCTTTAGAATAATTACAGAAATTGTGACGTATTGCATGATGTATACATGTCTGCACATTGTCACGACATGAATATGGTTAAGAGAAAAGCAACACTACGATAATCATTTGTAAAATTTTCTAAAAGCGTAATACTGAATAATAGTTAACCATGTATTTCTTTAATAAGAGAACTGTCTTAATTACAATCATAATTAAACAATACCTGTCTGTTGTGCCGTTTCCTCTGCCCGAGTTTCTGTTGTATTTGTTTCTAGTGCCAACTCTTTGTTACCAGTAAACACGTAATCAAAGATACACTGATTATTGTCCTCGCCACACAGTTCCTTTGCCTCGGCAACTAAAGTTTCATTTGCCTCATCAAGGAACTTTGGTACGAAATCAGGGAAACTAAAGTCGCTATGGCTAACTCCGTCGTCGTATTTAAACAAGCTTTCATTTGCCGAGGTCATCCCTTTAGTTGATAAAATATTTACAAAGAAAATATGTTTTAATATTTGATGTAATATATCAAGATAAGATCACACGAAATTAAGTAGACCAAAATTATGAAAAAACCAGTATTCAAACGTTATATTTTAATTGTATATAAATTTAGAGTTTTCACTATAGCTATCATGCATGTGATAATTACAATATTATCTTTAATTAAGTCCAATGACCGCTTTTAATAATTGGTCGGCAGCTCATTTAAAAATGGAAAATATATCGTATATACTGTCCACTTATATACTGTTGTAGGAACTTACATGTTTGTCCGAAATACGTAAATATTGAACTTTCGTTTGCTGAATCCGGTAGAGGTGTTGCTTTATAGCGAGGTAAGAAATCGTCTGTTGCATCCCCATTGAAGTTGCCTAGCAACCCAGTTGTTATATTTTGATATGTGCTTGGTAACCCTAGACTCATTTGTAGCAGGCCAGTACCGACTGTCACATTGAAAGCAATTCCTTTAAAAAAACCCAACAAATTCATGAAACAAAATGTTTCGAGCCAACATTTACGTGTACTGCAAACATTTAGAAAAATGACCATAGTCTAACAAGAGAAACTTTGATCACATATAAAATCGTTATCATACGTAAACATTATAACTTATAAATACCTTTGTTCTGAGTATAAAATTTATACTTTCACTTTAAATATGATTATATCACAATTTGTATCACAATTTGCACTATTTTGACAGCAGAGACCTTATTTCCCGTCCCACTAGTGGGGCGGGAAATTAAGAAAATAGTGCAAATTGTGATACAAGCATGAAACTTTCAGGAAATCATCTTTAGACCATGTAGATTTCAAAAGTGAAGTGGGCCCAAAAATATCTCTGCTCATTCAAGATGGCCGCCATTTTCAAAATGGCCGCCATATACATTTGACGTACATTCTAGCTCATTCATTCCAATTTTTGGTAGAGACCTTTAACTAACACCAAAAGCATGCATATAGTTTCTCCTTTCCAAAATTTAAATCTTACAAAATTGCTCTTTCATACCTCTTCCAAAATCCAAGATGGCGTCCAATATGGCCGTCGATTTTGTGCAAAACTGTTATATCATTTTTATAGTATAATTTGTTGCACAAATTATGTTTATTATGATAAAAAGTGTTTAAACATATCAGAGATAATCAAATTATATGTTAATCTCAATAAAAGTAAACATTTTAAAAGTTTTTGTCTTAGAAATATCTTTTAGAAAGATCAAGAAAAAAATCCATTTTTTTCATATTTTTCAAATTTGATTTCCTTAATTAATGTTCAAAGTTAAAAAAGTTACTTTATATCTTAAACTGTATTTGACATTCCATTAATATCATGTGTTTATTGTAAAATATGTAAGAAAAACATTAAATCTGTAGGTTTTATATTTTGTGAAAGTGGGTGGGGTAATTTTATACGGTAATTATTGTAACAGAAAAAAACAACAGAAAATAAACATAGCTAATAGCTAATAGATCTGTTGTGCGCTTATATGAAACCTACTACATGTATTAAGATAGGTGTCAGGAGAGGGTTACACCAGCAAACAACTGTTAATTACTCAAGGCTATAAAACATTTACAAAAATATTTTTAATGAATTTATAATGCTACAAAAGTCCTATTTTTGAAGATTTATAAAAAAAAGTAGGCATAAATTCGTAGGGAGCCTTGGATAAATTCCACAGTATTGAACTGGGGATAATGTGTAAGCGGCTGGATAGCTCAGACCAAGTCACGAATGTCCAATAAAAGTCGACGTTAGAAAGACTTAGAATGATAATACTAAATCACCTGATTTTCCCAAACTGCACATATTATCAATTTTGATTATCACAAGTTACTTATTAATAATAATAAAAAGTTACCTTTCTCCGAGAAGCTTGTAATAAGAGTATTATTATCGCGACTAAAAGTCAATTCATCTGCAACACATATCGATTGCCCCTCATTCTCATAGTAATCTACAGTGTAATCAGCCCAATGTGTTTTGTTTGTCCCGGCATATAGATTTATACCAGTCTTGTTATTGTTGATTTCCACCTGAAGCCAGGAATCGGTTGTTTGAATAACAAAAGCTGAAAATATTGTTGCTTCAGAAAGGGTGCCATCTTCTTTCACAGCCTGAGTTGTTCTGCTTTGTATTTGGATATCTTCGGACTCTATATGCAACAATATATACTCACCATGTCCGTTAAAGGTATACTTGCGGTTATCCAGTGTTGTTATGTGAGGATCTCCAAACCCACCAGCTGTGGACAGATTACGTAAAATATTAAAATTTTGAAATACGCAATCAATAGTAGCTATTGACATATATACACGTATTGTTGAATTTCAGCTAGACATGAAAGATAAGGTCATTTGCTTGATCCAAAAACAAAATGAATGAAAATGTGAACAATTAAAGTGTTAGTGAAAACGCATTTATTTTTTCTATTAAAATCTTTCCATATTTTTAGAAAAAAAAATCACAATTGTACAAATGACTAAAATACTAGAACTATAAGCTAACTATTTGCATTTTCTGTCTTGGCAAAGCCGACCTGTTGCGACTCAATGGTTTGGTGTTTGGTTTAAATTGTACGTATTATGACCTAATTATCTCTATCAATGGTGCTTTTATAATCACATATTAAACTTAACAGTAAAGATGTTATGAACATAACTTTAAAAGTAAATATTCAATAACATTACCGAAAAAGAAAAAGAAATCGAAATAGCAGTTAGTCACGCGAGGCCTGACGTCATAATACAGATCACAGAGGTCAGTTCGTTCACAACATATGTCCTTATAAAATGCATCATTCTGGCGGTGCTGTTGCGAATAAGTAAGTTGATTGTAGGTTTCAAACGACCCTGCTCTCCTGCCCCAAAATATCAAACTACCGGTCCATAAATCGTATGTGCATGTCTAAAAAATAATAAGCATGTATACAGAAATGATAAAGATGGAACCATTGGAAAAGGCTTTGATTAATTAATTAGATTATTCTACCAAAATTTATGAACGGCTGATAAAATTGATTGCTGGTAATTGACTTATTTGACCTTTCATTTGTTATTATTGATTGTTTAAAGGGACTCCACTAAGGTTTTTTGACATGACGGTACCGGAAATATTTTTTCGAGATTTAAATTTCATTTGTTGAAAATCTAGAGCAAAATTTTAGATAATTTTCTCGCTTTCTTGTTTTTTTTCAGAACTATTATTCATATTGTGAAAATTGACCCAAAATTGAAAAGCTTTGCAACGCTTTTCACTCAAATCGGGCTATGAATAACACAAAAAAAACCGATTTTTCATTTACTTCTGAGTATAGTTTTTATCTTTTGCATATATTTCTGATATAGGGTCCAATTTGTTTTTTATAAGAAATTATTTATTTTTTAGACTGAATGATCTCAGTGGAGTTCCTTTAATTAAGCCCCTAAACGTCTCTATAAAATAATTCTTGATCACAAAGGCAACCCTGCCAGTATCTTTTATTGCAATTTCCTCTAAAAAATATGTCTCAAAATAGCGAGCCCGTCCCCATGAACGTAGACAACTGTAAATCAATGAAAGGGTGTGTCTTTATGAATGACCTAGTTTCGCTAGCTATGGTAAGTTAACATGACTGTAATATTCATATGTTAAATCAATGCTATGCTGAATTGCCAGTTGATAATAATAATTAGAAGAAAATTTTGGACCTACCTTTCCATGCGGTGCGTAGCGGCCTCTCTGTCTTACAGGAGCAGTCAAAACTCCATTTGTCCAGTCTATTGTCCGAAAACCAAACTGTCCGTCGAAAAAGAGAAAGAATGATATGCACGGACATTGCGGCATGCTGGCCAATTGTTGTCTATAATAATTACGATATTTTAGTTCTCCCTGATGCCAGTTTGTACACATAGCTTGATAGTTAGGACCTAGTCCGTCTGGTGGTGTAAGTTCAAAGGTAGTTGCTCCTTGATACACTATTGGAAAAGTAATAACATGTATATTCATATTGTGTAACTCGAAGAAACAAAAACTGCTTGACCAACTTATACTTCATAATAAAACTAGCGACCAAAACAAATTTTGGTTTTATATTTCTGTCATGAGCGGGCATCTGTGTAGAACCACCGACGATCCGTAATCTAGCTAGATAAATTGTAGCTTCCTTACGTGAAAGAATTCAAAGCTACTGGCGGGACTCGAACCAATAGCGGTGCGGGCAAGTGGATTGAAGTCAACGACCTTAACAGCTCGTACAGGGACGCCCCAAGAAAAAAGATAAGCCTTGTGTTTAATTTGCCTGGATAGAGATTCAATGTTCACAATTTTTTTTCAAATGACTATATATTGGCTCAGCCTAAACATAGAATATGGACAAGTTGTGATGGGGAATCTGATTATCACGAAGACACTTTATTAACATAGATAAATCAGAACTGATGACTTATCTAGATTGATTATTACTTACATACTTTTAAGATTGTCTTTATTTCCTGCCAGATTACCGGACCTTTTACCTTTTAATAAATCATACATTAATAATATTGCATGTTCTAAAAGATTTTCACTTCATATAGCATGTATGTTTATTTTAATACTTATTAGCAATTTGGTGCAGACAAAAACGTTACCATTTGTTGAAGTTTCAAGAATTAGATTGATGTCTGCTTGACCTAAATAAGAACCATCAGAACTGTCATCTAGACCATCAGCATGACCGTTGACCAATAGTCCGATAAACTGCAAATTTGAGACAGACTTCATAGCACCTCCCTCGTAGAAAAAGAACGAATAGGCAACTTCTCCGTCTGTCACATAGATTACTTGGAAAGTGACCGTCTGAAATAACAGATAACATACATTTACATATACCATTTATGAACAGTATATGATTAACACAGAGCTTTAAATTAATATTAGTTATTTATTCGATAAAATCGAAGGAAGAATATTAAGATGGCATGTCCGTCCGTTCATCTGAATCCATATCTCGGTACCGGTTTATCAAATGTCCTTGAAAATTGGCATGAATTATTATCAATTTCATTAAACTCCATCCATGTTTTTTTAGTAATTGCCCTTTTATACTTAAAATAAAAGCATCTTAAAAAAAGAAATTAACATTTTGAGCGACTAATTGATTTTATAATAAAACTCAGCATGAATATCTTTTATAACCATCAAATGGCAGTACTAGGAAAATCTGCTCTTGTATTTATGAGTTATGGTCCTTTGTAAATTTAAACAAGGTATTTTAAGGCACTTTGTGCCTAAGAAACCAAAAAAAAAAAAAAAAAAAAAACCAAAAAAAAAAAAAACAAAAAAAACAACAAAACAAATGTTCCATTCCTTAAAAATTGGCAATTATGTTTTAAATTAAGTTTAAATAATGGTTTTAAAGAATGCTAGACAAAAGCGTTTAGTGAAATCATTTGTCATTAAGGTAGCAAATTGTAACAAAAGTCATATAAAAATACTTACTCACTGTAATTGTATAGATTGCCAAAAGGCTATAGAAGCAAAATATGGTCTGGACTTTTGACTAATGAGTATTATTCGAAATATTATCAGGACACCAAAATAAAAAAAATAGAAACAAAAATAAAAGCATTTCCGGTGAATAATGGGCCTCAAAGCCAATCCAAATACAGATGTGCTAGATTTTTTTTTAAATCCTAGCATAAATGTGTATTTCAAGTTCAATAAGGAAATGATTTAAGTGTTTTTTTTTCTTCTAGGAAAAAGCCATTTGTATTGTTTTTTATGCATGTACACAGCAGAGTTGTCTTCCTTTTTAGAGGAGACACCATTTGTAATCACAAGTGACTAATGTTTTTTAGATATTTTTATTTAAGATTTTAATAAACCAACATCATGACAATTGATAATCATGTATAGATATACGGGGATAATCAGTAATAATCCAAATCATCAATATAAAGGCATTTGATTTGAAACCAAGTACCAGTGGTCGCCGTTGTTACATTGCCATTGGTCAAAATTAATCGATTTTAGTAAAATTTCAGTCAAAATATTTCACATGTATTTGAGGAAAATAGAGCAACGTGTTTGTACATAGGTATAACCGAACTTATTTAAAAAGCCACTTAAATATTGGTCGAAATTATGAAAACTTTGAAAGAGACAACTCCCCAATAGAACATTTTCGTCTACCTATAGGTCTACTGTAAGTATATTTGTACAGATGTTAAATATTGCCCGAACAAAAGCTCTATCTTCTAATTTCGATCATTATACTCATCTTAATGTCTGAAACAATCGACATTTTCTAAATGTTCTGGCTTGTTGGAAACAATCATTCGGTGTTTCAAAGATAAGAAAAGTTTGAATATTTGACTAGAGCTAAAGTACTTCTCAATTTAAACATAAAATTACTCAAGGAGAAGTACTACTTACCGCAGAATAATTGCATACCAATCTCATTATTCATTGAACTGAATATTTTCGTGCATTTAAATCCAATATTTCATTTAAACTTTTTCATTATTTTATCATTAACTCATGGATCAAAACAGTTTTGTGACTGTATGAACATTGCCTCAAAAACGAATAAGTTGAAAGAAAACTAATGATAAAGGTTTATAAATATGTCTAACATTAATTTCATACATACCTCGCCATTAGCCCCGCCTAATATAGGGACCTCCTTCCAAGTTGCTTTGAAAATGAAAATCGGTGTTATTTGAACAGAGTATGTTTCATGTATAAAATTTCTCATGGATTCTGTGATATTTCCAGAGTTTGATGACATGCTATATGCCTGGTACCACACTGAACCTGAGCTTCTCAAATCCAAATCTGTGAAGTAGGGAGCCAGACAATAAATACCAACTAAATCAGGTGTGTATTGTCGGTTTACTGGAACTGTGTAACTTTGATAACGTCGGTTGAAACACACGAGCCCATTAGCACATACCTGAAATATCAAATACAATATATACAACGTCGTACAATGATTGTTTTATTCAAACAAATGGTAACACTGTAAGTTTTATTAATTCGATTGCGCGCTCATTCAGCGTTTATTAAATACAACCTTAAATACTGTCCCACTGTCATTTTGCTTGCGGAATGCTATCATGGTATACAGCAAGAAGATATTTTCTAAACGGAGAAACAATGTCTTGCACTTTTTTCTGATAATTATATTAAATTACGACATGTATTACGAATGCGTTGCGAAGAAGTGCTAGTGTTGCCAGCAGCGGCTATGAATATTTATATATTCTTACGCGATTCATCTTTAAATTGGGACTCTTTATTTTATTATAAAGCGAAAAACGCTTTTGCCTTAATACGTTTAAGTATATCACAAATAGATAATCGGAGGCATTTTCACTACCGTCAATTTACCCTCGGTGGAAAACAACTTACGTAGATCGTCCTGAATCTGGTCTGACTGAACGGTACAGCAAAGGTAGATCGCACTATACCATTACATCCGTCATCTGTTCCAGTCATTTTGTCGTCTCCTTCTTCCTGACCATAACTCAAATAAAGACCTGATACAGCCAAAATATAAAACTTATTTTTATATCTAAAATACAAACCTGATTTAGCCAAAATATAAACCTTTCATATATAACTTAAATATAGACCTGGTATAGCCAAAATAAAAACCTGATGTATATAACTAAAATTCAAACCTGATATAGCCAAAATATAAACCTGATGTATAAAACTCAAATAAAAACAACATACAAACATAAAACAAACATTACAAAATATACAAACATTGGTATTAATGGATAATTATTTAATCTATAGATGGGACTGTCGTCAGTATATGAATTATTTTCGTTTTCCCCTTCAGAAAAAATTTATTTTCGGGCAGCTTTAAAAAATTCAAAGGGTTTTAAAAATTGCAAAAACTTTTTACACTTGGGTTTCATAAAAACGGGTTTATCGGGAAAAAAAATAAACGATTTTAAAGGACGGGCAAAGTCTTTTTAAATTTTCAGGAAAATGGGTAATTTAAAAGCACCCTTTATACAGATAATTTAACGCCCCACGAAAAATTCCTATGAAAAGCACTGTGATTAATGTTTTCCGGGAGTTTCAGCCTTTTTTAAAACGTCCCGGTTTTAAAATGGACCCTTTTTATTTGTGTCTTCCCCGGGGCTATATAAATAAAATTTAAACGGGTTTTAAACCCAAATTTTTTTAAACGGACTTTTTAAAATAGAGATGACGTTGAAACTTAAATTATTGGGATGTCTTTTGGGGCATCTGAGTTGTAAAGCTAGGAGATAACTCTGTCGTGTAATACTCAGTCTAATGTGCATGAACGTCAAAGATATCATTATTATGACATTGATTTTGCTAAGTATAGAACGATCGACACAAACATAAAAAAGTAACTGAATGAAACTGAAACTGACCAGAGAGGAAAGTTGCAGTAGTTGTGCTGGTTGTAGGCACTGTAGTTGTAGTACTAGTTGTTGGTTCTGTAGTTGTAGTGCTTGTTGTAGGTTCTGTAGTGGTAGTACTTGTTGTTGGCTCTGTAGTAGTAGTACTTGTTGTAGGTTCTGTAGTAGTAGTACTAGTTGTGGGCTCTGTAGTTGTAGTACTTGTTGTAGGTTCTGTAGTTGTAGTACTAGTTGTTGGCTCTGTAGTTGTAGTACTAGTTGTTGGCTCAGTAGTTGTAGTACTAGTTGTAGGGCTCGTAGTTGTAGTAGTGTAGTACTAGTTGTTGGCTCAGTAGTTGTAGTACTTGTTGTTGGCTCAGTAGTTGTAGTGCTAGTTGTTGGCTCAGTAGTTGTAGTACTTGTTGTAGGTTCTGTAGTTGTAGTACTTGTTGTAGGCTCTGTAGGTGTAGTACTTGTTGTAGGTTCTGTAGTTGTAGTACTTGTTGTAGGCTCAGTAGTTGTAGTACTTGTTGTAGGCTCAGTAGTTGTAGTACTTGTTGTTGGCTCTGTGGTTGTAGTACTAGTTGTTGGCTCAGAAGTTGTAGTACTTGTTGTAGGCTCAGTAGTTGTAGTACTAGTTGTTGGCTCTGTAGTTGTAGTACTCGTTGTTGGCTCAGTAGTTGTAGTACTAGTTGTTGGCTCTGTAGTTGTAGTACTTGTTGTAGGCTCTGTAGTTGTAGTACTAGTTGTTTGGCTCTAGTAGTTGTAGTACTAGTTGTTGGCTCAGTAGTTGTAGTACTAGTTGTTGGCTCAGTAGTTGTAGTACTTGTTGTTGGCTCAGTAGTTGTAGTACTAGTTGTTGGTTCAGTAGTTGTAGTACTAGTTGTTGGCTCTGTAGTTGTAGTACTAGTTGTAGGCTCTGTAGTTGTAGTACTTGTTGTAGGTTCTGTAGTTGTAGTACTAGTTGTAGGCTCTGTAGTTGTAGTACTAGTTGTTGGCTCAGTAGAATTAGTACTTGTTGTTGGCTCAGTGGTTGTAGTACTAGTTGTTGGCTCTGTAGTTGTAGTACTTGTTGTAGGCTCAGTAGTGGTAGTACTTGTTGTTGGCTCTGTAGTTGTAGTACTTGTTGTAGGCTCTGTAGTTGTAGTACTTGTTGTTGGCTCAGTAGTTGTAGTACTTGTTGTTGGCTCAGTAGTTGTAGTACTAGTTGTTGGCTCAGTAGTTGTAGTACTAGTTGTTGGCTCAGTAGTTGTAGTACTTGTTGTTGGCTCAGTAGTTGTAGTACTAGTTGTAGGCTCTGTAGTTGTAGTACTTGTTGTAGGCTCTGTAGTTGTAGTACTAGTTGTTGGCTCTGTAGTTGTAGTACTTGTTGTTGGCTCTGTAGTTGTAGTACTTGTTGTAGTCTCTGTAGTTGTAGTACTAGTTGTTGGCTCAGTAGTTGTAGTACTTGTTGTAGGTTCTGTAGTTGTAGTGCTAGTTGTTGGCTCAGTAGTTGTAGTACTTGTTGTAGGCTCTGTAGTTGTAGTACTAGTTGTTGGCTCTGTAGTTGTAGTACTTGTTGTAGGCTCTGTAGTTGTAGTACTAGTTGTTGGCTCAGTAGTTGTAGTACTTGTTGTTAGGCTCTGTAGTTGTAGTACTTGTTGTAGGCTCTGTAGTTGTAGTACTTGTTGTAGGCTCTGTAGTTGTAGTACTTGTTGTTGGCTCAGTAGTTGTAGTACTTGTTGTAGGCTCAGTAGTTGTAGTACTAGTTGTTGGCTCTGTAGTTGTAGTACTTGTTGTTGGCTCAGTAGTTGTAGTACTAGTTGTTGGCTCAGTAGTTGTAGTACTAGTTGTTGGCTCAGTAGTTGTAGTACTAGTTGTTGGCTCTGTAGTTGTAGTACTTGTTGTTGGCTCAGTAGTTGTAGTACTAGTTGTAGGCTCTGTAGTTGTAGTACTTGTTGTAGGCTCTGTAGTTGTAGTACTTGTTGTAGGCTCTGTAGTTGTAGTACTTGTTGTAGGCTCAGTAGTTGTAGTACTTGTTGTAGGCTCAGTAGTTGTAGTACTTGTTGTTGGCTCTGTAGTTGTAGTACTAGTTGTTGGCTCAGTAGTTGTAGTACTTGTTGTAGGCTCAGTAGTTGTAGTACTTGTTGTTGGCTCTGTAGTTGTAGTACTAGTTGTTGGCTCAGTAGTTGTAGTACTAGTTGTGGCTCAGTAGTTGTAGTACTAGTTGTAGGCTCTGTAGTTGTAGTACTAGTTGTAGGTTCTGTAGTTGTAGTACTAGTTGTAGGCTCTGTAGTTGTAGTACTAGTTGTTGGCTCAGTAGTTGTAGTACTAGTTGTTGGCTCTGTAGTTGTAGTACTAGTTGATGGCTCAGTAGTTGTAGTACTTGTTGTTGGCTCAGTAGTTGTAGTACTAGTTGTTGGCTCAGTAGTTGTAGTACTTGTTGTTGGCTCAGTAGTTGTAGTACTTGTTGTAGGCTCTGTAGTTGTAGTACTAGTTGTTGGCTCTGTAGTTGTAGTACTAGTTGTAGGCTCAGTAGTTGTAGTACTTGTTGTTGGCTCAGTAGTTGTAGTACTAGTTGTTGGTTCTGTACTTGTAGTACTTGTTGTTGGCTCTGTAGTTGTACTACTAGTTGTTGGTTCAGTAGTTGTAGTACTAGTTGTGGGCTCAGTAGTTGTAGTACTAGTTGTTGGTTCTGTAGTTGTTGTACTTGTTGTTGGTTCTGTAGTTGTAGTACTAGTTGTTGGCTCAGTAGTTGTAGTACTAGTTGTTGGCTCAGTAGTTGTAGTACTTGTTGTAGGCTCTGTAGTTGTAGTACTTGTTGTAGGCTCTGTAGTTGTAGTACTAGTTGTTGGTTCTGTAGTTGTAGTACTAGTTGTAGGCTCTGTAGTTGTAGTACTTGTTGTAGGCTCAGTAGTTGTAGTACTAGTTGTTGGCTCAGTAGTTGTAGTACTTGTTGTAGGCTCAGTAGTTGTAGTACTTGTTGTTGGCTCAGTAGTTGTAGTACTAGTTGTTGGCTCAGTAGTTGTAGTACTTGTTGTTGGCTCAGTAGTTGTAGTACTTGTTGTAGGCTCAGTAGTTGTAGTACTAGTTGTTGGCTCAGTAGTTGTAGTACTAGTTGTAGGTTCTGTAGTTGTAGTACTTGTTGTAGGCTCTGTAGTTGTAGTACTAGTTGTTGGCTCAGTAGTTGTAGTACTTGTTGTTGGCTCAGTAGTTGTAGTACTAGTTGTTGGCTCAGTAGTTGTAGTACTAGTTGTTGGCTCTGTAGTTGTAGTACTTGTTGTTGGCTCAGTAGTTGTAGTACTTGTTGTTGGCTCTGTAGTTGTAGTACTAGTTGTTGGCTCAGTAGTTGTAGTACTAGTTGTTGGCTCAGTAGTTGTAGTACTAGTTGTAGGCTCTGTAGTTGTAGTACTTGTTGTAGGTTCTGTAGTTGTAGTACTTGTTGTAGGCTCAGTAGTTGTAGTACTAGTTGTTGGCTCAGTAGTTGTAGTACTAGTTGTAGGTTCTGTAGTTGTAGTACTTGTTGTAGGTTCTGTAGTTGTAGTACTTGTTGTAGGCTCTGTAGTTGTAGTACTAGTTGTTGGCTCAGTAGTTGTAGTACTTGTTGTTGGCTCAGTAGTTGTAGTACTAGTAGTTGGCTCAGTAGTTGTAGTACTTGTTGTTGGCTCAGTAGTTGTAGTACTTGTTGTAGGCTCAGTAGTTGTAGTACTAGTTGTTGGCTCAGTAGTTGTAGTACTAGTTGTAGGTTCTGTAGTTGTAGTACTTGTTGTAGGCTCTGTAGTTGTAGTACTAGTTGTAGGCTCTGTAGTTGTAGTACTTGTTGTTGGCTCAGTAGTTGTAGTACTTGTTGTTGGCTCAGTAGTTGTAGTACTAGTTGTAGGTTCTGTAGTTGTAGTACTTGTTGTTGGCTCAGTAGTTGTAGTACTAGTTGTTGGCTCAGTAGTTGTAGTACTAGTTGTAGGCTCTGTAGTTGTAGTACTTGTTGTTGGTTCTGTAGTTGTAGTGCTAGTTGTTGGCTCAGTAGTTGTAGTACTAGTTGTAGGTTCAGTAGTTCTAGTATTTGTTGTAGGCTCTGTAGTTGTAGCTGTTTATAGAAATAAAAAGAGTAGAAATCTTAGTAAATGTCGATTTAATGCTCCCGATTGTTAAGAAAAACGGCTATTACACGGTCAAATTTTGGTTTCTCTTTGAGTAAGCGTCGGTTTCATTCGGCATTTTAAGAAGCTTAAATTATGGTTGAGGAGCAGAAAACCGAAGAAAAATCTCTGTTTTATCAAAAAAATTTGTGTCTCATGGAAAATTATATTTATTCATGATCACTTTTTTCATTTGTTAAGTTGTTATAGGTCTCTACTAAATCGTCAATATTTTTTGTTGCCTGTATTGTTTTAATATGTAAAAGAATTGAATGACGTGTTTGCACTTTCTCTAAAATATGAACATTTCTGATAGTTGTATTTGTTCTTAACCTTGCCGACTTAAAATAGATATTTTCTTCCTTAATGATAAGACTGGTGTTTCTATCAGTTTTACTCATGCCGGAATGTCAAACTAGAACGTAAGAAGGACTTTCCCAGTAGCATTTGTGACAATTAAATTTGCATTTCAAAGTTAACACTGAGCAATTTTAAGCACTGGACTAGTGCGGGTTTTTCGGTCGTTACACATTTACTAGCGTGAAAGAAGTCGATGGTTTGTCTCCTTGTATTTTCTTCTTACAAAAAAAAGCAACAGCAAAACAAAAAACAACAACAAATTTTCTTCATAAAAATTAAAGTTTATATCTTAAGCATTTGTAAATTTAGTTTTGACGTTCATTGTTTCTTTTAATTACAATAACAGGCGAGAAAGACACATTCATAAATTAAGCATTCAAAATGAACGAGTGTATTCCTTTGGAAGCCGGTGGATGTCCGTATTTTAGCCGGTGGTCAATTTCTATAAAAAAGATATTTATATATTAACCTAGTGCTACATTTGTGTATTACTCGTAGCCTGGAAAATACTTACTCTTTACACTCTATAAGTATTTTTGAACTCAATAATTTATGCTGTCGCGAATACCGGCAGAAAGAGGGACATGTATAATATCAGTTTTTAACTCATCACCCAGAATATTTACAGATAGAAGCTTCATAATATTGAGTCAGTGCGCATTTTTATGTATAACGTAAAGCTGTACATGTTTCACTTGGTAAATTTCTATGTAATGTTCCGTGAAATGCTAATTATTATGATAATAATAATAATAATAATAATAATAATAATAATAATAATAATAACAATACTGTTTATGTAAAAATATAAATTTTTAGACCTCTGACAATTTTCCTTCAACACTCACTTGTATGTATAAAAATTGGTGATAACAAGAGACCACATTAGACACAAGCTGACCGTATTGAAGACGATTTGGTAAACCACCGTGATCATGCTTTCAGAGTTTAAAGGCATGCTATAATTATATTGTTTTGGTTGTTCATATTTGAAGAATTGCGCCGGAAAAAGTCAGCCCACTATGTTTAAGTTTAATCTAAGGCTTGCAGAACTTTTTGGATTTTTCTATCCCATGTGATTTTATATTAAATCATTTTTACACCGGATTCAAGATTTTCCAATAAGACAATTTGTACATTTAAGTGACTCTGGAACAAGGACAATGTTTAACCATAGATTCACCAATAAAAAAGGCCCTGAAGTGGTCTAGCAGGTCTACTACTCAATGCTACATACATGTACAAAATATTTGAGCAGGCTAAAAGATTTTTTTGTTTGTTTGCTAATATGAGTTTTATGTAAAATCAAGTGACCCCATGTAAAATCAAGTGACCCAATAGAGGGGTGCCAATATTGATTGTGAGAGTATCATTTGAACAAACTTTATAGTAATTTACAATACTACAAATACTATAAATAAATGTAAGTTCCAGGCAAGAAAAAAAATCTAAGGTTTGACACTATTGACATCCATAATATTTTAATAGTTCAATATTTTCAATCGGATAAAATGTAGAACTCTCTCATTCTTCTTAGTATCTTAGTAATACATACATACGACGTTAAAAATCCAGTATTGTTTACGAAAGTGAAACCGCGTGTTGGAACAATCAAACATTCACGCGGTTTACTTTACTTTTCCAAGGAACAATTTTTATATGGGATCCTCACTAGAATGAGCGGGCTTTACATTTAATTCCAACAAAAAGTAATAAAATTTAAAAAAAATGGCAGAAAATTTAACCTGAAACATCTTTTGTGACAGTTATCCGCCCACGCAGATAACAAAATGTCACCAGGTATAGGCAACGAATATATCCTAGCGCGCATATCTTGGTAAAAAGTTAATATCAACTTAGAGGCCAATGGTAAAAGTTTTCCAGAGCACACGACGGAACTTGATATAGCTAAGCGCATATGCTCACCAGTGTGCCCACTGTGTGCAATGTAAAGGTCACACATAAAGGTCAAAAGTGTGACAAAGATATGAATATGCGTGAAAAGACTATGCATGAAAGGTTACTTGAACGAATGGAGAAAGAACGGATTACATCTAATAGTCGATCATTGTGTAAATAACTAGATTAATGGTAGCTTTTAATATAAATCCACTTACTTTAAATAACTTTGGGAGGATTTCTAATTATATGGTAAAAATAATATCCATGTATAAAATTAAAGAAATAGATTTCTAGATTTAAATTATCTAATGTCTGTTTATTGATATAAACAAACAATTACATATTCTTTCCATTAAAATTAGTGAGATGTAATATGAAAATGATTTTTTAAATGTATACATATGCATGCTTAGAAAGTAGTGCAACAGTTATTGTTAAGAGTTTGCCTCCAATATTAAACTTGTATTCATAGACCACACTTTTGATCTTATGTCTTGCTTGGGTTATACGTTGTCTACTTGTGGTATACAACTTGATATTCTTTGCGCTTTCAGGGAAGCTTTTTAAATTTCACACTTTGATTTTTATATTAAGCTAAATGCAGGAAACATTTCTGCCAAGTTTCATTAAATATATGTGTGACTTTAATGGCAAATGTCAATTTCTAAATGCGTTCATGCAAAATTGTATTACTTTGCACAGAATCAGACAATAAAACATTTTCATAACAAGGGCATTATCTTCCTGTAACAACATGGTACAAAGACTAAAATCTTTTAATACGTAAACATTTTAAAACTTTTCATAACAAATAAACAATCTCAAAAGAGGGACAGATACATAGTAATGTACCTGACTGAAAGGTCTTGCATATCCTGACTGCGTAGGAACCGAATGGCATCTTATTTAGTCATTTTTAAAGAAAAAATTGGGTCCTCTTCAAGCCTTATGACAGTTATTTTTAAATGAAAATGGACATGAAATCATATACGAGCATTAGGGCAGTGCCATCATAATCCACACGTATGTTGTTGTATTATGGTCCAGAAGATAATCAGTGCGTGTAATAAGAGAAAAGTCAAATATTGAATCGACATTATAAGTTTGAGTCAACACAAAACAGTATGCCTCCAGATTTGTAAAATAACAAATTGTTCTATCAAGTAAACATGTTGTAAAATGTATTGCTAACGTGTTTTCATATCTTATTGTTTTCTTTGGCATATTTCAAAAAATAATTTCAAGAAAGTTCATAGATGGACTGATTGAACTGAGAAGAAGTGTAATGCTTGAGAGCTGTGTTTTCATAATTTTGGTGTTATACTCTTTTTTTATTTAGGAAGTATATTCATTGGAAGTTCACTTTGTGTATTTTGGTTTTTAAATCCCAATATTTCAAATGAATGTTTCAATTTCAAATCAGGGTAAATCCATTGCACAAATTCAAAAGGTTAAGACAATAAAGTGATTCTTTAATGAAAGCAGTATGCCTCCAAATTTGTCAGACATTATTCTAATTAGTAGAAATGTTAAAAAATTAAAACGGAATTTCTTAAGAACGCCCAAAACGACAGGAAGTAAATGATACAGGGTTTGTTTGATTGGGCCAGTTCGTGGACGATAATGGAAAATGCAAGATACCATTCCCCTACACCGGCTTAAGCAGAATTTATAATTTTAATACCAAAATGGTGAAATTTTGAATTTAGAAACATTCGCAGGTGTGTTCATGTGTTACAGTGTGGAATTTATATAGATTAGTCTGACCTAAATTTAGTGGCCTCATCCCTTTCAATCATTTAAATTTCATGACAACTAAATCTAATAAACACTAACCTTTGTGTGAGAGGTCAAAATTAACAAGTTTCATTGGCTAACAAATAAATAACATCTCATTTTTTTTCACGTTTGGCGGGATTTGTAAAAAATATTCACTTCGGTCAGAGAAATTGTTAGAGAAGGATGGTCTCAAGCCATCCTTGATACATTTTGAACTCATCTTTATTTACAGTCAAGTAAATCCCAGGTTGTCCCTGTCCTGTCCTTTGTTTATAACTCATACGTAGGACTTTATAAGTGTTCTTTTACGTAGAAGTTATAAAGTCTTACGTAGAAGTTAATTAACTCCTAATTAGGCTTTTTTATCTCCTACGTAGGAGTAACAAAGTCATACGTAGGACTTACAAAGTCCTACGTAGGAGTTTTAAAGTCCTACGTAGGAATTACTAAGTCCTACGTGGAGTTAAAGAGTCCTACGTAGGAGTTTAAAAGTCCTACGTAGGAGTTTTTAACTCCTAATTAGGCTTTTTTATCTCATACGTAGGACTTTGTAACTCCTACGTAGGACTTTATAACTCCTACGTAGGAGATAAAAAAGCCTAATTAGGAGTTTATAACTCCTACGTAGGACTTTTAAACTCCTACGTAGGACTTTATAACTTCTACGTAGGAGATACAAAAGCCTAATTAGGACTTTATAACTCCTACGTAGGATACATATCAAAGTACTGAAAGTACAGAGTTCGACGGACATGTATGCTAGAGTATAACTTAAGATAGCATATTATGTAGGAAAATAAATTATATGAGCCGCGCCATGACAAAACCAACAAAGTGCATTAGCGACCAGCATTGATCGAGACCAGCCTGCGTATCCGCGCAGTCTGATCAGGATCCATGCTGTTCGCTTACAAACCCTATAACAAGTAGAGAAACTGATAGCGAACAGCATGGATCCTGATCAGACTGCGCGGATGCGCAGGCTGGTCTGGATCCATGCTGGTCGCAAATATACTATGTTGGTTTTGTCATGGCGCGGCTCATATGTGTAATTGTGGCAAGCCGCTGAAGTAAATACCTTTAGTTGATTTTGTCATTCTCTGCATATATTAAACGATGATTCTGTATTATGTACGTTTTGTTATAATTATTATACACATGTACACAAAATATATGGGTTAAACTTTGTTCAAAGTAGGATATACAATGTATTTCATTATTAAACATATGCATGCATAATGCTCCGCAAACCGTTATCTTCTTAAACTTTACGGAGCAAGAACAAGACACTTCACTACTCCCCCTGCCCCCTATAAGGATTTAATCATTTGAAACGGCCGAAAATGGATAAATTGCTCGTTTTGTTCAGCTAGTTCGTATGGAAAACGTAATCGTTAAAGCCTTTTAAAATTTTGATATATATGCTTGTTGTCGAGTAAGTTTTTTTCGAATAGCTGTGAAGCAATTTTTCAATGGGTTCAAACCCCGTTAGGCGCAAGCCGTTGTTTCCTTGAGCAAGAAACTTTACACTCATTGCTAAGTACGTACTGGTTGGTTCCAGGAACGGATTCGAAAGTGTGTCTATAATCTTATAGCTTCATACACAATCAAACTTAAATAAATTCTGTATGAACCAAAGGTGAAATGTCCTCTATATTTAAGATTTGAAATTTCAGCCGGGGGGAGGGGTTTAAGTGTCTTGTTCCTTCGCCGATATACCGGTCCGGAATGTTGAGATTTGCAAAGCATTCTGTATGCATTTCTTATAAAGTCATAAAGTCCTACGTAGGAGATACAAACTCCTAATTAGGATTTTTTATCTCCTACGTAGGAGTTAAAAAGTCCAACGTAGGAGTTTAAAAGTCCTACGTAGGAGTTATAAACTCCTAATTAGGCTTTTTTTATCTCCTACGTAGGAGTTATAAAGTCCTACGTAGGAGTTAAAAAGTCCTATGTAGGAGTTTTAAAGTCCTACGTAGGAGATACAAATTCTTATTAGGTTTTTTTTTATCTCCTACGTAGGAGTTTATTTTTTTATAGAACATTATGAATTGGCACAGGACGCTTCCGTAGGTTCATGCTTCAGAGCTATAATGTGTTTGCATAATTTTGGTGTAGTTGTCTTTTTTATTTATTAAGTACATTCGTTGGAAGCTCTGTAGGAGCACATTTGTCTCGGAGCACATTTGTCTCACGAAGTGTGACCGATGTGTTCGTAAACAGTCATATATGCGACAAATTGGAAATGAGACAGATGTGTTCAAAAACAATAGAAAGGACACTCGAAGCACATTTGTCTCACATTTTTCCCATACAATTCTTAAAAGGTAATAATAATGTCCATCTGTATACCGGCTACCAGCCATTGATCTGTGTTTTCTGTATTTATAATACCGTTTTTAGGTCACTTCCGGTCAGTCAAAAACTTTCTGCCTCTGCATAGGAGTCATATATTATATTAAAGAATATCTCTGTTCTGCATGTCACAATGAAAATGTCTACAAGTGCAGCATCCAGAACCTAAACACATATGCAGCAAGTCTATTCTTATCGTTATTAATTGCGATACGTTTTTTTTAATGCTTAAAGTTTTATAGATGATTTATGGCACTAGAAATATTCTTAGCAAAAACAAGGTAGTATCTACGGTGGCATAAAGGGGACATACAATTTTCTTATTTATTACGTGCGCACACGATAGCTTTTCCGTGGTTACGTGCGCACGCGATAGCTATTACGTGCGCACGCGCATATGTTTTGCGCATTTGGACCCTGTCCGGGATCCTCGCATGGATAGTTCGACGCCCCGTGTATGTGTCGAACCTACAGCGGTTAGGGGCAAGTGGTTTTTTTGAAATCACACGGCCATGGGGGACCTTAAATGATCTATGGAGAAAATAAGAAGACCATTACACTTCATCAGAAATATATGTATAAAAATCGTCATTTTCCAAGAATTGCGTCTTTCAGGTTCGCCATTGAAAAGGCACTTACAACATGCATGAGTTCCTAAACAATCCGGGTAATGCCATAATTATGGAATATCGGACCACTCAGAATCGGGCGAGACGCGACATTCCTATGGGACACGAAGCGAGGCACGATATTGTAACAGGAGATCTCGCAATTTCGAAGTATCTTGTACCAAAAGATTTCAGAAATGAATAAATTTTTACTTCTTTAGATAGGGCAAGTATGAATTTATTAATATTCAAATAATGATTTCTGAGGAAGTTAGATGCTTGTAACCCAAAGAAATTCGCGATAAATGTGAAATAATGCGTCATAAAAGTAGCAAAATGTAAACAATGTAGTAAATTGACTTCAATCCAAAATTCTAAATCACTTCAACTGTACAAACTGCAAAAAAGCAGCAGATGAAAAATGCTTCAGGTAATTAGCCAATGAGTAACTTTTTTGGAGCTATAAAAGTATACCAAAAATAAAAAACTTTTGAGGAATACAAATTAAAGCTTTTCTCAGGCATAATGGGCCTTTAAGTGATTTATGTAGACTATAAAGGGAATACTACTTAGCGGTATAATATGATCTGGAATCCATTTCTTGTCTCGCGTCGACGAACGCGGAGCGAGACGCAAGATTTCGGCGTGATGCGAATCGAGTCACGATATTGTATCATTCAATATCAACCGATTACGGTGTTCCGTTTGGACATAAGTAGCATTTTGTCTCCCTGAACAGCTATGCACAATGGTACAAAAGGTGAAATTGAGATGGTACGATGATTAAAAAAAACACGATGGCACGATGGTGGAATCACGATGATGCAATGACACGATAGAGAAAATAATATCGCGTTTTCATCATCATGCCATCGCAGTTTCATCATATCGTACCATTGTATTTTCACCATTGTAACATCGTCTTTCACCATAGTACCATCACGTTTTCACCATCGTACAATCGTTGTTTCACCATCGTACAATCGTTGTTTCACCATCGTACAATCGTTGTTTCAAGTTCGTACTATTGATTATTACACATGAGGCAAAACGGCAAACTTCGATTTTAAAAAAGAATTTCTGCCGTGGGGAAATATGTGACAAATAATTAATAAATAATGGCATGAGACAAATGTGCTTTCTTGTCCCTTAAAAACACATGAGACAAATGTGCTTTCTGTCCCTTAAAAAACTTGATCGGAGCACATTTGTCACACAAATGAGTTTTTTGGGGTAGACATTTGAGGTCCCATTTGTCTCATGTGGGACAATTGCGACCGCATCGGTCTTACGTAAGACAAATGTGTTCCGAGACAAATGTGCTCCTACAAATCTCACTTTATGCATTTTGGTTTTGAAACCTCTGAAATATTTGGAATTTCAAATCAGGGTAAATCTAATGCATATATTAAGAAGATTAAGACAATCAAATGTTTCTTTAATGTATGCAGCATGTATCAAGATTTGCTAACTTACAAATTGTTGTAATTAGTAAAATTGTTGTAAAATGTATTCCTAAGATGCATTTACCTAGCCTTTAAGTCTGTTTCTATCAAAAGAAATCACCCTATGACTTGCAACAAATATTAATATATTATTTCTTTATCGTGTGAGAAACCGTGAACAGTTGTGATGGTTTTGTATATTTTGTTTGAAATATAAATATATTTTTTCTTCCGAATGATTAACATTAGTGTAGGAATTAACACTATCAATGCATGTTTCTCTATTGGAACACGTTATGCTTCCACAATCGTTTATATAAATTAGAAAAAAAGTAAATCACGATTTTTTTGTTAAAGTAGATTATTACCTGTGATGCTTTCAACGTATAAAATGAGCAAATTTTACAATATAACTGACGTGTAATGTTTGCAAAATAAAAACATGTATGAATATTTCGCATTTCGTTTTGAGTTTGATCATTTGATTTCATACTTTTTAATGTAAATTGTAAACTATATGATTTTACACTTACGCTTGAACTAAGAATAATATGCAACAGTCAATGTTGAGATTTATGGACGGACGGACTGACAGACGGACATACAGACAGACATACGGACGGAGGTTAAACCTTAAGTCCCCTCCGGTCGGTTAAACCTTTAGGGACTAATAAGCAACAGTCAATGTTGAGATTGTAATATTTATACTTACTCGTCTCGCAGTTTGTTCCTGTATAACCAGCTACACACTGACATGTGTAGGAATCAACACCATCTATGCATGTTCCTCCATTGGCACACGTTATACTTTCACAATTGTTAATATCTAGAAAAAGGAAAATCACGATTTTTGTATTTTATATCAGAAGTTAATTGTCTGTGCTTGCACACTCGTCTATATCTAAATAAATAAATAAATATGGAAACATAATAAGAACACGGTATACTTAAACAATTGTATATTTAAAAACAGGAAAGGAGAATATAATTTTGCTTTTAGTAGATAATTAAATGTGTTGATGTCAACGTTTTTATGAAGCAAATTGTACGACATACATGTTTATGATACAGAGTATCGAGTATGAATATTTCGCAATACTTTCCGATGTTAAGAATTTTATTTTCATACTTTTGAATGTTGTATGTAACCAACTCTATTATTTTACACCTGACATGCTGCTTCATGCGCATGCGCAATCTGCGTAGGGTTAAAGATAATTGCCCTACAAGGAATTGTAGAAGAAGTTCATTGACAAGTCTGAGTAAGTTGAAGATAAAAAGTAAAATATTGTATTAAATAGCTTTAAACAAAAAAAAAAAAAAACAACAAAAAAACAAAAACAAAAAGGACACAAAAAAACCCAGAAGCTATGGCCAAGATTGCCGTATCAAGGTATGGTAAAAACGATATTTTAAGAACTCCCTCTTGTGACCACGATGAACTTGTATATTAAACCATTGTTGAAAAAAATTACCAAAATAAACTATTCTAAACAAATGTTTAATCATCTAGATTATATCAAATTTTTTATGAAGTTGTTGGTTACTTATAAATGTATTCTTTCGTTATTGCTTTTTCCTTACGCAGAAGAATACGTTTGCGCGAAATGCTACTTCGTCTCTATGGACATACTTTATTGTACAAAAGGTCTATAAAACATTTGAGAGAACTAACAAATTGCTTTTTTATCAATAAAAATGTTGTAAAATGTTTCATTAAGGTGATCTACCTAGCTTTAGAATCAATTGCTATCATAAAAAAAAACACTCTATGACTTATAACAAATAGCCATTTATTTCTCTTTCACGTGCGTATCGGTAAAGAATTTGATTTATAATGTATTTCTATACATTTTTGTTCAAAATTGATTTGAAAAAAATATTTTACTCATATTATGGCGCCTCGTTTTTAAAACAAAGCCTAAGCTTTCTTTTTATGTGTTATTTTCAAGATAAGGTAGACCATTGCTAATGCATTACCTCCACTTTGAAGAGTATTTAAATAGGAATCACTGGTCAACTACATTGAAATTGGGGTTCGTGGGTTCAAGATTTAACATGACATTGTGTAAAAGGTCAATCTTTACACTAATTAATATATAATGAACTTACATTGAGATTGTATAATTAATACTTACTCTCGCAGTGTGTTCCCGTATAACTAGGTAAACATTGACATGAGTAGGAATTAACACCATCAATGCATGTTCCTCCATTTAAACACGTAATATCTTGACATTCGTTTATATCTAGAAAAAGGAAAATCACTATTTTTGTAATTTATATGAGTAGATAATTATCTGTGCTTGCACACTCGTCTATATCTTAATAAATAAATAAATAAATAAAAATAAATAAATAAGGAAACATAATAAGAACACGGTATACTTGAACAATTGTATATCTCAAAATAGGTAAGGAAAACATAATTTTGATTTCACTTGATAATGAAATGTGTTGCTGTCAACGTATTTATGAGACAAATTGTACAACATACATGTATGTGATACAGATAAGTATAAATATTTTGCAATACTTTCCGACTTTCTGATGTTGGGCATTTGATTTTCATATTTTTGAATGTTGACTGTAGACAACACAATCATTTTTCACCTGACATGCTGGGACCAAGAATAATAAGCATTCATCTCCAGTAAAGAGGAAGGCTAACCTGCTTATTGGTATTGTCTGATCAGGCTCTATACTGTATAAAGCTCAATTTATTGATTTTGTTTTTGTAATCCCTAAATATTTGGAACTTATATTCAATTTTCAAATCAACGTTAATCCATTACACAAATTTATAAGGACAATATTATGATGACATGAGGGTTATTCTTTGATGGAAGCATCACGCCTGCAATTTTGTAATATTCAAATTGTTGTAATCATTAAGATGTTGTAAAATGAAAATACTTAGGTGCATAGAAAGAAAATCAATTTCTATCCTCGCATTGACATATTTAGGAATCCACAACATCAACGCATGTTCCTTCACGCAAGCAAAGGTGAACTAAATTATGATAAGAAACCTATATACGTAAAATATTGTAACTTTCTAAAAAAAGGGAAACATGATCTCGTGATCAGTAGATAACGAAAAGTGTTGCTATCAACGAACTTATTGTCAAATTTAACAAGATACAAAAAAATATTTAGTCATATCTTCCGATGCTGGACATTTGATTCTCATACATTTGATTGTTAAATGTAAACAACCATATCATTTAAATTAATACTTGACATGCTTGAACCAAACAAATAAACAGTCGTCAGCAATAAAGTGCCGGGCCAGCCTAATAGTAACTTTCATATGAACCGCAAACATATGGCAGATAATTGTTTTGCCTATTCTACCATATTTCATTATATTTTAAATTCTTTACCTTAAAAAGACAATTTTCCATGGAATTGATGTCATTACACCCGTCACGATTTTCTTACAACAGTGTATGATTCATAATGGTACATTTACGTCATTCTAAGAAAAACTTACTAAATTGCCAGTCTAATATGTAAGAATTCTTATTCAGGCCTCTTTACGGTTGGTAGCTGATCAGTTTGTGTACTTTAGTTTTGTAAACAATGTAACAATGTAGAATGTAAACAACTATACGTATTATACTTTATATGCTGGAACCAATCAATTAAACATTTGTCAGCAATAAAGTGCTTGACCGGTCTAACAATATCTGTCATATGTTGCGGTTCGGATCGGAATATCCGTCCCACGGGAACCCGCAAGGGGCAGTTCTCTCGAGATGGATATTCCGATCCAATTCGCAAAAATAATTATGTCAGATATTTTCTCTTGCATATTCTACCATATTCCATTATATTTTATAATGAAACAATTTTCCATGGAAAGTAATGTCATTATACCCGTAACTATTTTCTCACAACAGCATATGCATTAACTACTTCATTCATAACAGTAAAATAAAGCCATACTGTGCAAGCTTTTATAAAGCACGCGGCATGGATAAAACTAACGGAATCGCCAGTCAGATATGTAAGAATGCTTGATCAGGCTCTATAGTTTAGGTAGCTCACTTTGTATGCTTCAGTTTTGTTATCACATATTATTCGGATGTAATATTCAAATTTCAAATCAGGATAAATTCATTACACAACTTTATAAGAAAAATAAAATGATGGCATGAAGGTGATTCCTTAATGAAAGAAGCATGCTTCATGATTTTGGTATGTTTTAGAGACTGATAAATTGTTTTAATCAGTAAAATGTTTTAGAGCGTAATACTTAGATGATGTTACATTACATTTAAGTAAATTTCTATTAAATAAAAACACCTTAGGACTTGAAACAGAAAGTCAACAAAATGTTCTTGAAAATTAATTCTACTTAGGTAGTGAGGTAGTGGCGCCTCATTGTTTTTTTTTTACAATATCGTCTCTAAGTTGTCTTCATTTGTTATTTTAAATGGTTGAAAATGACTGTGTATGTGTTTTTTTTTGCGCAAAAGCTTAGTGCATTTGTTTTAAAAAATAAATACATATCTTCTAAAGAATGTTTTTCTGAAAATTTATTTTACCCATTTAGTTACGCCTCGCTTTCAAAACAAATCGACTCTTTTTGTCTGTATTTGCTATCTTTTTCAAGATATAGATTTTACATGTGTAAAAGGTCAATCGTTACACTAATATATAATGAATTTAAATTGAGATTGTATAATTAATACTTACTCTCGCAGTGTGTTCCCGTATAACTAGGTAAACATTGACATGTGTAGGAATTAACACCATCAATGCATGTTCCTCCATTTAAACACGTAATACCATCACATTCGTTAATATCTAGAAAAAAAAGGAAAATCACGACTTTTGTATTTTATATCAGAAGTTAATTATCTGTGCTTACACACTCGTCTATATCTAAATAAATAAATATGGAAACATAATAAGAACATGGTATACTTAAACAATTGTATATTTAAAAATAGAAAAGGAGAATATAATTTTGCTTTTAGTAGATAATTAAATGTGTTGATGTCAACGTATTTATGAGACAAATTGTACAACATACATGTATGTGATACAGATAAGTATAAATATTTTGCAATACTTTCCGACTTTCCGATGTTGGGCATTTGATTTTCATATTTTTGAATGATGACTGTAGACAACACAATCATTTTACACCTGAAAATGCTGGGACCAAGAATAATAAGCATTTCGTCGCCAGTAAAGAGGTAGGCTAACCTGCTTATTGGTATAGTCTGATCAGGCTCTATACTGTATAAAGCTCAATTTATTGATTTTGTTTTTGTAATCCCTAAATATTTGGAACTTATATTCAATTTTCAAATCAACGTTAATCCATTACACAAATTTATAAGGATAATATTATGATGACATGAGGGTTATTCTTTGATGGAAGCATCACGCCTGCAATTTTGTAATATTCAAATTGTTGTAATCATTAAAATGTTGTAAAATGAAAATACTTAGGTGCATAGAAAGAAAATCAATTTCTATCCTCGCATTGACATATTTAGGAATCCACAACATCAACGCATGTTCCTTCACGCAAGCAAAGGTGAACTAAATTATGATAAGAAACCTATATACGTAAAATATTGTAACTTTCTAAAAAAAGGGAAACATGATCTCGTGATCAGTAGATAACGAAAAGTGTTGCTATCAACGAACTTATTGTCAAATTTAACAAGATACAAAAAAATATTTAGTCATATCTTCCGATGCTGGACATTTGATTCTCATACATTTGATTGTTAAATGTAAACAACCATATCATTTAAATTAATACTTGACATGCTTGAACCAAACAAATAAACAGTCGTCAGCAATAAAGTGCCGGGCCAGCCTAATAGTAACTTTCATATGAACCGCAAACATATGGCAGATAATTGTTTTGCCTATTCTACCATATTTCATTATATTTTAAATTCTTTACCTTAAAAAGACAATTTTCCATGGAATTGATGTCATTACACCCGTCACGATTTTCTTACAACAGTGTATGATTCATAATGGTACGTTTACGTCATTCTAAGAAAAACTTACTAAATCGCCAGTCTAATATGTAAGAATTCTTATTCAGGCCTCTTTACGGTTGGTAGCTGATCAGTTTGTGTACTTTAGTTTTGTAAACAATGTAACAATGTAGAATGTAAACAACTATACGTATTAAACTTTATATGCTGGAGCCTGGAACCAATCAATTAAACATTTGTCAGCAATAAAGTGCTTGACCGGTCTAACAATATCTGTCATATGTTGCGGTTCGGACCGGAATATCCGTCCCACGGGAACCCGCAAGGGGCAGTTCTCTCGAGATGGATATTCCGATCCAATTCGCAAAAATAATTATGTCAGATATTTTCTCTTGCATATTCTACCATATTCCATTATATTTTAAATTCTTCATCTTAATGAAACAATTTTCCATGGAAAGTAATGTCATTATACCCGTAACTATTTTCTCACAACAGCATATGCATTAACTACTTCATTCATAACAGTAAAATAAAGCCATACTGTGCAAGCTTTTATAAAGCACGCGGCATGGATAAAACTAACGGAATCGCCAGTCAGATATGTAAGAATGCTTGATCAGGCTCTATAGTTTAGGTAGCTCACTTTGTATGCTTCAGTTTTGTTATCACATATTATTCGGATGTAATATTCAAATTTCAAATCAGGATAAATTCATTACACAACTTTATAAGAAAAATAAAATGATGGCATGAAGGTGATTCCTTAATGAAAGAAGCATGCTTCATGATTTTGGTATGTTTTAGAGACTGATAAATTGTTTTAATCAGTAAAATGTTTTAGAGCGTAATACTTAGATGATGTTACATTACATTTAAGTAAATTTCTATTAAATAAAAACACCTTAGGACTTGAAACAGAAAGTCAACAACATGTTCTTGAAAATTAATTCTACTTAGGTAGTGAGGTAGTGGCGCCTCATTCATTGGTGTTTTTTTTTTACAATATCGTCTCTAAGTTGTCTTCATTTGTTATTTTAAATGGTTGAAAATGACTGTGTATGTGTTTGCAAAATAAAAACATGTATGAATATTTCGCATTTCGTTTTGAGTTTGATCATTTGATTTTCATACTTTTTAATGTAAATTGTAAACTATATGATTTTACACTTACGCTTGAACTAAGAATAATATGCAACAGTCAATTTTGAGATTTATGGACGGACGGACTGACAGACGGACATACAGACAGACATACGGACGGAGGTTAAACCTTAAGTCCCCTCCGGTCGGTTAAACCTTTAGGGACTAATAAGCAACAGTCAATGTTGAGATTGTAATATTTATACTTACTCGTCTCGCAGTTTGTTCCTGTATAACCAGCTACACATTGACATGTGTAGGAATCAACACCATCTATGCATGTTCCTCCATTGGCACACGTTATACTTTCACAATTGTTAATATCTAGAAAAAGGAAAATCACGATTTTTGTATTTTATATCAGTAGATAATTATTTTCTGTGCTGCTGTCAACGTATTAATTGGGAACATTTTTACAATATAACTAACGTGTGATGTATACCCAATTAGCTTTCACAGTCGTTTCTATCTAAAAACAAAACAATAAGTAGATAAATATAATAAATCATTAAAAGAAAAAAAAACACAACAAAAAAGACGATAAGAATACGATATGCTTAAAAATCTATATTCAAAAACCAAGAAACAAAAACGATATGACTTCGTTATCAGGACATAAATAAATGTATTACTGTCAACGTATTTATAAAAATAACTTCCGTGTGAAGTATACACAATATGAATAAGTATGAACATTTCGCAACACTTTCCAATGATGGGCATTTGATTTTCAAACTTTTGAATGTTGATTGTAAATAGCTATATGATTTTACACTAGACCTGCTAGAAACAAGGTAAATCCATTTCATAAATTATAATTTGTTGTAATTGCTAAAATGTTTAAATTGTATTACTAAGGTGATTTTACATAGCCTTAAAGTCAATTTCTTGCGAATGAAATCACCCTATGACTGGTAACTAATATCCATACCTTCTCTTTTATGTGAGTAACGGTGAAAATTTCTGTTGATTGTGTATATGTGTACATTATTTTAAATATGATTTTGAATATAAACATATATGTTTTCAAGTACAATTTCTTAACAATTTATTATACCAAAAATCCATGATATAATTGTGCACCTTCTGTGAAAAGACTAATCTTTGCATGATTGCAGGAAAATGTATTTCATTTTCTTTCAGCCTGGGATTTACTTTCAAAGATCCAAGATGACCGCCGAAATCCAAAAATGTATGTTTTGTTGTTGGGAGTTATAATAATCAAGTAGACTTCACAAAATAGTGATATAACACAAACACGTGTATACTCTACAAGATGTAAATTAATTCTACTAAAATCCCTAACATGGAGGTACTGGCTGGACATGTTATTGAACATGCGCAATGTGCATATATTATAAACTAGCTAATCAGCTGATATTACTACAATGTTCAAATAGCTATACATTTCTCTTTCATGGTAGTAATGGTGAAGAAATGTGTTGATTGCTTTTATTAGTACATTTGTTTTAAAAATAAATACATATCTTCTAAAGAATGTTTTTCTGAAAATTTATTTAACCCATTTAGTTACGTCTCGCTTTCAAAACAAAATCGACTCTTTTTCGTCTTTATTTGCTATCTTTTTTACATGTGTAAAAGGTCAATCTTTACACTAATATATAATGAATTTAAATTGAGATTGTATAATTGATACTTACTCTCGCAGTGTGTTCCCGTATAACTAGGTAAACATTGACATGTGTAGGTATTAACGCCATCAATGCATGTTCCTCCATTTAAACACGTAATACCATCACATTCGTTAATATCTAGAAAAAAAGGAAAATCACGACTTTTGTATTTTATATCAGAAGTTAATTGTCTGTGCTTGCACACTCGTCTATATCTAAATAAATAAATAAATATGGAAACATAATAAGAACACGGTATACTTAAACAATTGTATATTTAAAAACAGGAAAGGAGAATATAATTTTGCTTTTAGTAGATAATTAAATGTGTTGATGTCAACGTTTGTATGAAGCAAATTGTACGACATACATGTTTATGATACAGAGTATCGAGTATAAATATTTCGCAATACTTTCCGATGTTGGGAATTTTATTTTCATACTTTTGAATGTTGTATGTAACCAACTCTATTATTTTACACCTGACATGCTGCAACCAAGAATGGTAAGCATTCGTCACCAATAAAGAGCCAGGCCAACCTGCTTATTTTAAATTTACAGTCTGATTAGGCTATATACTGTACAAAGCTCATTTTGTGGGTTTTGTTTTTTGTAGTCCCTTAATATTTGGAACTAATATTCCATGCCACAAATTTATACAATAATGTGATGATTAGGGAGATTTTTTAATAAAAGCAATATGCCTTCTTTTTACGACGCGTAAGGTTTGTTTAACAAATCGACAGGATGTATTATTTTCATGCGCATGCGCAATCTGCGTAGGGTTAAAGATAATTGCCCTACAAGGAATTGTAGAAGAAGTTCATTGACAAGTCTGAGTAAGTTGAAGATAAAAAGTAAAAAATTGTATTAAATAGCTTTAAACAAAAAAAACAAAAAGGACACAAAAAAACCCCCAAAAGCTATGGCCAAGATTGCCGTAAAAAGGTATGGTTAAAATGATATTTTAAGAACTCGCTCTTGTGACCACGATGAACTTGTATATTATATCATTGTTGTAAAAATGTTGAAATATATTTTGTAGAAAGAAAAAAAGATGTCTACTTAATTGTTTTTGAAAAAGTTCGTATAAAAAAACTAACAGATGAAATCGAAGTTAAATATCATATTCTGAAAAAAGTCAGAACATATGATAATGCATATCTATGTTTCTAGTTTTCAGTTTACCTGGTTTGATTGTTTATCCGATTAGACTCTGATTCAGAACAGAACACTTTAAATTCACATTGATATTTTTTTAGTAATTTTAAGATATTTTTGTTAGTTGGGTAGCAAAATTACACACATTTTATCCAGTTTATCGTAAATCATTTTCAAAATATAGGTAAATACATGCCACACTAATTGTAACTTCAAACAATTTATTCAAAACGCTGCTGTTAAAGTTACTTATTAACTTTGTCATGGTATTGAAACGTCACCGTTGAATATCTATAAAAAAACCCCAAAAACAACCGGTCACGTGCTGATCTGTTTGACACTTATTTCCACATAATCAAAAGAAATGTACGGCACCATTTACATAATATTTTTTGATTAAGTAGGATTTCTGTGCTTTAATCACACTAGCAAACCTCGTTACATCTTTACATTATTATTTTAAAGGAAGAGTATCCAAGTGACGTGCACTTAAATGCAAGAGATTGTTGAATTCAAATCTGTCTTTTGTTTGAATAGAATGCATCCTTCAGGATATTTAAAAAATAAAGGGGCGTATTCCTCAATGCGTAAATGCAGAAATGTTCAAGTTGATTACTTAACTTCACCATTCCATCGGTAATTTACCAAAATAAACTATTCTAAACAAATGTTTAATCATCTAGATTACATCAAATTGTTTAAGAAGTTGTTGGTTACTTATAAATGTATTCTTTCGTTATTGCTTTTTCCTTACGCGGAAGAATGCGTTTGCGCAAAATGCTACTTCCGTCTCTATGGACATATTTTATTGAACAAAAGGTCTATATAATACATTTGAGAGAACTAACAAATTGTTTTTTTTTTATCAATAAAAATGTTGTAAAATGTTTCATTAAGGTGATCTACCTAGCTTTAGAATCAATTGCTATCAAAATAAACACTGACTTATAACAAATAGTTATTCATTTCTCTTTCAAGTGCGTATCGGTAAAGAATTTGATTTATTGTATATTTCTAAACATTTTTGATCAAAATTGATTTGAAAAAAATATTTTACTCATATAATGGCGCATCGGTTTTAAAACAAAGTCTAAGTTTTCTTTTTATGTGTTATTTTCAAGTTAAGGTAGACTATTGCTAATGCATTACCTCCACTTTGAAGAGTATTTAAATAGGAATCACTGGTCAACTACATTGAAATTGGGGGTCGTAGGTTCAAACCCAAGAAGGGGCAACTTTTTTTCTGTTTTCATTTTAACATTATTTATGTATCTCTCAGATCCCTAATAGAAAAAAGTGTTTGATTTTAATCATATAATTATTGTAGGTATTTATTTGCTAAATAATGCCAAATTTCAATATCAAATATGATACCTGATATTTTTAAAGTTTAATAAAATAAAAACTACACAGTAAAGGTATTTTATATTTCGCGTGATCAACCAATATACTTTTAAGAAAATTTAGGCAAAATTTGAAACAGTCCCTCATTGTGGTAAATTTTAGGAATATTTTGAATAAGGCTTTTTGTATAGAGCAATAGCAATAGCAATTGGCAATAGGAAAACATTTTTCATAATGATTATATTATTGATTATTTAGAGTTTCCTCATTTCTATAAAAAAAAAAACATTTTAATAGCAAAGTTTTAGTTCAGAAATTTATCCATAACTCATAAACCACATGGTAAATTTTATTTAAATTCTGCATGCAGGTGACCTTTTAGTCCGATGTTGCCAATTTTACAGTTCCTTTTAGTGCCCATTAACCATGGTCTACCTTAAGAAAACAACAACAAGTGAGGATATTTATTTTCAAGAAATGATTTAAAATATGCAATAGCTCCATCCTTACACTAAGATTCAGTCAATTTAAATTGAGATTGTATTATTAATACTTACCCGTCTCGCAGTTTGTTCCCGTATAACCAGCTACACATTTGCAGGTACCATTTTCGCATGTTCCTCCATGGGAACACGTTGTGTTTTCACAACCTAACATAGAAATGTAGAAAAAGGAAAATCACGATTTATGTATTTCATATTAGTTGTGTTTTATTATTTGATATTTTATCTAATTTAATGATGTATATTATGTATGAAATGTAACTCAAGAGTGTTGTCCAAATCAAATCATATGCACTTATAATAATTAAAAGTGATTAACAACACAAGAATAGCCATATTAATTTTACTTAATTGTTTCTTGGACTGGCGTGTACATCATGAGTATAAAAGCATTCAGAGTAGGTGGAGTTTATCTGAGGATTCAGAGGTCATAGATCTATTGATGTATTGAATATTACAACAAGTACATGTATACAATTATCTATGTTGCTGTCACAACGTCTAATTTGGGCATTTTACAATTTAACTTACATGCAATGTGTTATATGTTTGAATATTTGCATTTGGTTTTGAATGTCGAATGTAAACAACTCTATCATTTAATGCTTGTCATATTGAAATAAGAATGATAAGCATTCGTCAGGTCAGCCTGCTTATCTGTACAGTCTGATCAGGCTGTATTCTTTAAGTAGCTTACTTAGTGTATATGTTTTCATTGAAGCCGCTCCACTATTCCGAATATAGGACAACTTACATACATTACACAAATTCAGCAAGTTAAGGGTATGAAAATAAAGTGATGATATGATGAAGAGTATAAAATAGAAGACGTATGTCATTTTATTGAAATAACATAGAACAAAATATTGTCAAGCGTTCCAATAATGCTCTTAAAAAGATGGGAAAGTTGACACAATTTTCATTTCTAAGTCATTTCGAAGATTTCAAACGAGAAATTGTCTGCTATAAAAATCGACGCCAAATTTGTGACAAAGATGTTTGTTTTACAATAACCTTACAATTGAGACAAAAGCCACCCTGACCATTTAAAAGAAAACAAAAACAAACCAGTTTTCTGCCTTACCTTAAGTGTGTTTATAAAAGTGTTGACAATTTGACTTTTTTTAAATGAAATTGTTTTTCTTAATACGTTAAGAGCGCTTAATATTATTTAACCTTACTGTACTAAAGGAACGGTGGCTCTCAACCCAGAGATCGGGTTCGAACACTATTCAGCCATGGCCATGTTTTCTTATATTGCACCAGGAAGTAAAGTATTGTTAAATTTATAACTTTTAGAAGCATAGTATCATAGTATTGTTTACTTCAAGTAAGCGGACTTAGAAGTGATTGATAAAAATTGTGAGATCTTGTTTCGCGATCGATCTAAAATAAATTTGTTTGAACTAAAGGATTGTATCATGTGACAAAACAAATCGCTTGAAATACTGTGAAATGATTTAATTTCGCTGGCATATAATTTAGGATAAGCTTGTTGGGTTTTTAGTTCGCGCAAATATACTGATTTGCGAAATTTTGATAGATCTTTGCATGAATATTAACTGAAAGAAATAAGTGATTTTCATCAAATATCATCTTTGTCTATCATATTTTTCTCAGATTGATGCCCTTTTCTGTAAGAGCTGAGCAATTTTGTGTCAAACTAGATAAAGACGCTTATTAATTCACTTTCATATTCTGAGACACTTTATACTAAGGAGCTTAAGCACGTATGATAAGGTTTATAATGTCATTGAATTTGCACGTTAGTGAAGGGTCACCCTTGCAGTTTGACAAAACGCTGTTGGCTGCTTTTTGTGCCGCCATGTAAAAGTTAAGTTTCATACTTTATTTTTGTCTGGGCCAGTTCTCCTACACTTTAAAAGCTGTTGACTTGAAACTTCATAGGATGATGTATCTCAATGAGAAGAATTGCAATGCACAAGAAATTGTACTCTGCACTTCATGGATATTTGAGTGATTGCCTTTTATTAATTTTCATACTTGATAGGCTTGTCCAGTGTTATTGCCCTTTGTTAATTTATATACTTTATACATGTATTTTTTGTCCGGGCCATATCTCCTAAACTATAATAGCTATGGACTTGGAAACTTCATAGGATGATAGATCTCATTGAGAAAAAGTGCAGTGCATAAAAACCGGTACTCTGTACTACATGATTTTTTAGTTATTGTCCTTTGGTCACTTAAAGTTTAATTGACTCCTAATTTGGTATGCAAGCCTTTTTCATTGATATGAAGTGCAATGCGCAGGAATCCATCAAGTCCTCCATTTGATATGTCAGTGTAAAACTTTTCCCTTTTTGTAAACTTTATTTTTGGTAATTAAAAAGTTTTTATTAAATTTAAAATAAATTGGGTTAAAACAGTTAAATTTCCCGTAAAGTTAAAAGGGAAAGTATTTGGGAAAACCGTAAAAATTTAAAAAAACTATTTTAAAAAAAGAAAATGCCCAACCGGGCGCTATAAAGGGACAAACGGGCTTCCCCATCGGGAGAGTTCTGTAAAGATTAAAAAAAAATTAAAAAAGAAAAAAATAAAAATTAAAAAAAAATGTATGTTGTATAATTTTGATTTATTTATTTAGATGGGTCATTTAAAGGGATTGTTAAGGGAAAAAAACCGTGTTAAAAAAAATAAAGTCCGGATTTTCCATCGGGTTTGTTTTTAATTTATGAAAATTTTTGTAAAAAAAGGGCATCCGCACAAGGTAAATACTTTAGAAGCATGACGAAACCAAAGAATTATCGGACGCTTACTTTTATTGAAGAATATTGCCAATCAACAATTTGTCGTGCAATAACTTCCGCAGAAACCTCCAGACTTATAAAACCCATTTGCCTTAAATGCGTCTTCGAAAAGGTGCATTTACCCTCTTTCCTAAGGGAAGCAACCGGCATGAACTCTGGGCCATATACTGGTTGATGCCTCTTTTTGCTTAAGAAATAATATCAGTTTCAGTGATGTTGATCAGCTTTTTTACGCCGGCTCGTAGTTTTGGTGCGTAGAACCACGACAACGAAGATTACTTCATTTATGGAATACTGTTTTTAAAGCTCACTCGATGAAATAAAATTCATTTTACACAAAATAAAAAATAATTATGCTCTTTGTAATAATAATTTGACATGACACCATTGCGTTATATATAAACATAGCGTTAAAGTGCAATATTTTTTACGTTACACTGTTTAGGCGCGTCAATGAAAAATGACCTTTTTATTATTAAGATCGGGAGGTCGAAGGTTCGAGCCCAACGGGGAGCTTTAATTGAAGGATGAATGTTTCTCGTGGGACTCGTCCCCAAATGGCCACTTCGTGAGCCGCGATGTAGTTAAAATGAATGGTTACCGATTTAAATACACCTGGCGCCTGGCATAGTCACGCCCGTTTAACTCACAACGAGTGAAAAATGTCCATCGGTAAAAATGTTGTGAGCAACTTCCGTTCCTCGTTGTGAGCACCCATCTATGACGAGTGACACGATAAACAAGGCGAGTTTTTCATAATTTTTGAAGATTACAGACATTTATGTTAAAATATCGGAATGCAGTTAGCTAGCGATGTGTTTTCCGAGTATGCACATGTAAAGATATTGTCTGTTGGTGGACAATTTGATGGAAATACCGTGCGACGCAGTCACTCGGGGTAGCTGGAAAACTGGAGACAACTTCTCGTTGGACCTAATTTAACATTGAAAACGTCGATTCTGCTGACGTTTTGTGCATTCTAACCTAAAACAGATGCCCACAAGTCTTCAGCGTAAATTATTATCTGAAAGTCTTCGTAGAAACGAAGATATACTCTTTCTTGCTTTAATCCTCGTTGTGAGCACCATAACCTCGTTGTGAGCAAGACAAGCGCAGTGCTTGTCTGGTTTTAATATGTAATTCAAATGGCAAGAATACAATTTTCAATCTACCAAAAGCAATCAAAACGTTTTTTTTACAATAGTTTTTCTTTGCAATAGTTCTTCTTTTTCTTTTTTTGAAAATTATTCTTCATATTCACAAGTCATCATATTAACAGAAGAACTAATTAGTGGAGGTAAATCAGGTATTTTATTTCGTATACTCTAGTGTGGCACGAGTGAACATCACGGGGTGTTTATGAATATTTCAACAATTTCACAATCTGTGTGTGCACGCATACATGTGTTTATCCTGAGCTGAAGACTGACCAAGTTATGTAAAACAAGAACTATCACGGTAAATTGACAGTGCCCCTGAAGTGGCGCTTTGTCCTTTGATTTATGGACCAGATAGATTATTTGTTTTTGGACAATTAGATCTTCAATGTGAAGATAATTCAATGTCAAGGTGAAATAAATATAGGTCAGTTGGAAGGTCTTGTCCAAAGGGGCATTGTGTTCAAATATGAATTAATTCCACTTACTTATAAAGAAGTTATGGCCAATTTTAAAGTTTTTGGATGTTCTAGAAGGTCATTCACGGTACAAGGTAAAAAGTACAGATCAGTTTGAAGGTCATGCCTAAAGGGGTGTTGTTTCAAAATAAGAGTAGAATCCGTATACTAATAAGGAAGTTATGACCAATTTTTAAGTTTTTGGACAATTTGACTTTCAAGGTGAAGGTCATTCAGAGGTCAAGGTCAAAAGAATATAGGATAGTTGAAAGGCCTTGTCCAAAAATGTATTGTGCCTAAACATTATGCCAGGACATTATGGTCAATCTTAAATGTTTTTGGACAATTTGACCTTCAAGGTAAAGGCCATTCAGGGGTCAAGGAAAAAAATACAGGTCCGTAGGAAGGTGCTAAGGGATGTTGTGTTCAAATATGAATCAAATCCGTTTACTAATAAGGAAGTTATTGCCAATGTTAAAGTTTTCGGACAGATTGACGGACTGACATACGGACAGTTCAAAACTAATATGCCTCCCTTTGGGGTATGCACAACGTCTTGCAAAGAAATGCTGCTGTGCAAAAACGTTTTAATTGCTTTGGTAGATTGAAAATTATATTTTCACCATCTGAATTACATATTAAAACCATACACGCACTGCGCTTGTCTTGCTCACAACGAGGTTATGGTGCTCACAACGAGCATTAAAGCAAAAAAGGGTATATCTTCGTTTCTATGAAGACTTTCAGATAACAATTTACACTGAAGAC